GTGCAAATGATTTCTATTTTCGACTATTGGCGTTTTGATGCGTTGTAGTGGACAAGATCGTGTCCAGACCTTACAAAAAAGGTCTAAACTATATGTTATAATTCCTCAAGCCAAATGAGCATACATATAGCTATACAATCTTCAATTATGTATAAGACATGCAGATGTATGCTTTAATGGACAAAATGGCCGGAGGACTTTCATTTCCAAAGTTTTATATTTGTTACTATTTTTTTACACCCTCAAAGGTCACAGGTCAACCTGTAATTAAACTTCTTTGATAGGCATTTAGAAGTTGGAGTACAAAGTGAGGATAAGAATTTATGGATGAACAACTTGTTTATACAATTTAATATCACTTGCTTGATAATGGTGTTAGAATCGACTCCGAAACGTCGAAATAATAAAGAAGTGGTTTTATGTAATTAAGCTGCCGCAAAAACCTTACTGTCATACCGTAACATGACATTACATGTCTACATTTAAACAATACACTTGGCATATTTTGACAACGTACCTAATTTGGGCCTGACAACATTTCAAGCTAACATACTTGACCTATTGAACGCTCTTCTCCAATAAGAATACAGATTCTTTATCTTTTTAATAAGGATATTTAGAGGATGTAATTATCGTCCCGTGTTGTTGCTTCTATTCGCAATGAAGTATTCAGAAACTTACACTTGTTTAAACACAGTAAAATATAGTCTTTAACAAATGCCATTCATTGGAATTTTTTGTATATATGCACAGGCCGATCAATATGTCAGATATGTTGTAGAAAAGCAATTAAACTACCCCGACAGATCACACCCGATCAACCTTTGAATGACCCCTAATAAATAAAATTTTCGATTTAAGAATGTAGGTTATCACTTCATTCACAGTACAGTAGACTCTCACCGAGACGATTAAGTGGCAACTGTACTACCCCACAAGAAACATGTCTATTTTCTCAACATTCTTATCGGGACACATATGGTATGATCACATGAGAAAACGAGAACGCAGTTTTCGTCTATGCAGTTTCAGATGCATAGGTTATCGCAAATGGAAATGTAAAAGTTGTCTTCATATACACGTGGCATAATTTCGTAAAATGTGAGCCGTCGTCCAAAATTGTATCGAAGATCATCTTTTTTGTGATTATGTGCATCCACTGTTTGGACTGCAAATATTAGCTGTCCTAATGCAGTATGGTGAATTCGCCAAATATTCATAACCAACCTCTTTTCTGCCAGAGTGAAGATCATGATGTGTATAGAGAACATGTGAAATGTTCAGTCAATTTCCTTGCATTCTGCACTGATATGGTCAACACCATGGTAGATAACGGTGCCCATGCACGTTTTCTTCTGACTTCACGATGAAGAAAAATTACCTGGAGCGGTTGCAACCTGATCTCAACCTGATCATTCCAACATCCATCAACTTTGTCCCTTGCTCCTTAACCTACAACCACCGAAAAACAGGCTGTCACTGTCATCAGTGGATGATGATACCCATGCTCGGGTTAGAACATTTAGGCATGAAACTTTATGGATTTAACTTCTTTATCGTGGTAACGACGCTTAGGGCTACTACCAGTCCCGTACAGATCCGGGTTAGAACTTCTCGTATGCTTAAGAGGCGATGAACGGGATCGGGTGGTCAGGCTCGCTGACTTGGTTGATGCATGTCATGTATCCCAATTGCAAAGATCGATGCTCATGATGTCAATAACTGGATTGTCTGGTCCAAATTCGATTTAGTTACAGACCGCCGTCATATAGCTGGAATATTGCTGATTGCGGCGTTAAACAACAAACACAATTACCAGTCGTATGCATTACATCCGCCACATTGGTCAACACCTGACTGGATTAAACCCAGCTCACTCAGCCACACCAACTTAAAATCCTTCTTTGAAAAGCAGACATTCTTTTTCAGATAGTTGAAAGGTTTTGAAGTGTTAAACTGCAAATGTTAATTCAACGGTTTCGAAGTATCCGATAACGAGCTGCAAAGAATTATAATTAGAATCATGATAAGTATTTATATCTTTTACTTATTCAAAAAGAGCTGAGCAACTATCGATTTGTGTTTGCTGTAGCTTACATGGTAAATCTCCAACCCAATTTCATGAGAGACAAAACAGCAAACATTTTTCTCGGAAATCTCCTACAAGACCAGCGTTTGACCAGATGACCTTACGTCATCACTAATTTTCAATGATCCATTCATATAATATTTCACTATTTTGCCTTTTACACTCTATAGAATCTGATTGGGCAGATCGTCAAGATTGAGTATTCTCTGACGTTGATGTGTCGATTTTGATGTATCTGAAGAGACAGCGTTATAATCGACACAGATACTGCCACGCTACATGAACAATATTGTGCAGAAGAGAACTAAATTCATCATTGGAACTAAATATATATCATTGTGGAAGATCGCCTACACATATTTTTAGCAACCCATGTTTGCCGTAAAAGGCGACTATGCTTGTCGTAAGCGGCGACTAACGGGATCGGGTGGTCAGGCTCGCCGACTTGGTTGATGCATGTCATCGTATCCTAATTGCGCGGTTCGATGCTCATGATGTCAATCACTGGATTGTGTGAACCAGACTCGATTATTTACAGATCGTCGTCATATAGCTGGAATATTACTGAGTGCGGCGTTAAACAACAAACAAACTTTATTGCCCCGGTTTGAGAAAGTCTATACAATACATGTGCAGTGCATGTAGGACATGTGCACAGGATGGGAAGGAGGCATCCGGAGAGCCCATGAAGTGTCTACAAATACCCACGATGCCGTGGCAACTGATTCCGTGTGCGACATACGCTTGCGGTCGGAAAGCTCACGTTCAATCTCTAATAAAAGTGAGTAAGTAAGTAAGTAAGGCAACTTATAAGCGGGACTAATTTACCCTGGAACACAAGAACTTCCTGGTGACTGTGTGTGATTTTTCAGATTGATGTAAATCGATCAGTTAGAGGACACTTTCCACCGACTGTGACAGATGAAACAAAGGCTCACTTTGCCAGTTATCGCATACCTAGAGTCTGCCACACAGACAATGGACCCAAATTTATCAGTAAAGACAATGAATGAGTGAGTGAGTGAGTTGGGTTTAACGCCGCTTTTAACAGTATTCCAGTTATATCGCGGCGTGTGGGAAGAAAGCTCGAACTGATGCAGGTCTCAGGCGTTTACCTATTCGATGAAACCCACGAGCACGGGTATGGTGCTGACTAGCCTAGAAACATAATCGGGCGAACCGGGATTCGAACCCAGTTCATAGGTTTCTGGCGTGCCCAGGGGACGCAATCTTGCACTTCGAATTGCGGCGCCTTAGACGACTGGGCCTCCCGTAAGTATGAAGCATTTGCATTGGAATATACCTTCAACACACAAACTCTTTGCCTTATCATTCAAAATGAAACGGGGAAAGCCGGGGCAGCTGTCAAGGTGGCAAAGTCATGATGAAGAAGTCTATTGACAGGGACTTGGCACTTGTGAAGTGTTGGAATACTCCTCCTTCAGGCCACACCCATTTACCTGGTCAACACATGATGAATCGCACAACCAGGACATTACTTTCTACACCAGACCAACTGCTACAGACCCTCACAGTTGACAGTGGAGTGCCTTGCTTAAATCTGCTGTCTGGTTATAAGTGTGTTCAAAGTGAACCGGGGGCTACAGCTGGCCCAGTCGTCTAAGGCGCCGCGATTCGGTGTGCAGAGTTGCGTCTCTTGGGCACGCCAGAAACCTATGATTGTGGGTTCGAATCCTGGTTCGCCCCGAATATGTTTCTAGGTTTGTCAGCACCATACCCGTGCTCGTGGGTTTCGCCGAAGTGGTAAACGTCTGAGACCTGCTTCACTTCGAGCTTTCCTCCCACATTAAGCTGACACGCCGCGATAACTGGAATAATGTTAAAAGCGGCGTTAAACCTAACTCACTCACTCACTGAAAGCGAACCACATCTCCTGCACTGCACATGATTAAGTGCACTTGTGTGTGTAGACGTAGCGCCATGGGCGAACACTTGGTGATTGGGTATGAGGCGCATTATGAATTGATTTACAGTAAACTACGGTTATAACGAACTCAAGGGGACCACCAAGTTTAATTTGTTAACCGTAGTTTGTTATAAGCCTATGTACGGCATATATACAGCACCTGGACAGGACCAAGAAACAGTTATTTATATCCGTCATTTCGTAATAAGCGTGTTCGTTATTAACGTAGTTTACTGTATTGATATGACAAAGTTTGAGCTGGAGTCGTTTCTGTGTAGAAAGGTTATGTTCGATTGTACCAAAGGCCGGGGCTGCTTAAATATTGCTCGACACAGAGGGGAAGTTGACTATTTGTAAGTTCAAGTCATCCCTCTTGTCATACAGTCTTATTGATACTTTATCGTTAATTTTATGCACAAGTTTAAATATAAAAAATGGCTCGGTTTAAATGGTGTCTTTTATTTCCAGGCAAGGTGGGTAAATGAGTGGAAGGGAATTGGCTATTTGACAATTATTGAATTATGTCAGATCATCGATATAGAAACCTAAGTTAAACGTCATTCATATTCAAATACAGAAAGATACAAATCAGCAGAAGGAAAAGGCAGTTGGTGCCCATGAGGATGCCTACGTCTTCCCTAATCCCCCTAATCTAAGATAAGTGTTATCTATAAAACACATGCCCAACACTGTTTTGAGTTCAGAAATAGTATTGTCCGTACGTGAACTACAGCTGTGCAAATATATGACCGTATTAGCAACATGGCGTACATCCTGGACACTTTGAAGTTCTAATCCATGGTTATGGATCCGAGTTATTTGTAGTTCCAAACAGGAGGCGTGTCCATAAAAGTGCCAAAGGCGGTAATTCTTAGAGAAAAGCAGAACACAAAATTGACTAGTTATATAAGTTTACTTCATTTAAACATCTTGTATGTAATTCAAGCATTATTTTTGTTAACGAATAATAACTAGACACAGAAGTAATCACATAATTTTAATTATACTTAAGAACAATGAATTCATGAACAGTTTTAGATTGTTAGTTCTGTTTTTCTTAACTTTAGCATGAACTTCCAGGTTTCATATTGTACACAGGGTGCTTTTTCTGCAGTTGTTTTACACCCTTAATGTAGCGATGTTCATTGCATCTCTGTTTCTTGTTTTTCACCCAGGCCAATTTAATGTATTGTTTCTTGTATCGTTTCGACTTCCCTCTAAGGAACTTGTCAACAGGTTGGGACTTGCCCGAGAAGTGCTGTGTCAGGCGTTTGCGAATGTTTTTCGATCTTCCGACATATATCACTGTTTTGCCCCTCTTAATGGCGTAGATACCCGGCACACGAGAAGGGGGTCGAGACGTCCATGGCAAAGATGTCATCAACAGCTTCAAGCTTCCTTGCAGAATGTTTATCTACAACAAATATATTCATTTTCATGCATAAAACAATTAACTAAAGTGAGTGTGTGAGTGAGTGAGTGAGTGAGTGTGTGTGTGTGTGTGTGTGTGTGTGTGTGTGTGTGTGTGTGTGTGTGTGTGTGTGTGTGTGTGTGTGTGTGTGTGTGTGTGTGTGTGTGTGTGTGTGTGTGTGAACCTAGTAACTAGTTTGATCTTCCAAACGGATCTCCTCCAAACCTGAGTTTTGAAAATTGGTCACTTCTGAACCAAGGTTTTACAGTTTACGTTTTATAAACTTGCTCTTGACATGTGTTTGATGATTGGTTAAAAGTCACATTTTCTTTTACATGAAAATTTCATGATGTCAATCGAACCTGCAACCTCACATATGATGTTAAGTTTCTTAACCACTGTTTACCCACTGAGCTACTGGGGCATGTGATGAGAAGTTGTTCAATTTTTCATGTCATGACTCCGGCTGGTCCATGCTGCACGTGTTTTTATACCGCGACACACTGTATTGTTTCACTATAAGGTATCTAGATGTTTTCTTGTATTTTCTGGTATGTCTTGCATTTAGACGTTTCATAAGTTGGATAAAACACGCCTCCTCGTTTGGGGTGAAAATGTAAAACCTAGCTTGATCTTGGGAAAAGCCGGAGACGTGTTTTGTCCTGTACATTAGAACTGAGTTTGCTCATCCTGAAACTGAACAATTGATAATCAAAACTACGAATTCGTTTCATGTCATGAAGGAGATGTACCAATGCAAAGCATTGCTTGTACATTGAATGTATCAGTTGCCTTTCACTGACAGTTTTTGACACTCCCGCAGCAGTGTGTTTTTCTTACACATAATATAAAAGTGAATACAGTTTTGGTTTCAAACCGCAGAACTCTTCCATCACATTCCCACCAAACTGCCATTTATTATATGTTTGTTTGTTTTTGACGCCGCACTAAGCAATATTCCAGCTATATGACGGCGGTCTGTAAATATTCCAGTGATTGACATCATGAGCATCGATCCACGCAATTGGGATACGATGACCACTTATTATGGAGGGGTGGGGGCAAGGAGGGGTGGTTTTAGCACTGTATCATATTTTGCGTAACATGTTTTCATTCACCCAATACATGCAAGATGTTTCTGAATAGCATCCGACCTCGACAATGTCGGACAACTCTATTTTATGTACGGGGGGTAGTCTCCCAATTTTTACGTCGATTATCTGCACCTTTTCTCCCAATACAGATTGTCTCCCACATTTGGGTGCCGCCATTGCGTTCATCTGCGCCGTCGAGGGGAACAACTCGCAAGACATTTCCCTCTCAAAAACAACATCGTCCAATTTATGACGTCATCAACTTTCGAGTGTAAGTTCGAATCTTCAGCACTGACGTCATGGTAGAACAATGTTTTATCGTGAAATAAACCACGCTTCGTTCTTCATTGTTCTATGCGATTTATCGCGTAGCTATCTTATACATAGTAATATTGGCCAGTGGCACAAAATACAAAACTGTCTGTTTGTCTACCACTAAGGCTACTTAACCACCCCCAGTGGCACATACTTCAAACCGAAGTGACTTTAATATACTATAATCTACAAAATATTGCCAAACAATGACCTTCATAAAAATGAATATACCAAGAAATAATTACCGCAGCATGTATATAAAGTTACATAAAACATTTTTCTTTCACTTTCATTTTGTACAAGAATTATCAACAGCATAACATATTTACGAATAACTGTTTCTAAAATATTTAATTCTAGGATTGCAGGATCAATAATATTATTTGCATAATACATAATTTTCTATTCAAGATTGTTAGGCAGTATAGCGAACTTCAAGCAATTACATCAAGCCAGAAAAGATGTATTATAAAAGCAATTACTATTTCGTTATTTATATATTACATATTTCTTGTCGCTATATGGCTGAAATAATGATGATGCGACGTTAAATTTAACTCACTCACATATTTCTATATTACTCAAACATCGCTGTAAGAAAATGAAATGTTTTAAAATTAAAACTTACCGGAAAACTTGTTTTCCTGTTGAAATAATGAAAGCAGCTCATAAATCATCTTAAATTATTATTATTATTATGTACAGATAAAAATAAAATAATGCATAATAGTGATCCTGGCACAGTCAGGCTTCTTAGGCTCATCATCAGCTCAGGGTCCTTGCCCTCTCTACACGCAGCCCAGACAGCGAATGGGACTTCTCCCAGGAAGCGCTGCCTAGTCAAACCCACCCAGAACTTTTGGGAGAATGTGAAGACTCCCCAACACTGCAGCCTTCTGCATTACCCAGATTGTCAGAAGGGCTGGTAGCAAACCCGTGTACTCGCCCAATGTCTGTCAACAGATTGGGAGGTACCAAACCTAAGGCACCGAGAACAATGGGGAGTCGGACAACTTGGTACTTGGAATGCAAGCGTGACATTACGAAAGCGAGGTCCGCATATTTGCCCTGTTTTTCCCGAATCTTGTAAGTCTTATTAGTGTCAAAAGGGACAGAAAGTTCAATGATATGAGTGATTTCATAGGATCTATAAAAAAGGACAAGATCGTGTGTGTTGGTCTGGATACGTCTGAGGCTGTAAACTGGCCTATTCCAAAGAATTTTGTATTTATCATTTTCGATGACGTCCTCTACATATTCCGTGTCGTACCATGGATGGACCTCTGTGTTAAAACCACAGGCATGGTGAAGGCGGTAATAAAATGATCGAGCCACACCATCATGTCGTTTTTGATACTGTGTTTGTGCCAAAGCTGGGCATCCACTGAAAATGTGTTTAGGAGATTGTGAAGACTCCCCAACAATGCAGCCTTCTGCATTATCCAGATTATCAGAAGGGCTGTATTCCTGGTAGCAAACCCGGGTACTCTCCCAATGTCTGTCAACAGACATTTCGAAAGGAAAGTTTTTCCTGAATCGTGTCAATCAGATTCGGGTCAAACGGGACAGAATTCAATGATAGAAAGGATTTCATAACAATAGAAAAGCGATGAATCGACAAATACAATTCGGAAACATAAGAAATCTCTGCTACAAAACTACAAAGAACAGTTCCTACTATATATACTCTTCAACAAAAAAAGAAACGCAATACGGATATTTTTGGCCATAAAAGCAAAATTAGCGGACCAAGAGGTGTAAATGAAGAGGTTTAATGTGTTAAAGTGTCAGTGACAAATTTTCCGGAACAAAATTATAACAATAAGGATATGCAAACCATTAGTCGGGAAACACGTACGATTCGGAAAAACGCACCCAGTGCATTAACAAAAGGGCCCTGGAGCTGCACGCAGTGCACGTGCAGCAGCACTATGAACGGCATTAAAGTGCAGGGTTTTTGATTACCTGGCATCTGCGTCAGTGACGGTTCAACAACATGCCAAGATTAACAGAAGTACAAAGAAACAAAGTCATAGGTCGGTTGCAGGCTGGGGAATCCCGATCAGCTGTAGCCAGGGTTTTCAATGTAACGCTATGCACCATCACAAGGCTATGGGATTGGTTTCAACAGCATGGGTCAACACGTGATCGGCCAAGGTCGGGACGACAAAGAGTAACCAGCCCCGCCCAAAATCGCTACATCCGACTGCGCCACCTACGCAAAAGGACGACCACAGCCATTTAAACCGCATCCCAAATACCCGGAGTGCGCAGAATCTCCTACCAGGCCCAACCGTTTAAGAGGAGCAGATCTCCGAGCAAGACGTCCTGTTCGACGCGTCATATTGAGTCGACAACATCGTCAACAACGACTGCATTGATGTCGTCAACACAGGGTATGGCCTCAATTGTGATGGAGAGATGTCTGGTTCAGCGACGAATCAAGATTTCTCCTCCGTCGAGGGGATAGAAGAGCACGGGTCTACAGACGTCGGGGAGAACGTTACGCCGGAAACTGCGCACAGGAAGTAGGGGTAGCGTTACGACGTGGGCGGCTATCCCTCATCATGGCATGACAGGTTTGATCCATATCCAGGGCAATCTTACGGCTAAACGATACATCAACGAAATTCTCCTACCACACGTCCTCCCAATTACAGTCAAAACGGTGTATTCAGCGGGACAACGCTCGACCGCATACAGCACGGATCACAAGAGCCTGTCTACACAACAACAACGTTCATGTTCTCCCCAGGCCCTCCAGATCCCCGGATTTGAACCTGATAGAGCACCTGTGGGATGAATTGGATAGATGGCTACGCCGACGTCAACCACAACCCCAGACGTTGCAGCATTTGGCATTTGCGTTGCAGGCCGAGTGGGCTACCATTCCCCAGGATTTGATTCGCATAGCCGTCTCTTCCATGGGCAGGAGATGTCAGGCCGCTATCGATTCCAACAGGGGACATACATGTAAGCGTTATTGATGGTAGCTGACCTTCACCTTGTACTTTTCCTATTTAACGATAACTGAGACGACTACAATCACCAAGTATTTTCTCCACAACATTTTGGCTCAATACCTTTTACAGTTCCTCGTATACATGTATTGTCCTACCTCACACACATCTGGCTTTGCGTTTCTTTTTTTGAAGAGTATATCATGAGCACCTGTTAATACATCAAATCGTGATGATACCAAAAATGAATTAAGAAATGTAATGCCATTGAAACGCATAAAATATAGTCGTTACATGAAACTATTACAAACTGTTTTTGAATAGTCCCTGCTAACAGCGTAAATCAATGCTTACCCCATACTTTCCTGTCTGATGCAAATGTAACGGATTCTCGATACCCTTCAGTATTTATAAAATACTGATATATACTTCTTCGTGATTGGTAGATATTTTAGGCAATTACCTAATCATGGTTTTTCCAGGTTATTTTGGAGTATGAGTCATGAAACTAACCTGGGAAATTCCAGGACCTATACGAAGGTCACAACGACCTGACATGTTATCTCTCTATATTCAATGGTTTAGAAAAATACTGATATATACTTCTTCGTGATTGGTAGATATTTTAGGCAATTACTTAATCATTGTTTTTCCAGGTTATTTTGGAGTATGAGTCATGAAATTAACCTGGGAAATTCAAGGACCTATACGAAGGTCACAACGACCTGACATGTTATCTCTCTATATTCAATGGTTTAGAAAAATACTGATATATACTTCTTCGTGATTTGTAGATATGTTAGGCAATTACTTAATCATGGTTTTCCAGGTTATTTTGGAGTATGAGTCATGAAATTAACCTGGGAAATTCCAGGACCAATACGAAGGTCACAGCGACCTGACATGTTATCTCTCTATATTCAATGGTTTAGGTGTATTGTCCACATACTGATATAAGAGACAGCCATTGGACGTTAATGACTATGAAGAAATGTAGGCAACGTTTTAAATTAGAAGCATGAATTATGCACATAGAGTACTAACCAGTGAGCGAACGACTATTTGATATTCTGGAGAGGGGGGGCTGTGGTCTCGGGGTTTACACAAAAAACGTAGGTCATGGGACAATGGGCTCCTCCTGCCGTATGTCTTCAGGCATAAAAACCCAAATAATCTCTAATGATATATCACTCCTCTTGTATCTGCTTAAATGTACCCAGTGGTTTATTGAAGTAATCACAAACGCAGGTTGACGTTCTAAAGATTGATGAAAGGCCCGGTGGAAATAAATACACAGTTAAGATATGCAATATACCTACAAATACAAATAAAACATTAGCATTATTAACTTATCAGCAAATATCCCAATCGTATGATATGATACTGTGATCAGTAGTAATTAATTAGTTACCTTTAAATATCCAAGGAACCGCCTATTAACATGATTCATTAATAAAGTGCCACATTTGATAGACAAGAAGACTTGTCTTCATGTCAGTTAAGTAAGGGTAAGAATTTATGGATGAACAACTTTTTTATTACAATTAAGAAGATCGACGTTTCGATGTAGGTTCTAACACCGTTATCAAGCAAGTGATATACAGAGTGTGGTTGGCAAGTATATATATACAAGTAGGAGGCAATGTTTATACAGTAGAGTAGATATTGTTATACTGGAGTAGAGAAGCCTGTTATGTACACACAAGGGTAGTGATGACAATCATCGGTGAAGTCAGTGACATATACAAAGGATGAAGCCAGTAATATAAACAACGGGATTGGGGCTGATTATGGCCGGGGGTATGTAATGTCAGTTGACAAACGCAAGTTCTATATAGTGGTGATAATTACATGTATCCATGGTACATTATTTTTGTTTATAACAACAAGAATATATACAATAAAATATAGAAAAATACCACTCAAATGTATTTGACACTGAGCTATTTGTATATAATTTGCCGTGGTGACTTAATTGAACATTAATATACATAATGTCAGCATAATGTAACATTTTACATAACTATGTTAACATTCTTATGTATTTACAATAATCCCTCACCACATCATACATTCATTCATGTATGCTTGGTTAAGTACAAAACTTAGTTAAAGGTAAATAGCTAGCTATAATATGGATACGCATAATAGTATTTACTTACAAAATATGATAAGTAACACATGCACATGAGAATGCTATTTAGAATTAGCTGAGTTTATTTATTTCTACTACACATACCGTTATACACAGTAATAAAGATGAATGGCTAAAAAAGAACACATAAATATACAATTCATAAATGAACTAGCCTGTGATAAATAGAAATATATCCACTGAATATAACACTGACTTACACTCAAGGGAGACTCCATTGAAAATGTGAAAGTGAACTGACGAGTCACATAAGGCACCATGTCACTGAATATACGGAGTTGGGGCAAGACGGTTATATCCCATTAGTTAGACGTCCCATTAGTTAGACGTCCCAATTGTTAGACATTTGTAATAAGGCAAAGAGGGAATATACCTACAGGTGTAATGGATCAGTCCTAATTAGATTAAAGTACTGAGTAGGGATAGGGGACTCACAGTTTAGGGAGTATATATGTTATAATTTCGTTTAATTAACCTAAATTACCTTACTCTCAGCACAGGTTCAATAGGCATGATATTAACTATGTAAACTATGGAGAAGCTTAATTGTCTTACTGTATGATCAGTTGAAGGAGTTGAGTTTAGATTATCTACTCGTCCAACAAATAAAAATGATCTTGGGGTACGTATCATTATCAGTATCGATATGGCTGGTTTAAGGAAAGTAGAGTACATCACCTCTCGGCGTGGAAGTGAGCAGTTGATATTAGATGGATATATTTACAACAGAAACCGCGAGAGGCAAACCTGCACACATTGGAGAAATGTCGTCAAGATGTGCAATGGGAAATGTATGACTGTCGGTGACTTTCTTTGCAATCAGTCGGAACATAACCATCCGCCTGAAGATGAAACCAGAGTGAACTTTGTCAGCAATCTTCGTAAAAGAGCGCGAGAAGAAACCACACAGATGCAGGCATTGTACGAGGAGCAAGATACTCAAGTAGATGAAGCCAACATGCCAGCGATGCCGTCATTTCAGAGCGTGAAAAGTGCACTTTACAGGTAAATATCATCCCGTATTTTTGACTTGGTTAGAATTTACTTTTTTTTTAGGTCCCACATAACTTGTTTTGCTCTTAAACATTTCAAGTTAATGAAATCGTTATCAATATATCATGTAACATATGTGTAACTGTTCCTTTGCTCTTGTTCAGGCGTTACATTCCAGCGTTACCCAGGTCGCGGTCAGCAGTAGACATTGAAGACAAATGGTCAGAGACAACAGATGGACGTTCCTTTCTACTGTTCAGCGACGGCGACGAGATCCTGGCTTTCTTCACTGCAGAACCGATACAAGCCCTCCAGGAAGCTGACACCCTTTACATGGATGGTACCTTCACAGCATGTCCAGGTTTATGGGATTAAGTATACATCATTCATGCCAGAGTTGGCCCCAACACCTTCCCTCTAGTGTTCGCCCTTTTGCCAGATCGCCAATCAACAACCCATGGCCGGCTTTTTCGACAACTGAAGACAGAAGTTCAAGAGCGACTCAACAGACCTCTGTCACCTAGCACACTTGCTCCGTCTGGGATAAATAAACTGTAAAAGTTATTAAATGTAAAGTGTACATTACCAAAAACTGGCACAAAGTGTTGTTACAAACTGTACAAAATTTATCAAATGTAAAGTGTCATTAAATGTTAAGTATAATATTAAAGTATCTATTTAAAGCTGCTTTGCTTTGTTTGTCAGATCTTATCTAGACTATTCCATTTTAAAGTCTGAGGTAACAAGCATAAGGATTAGTGTTGTTATAAGCTGTCTAACTATTGGGACGTCTAACTAATGGGAGGACACCGGCAAGACAATAGAACTCCAGAGAAACAACAGAGCAAGCAATGCGCAATGGTTGCTGTGCTATGATGCATTCATGATGCTCGGGGTGGTCTATTCAAATATTCCAGTGATGGTTAAATGCTCCAGGCGGCGACCTTCGCCAGTCAGCAAGCCCTCCATCCTTGCATATTGCCCCTAACTCACCCAACCATGAGGCTGTTGGTGATGTGTTGAATGTCGTGGAACATCACTTCCATCAGTAGCTGGAACAGCGTCACTGTGACATCCATCTCTTCAACATTGTCTGCTTCAGCTTGGGGGACTAGATCTGGAACAGTGCAATCGTCATTAGTTTCTTGGTCATGGCCTTTGCACATACTTAGGTCTGGGTGATGGAGGCTCCGCTTCGGAAGATGAGTCACTCGATCCTGTCAGGGTCATGAAGAGCGCCGATGGGCAAGAGAAGATTCGTGTGTAAAGTCCGCTGTCGACCTTCACCATTTCTTTTTCCGCACTACAAAGACGGGCATATTTTGACTGGGCTTTCGTATGATGATGTAAAGATCTTCCCATTTATTCGATAGCCTGTGGTCACCTGTGACAATATCTTCTCCAGGACGCGGTCTCCAGTCTGTAGCGTGGCTCCCCTCACTCTGTTGTAGTAGCCTTTTTTTCTGGTGTGAAATCACAGAAATCCTGTCTTCTTTGTCTTCTTGCCAGACTGTAAACATCGTGTCCATTGTCATAAGATAGAATCTTGGTGCTGTGTATCCTCCAATCCTTGTGCGTCAAGGTTCTCTTCCTGGGTAACGTTGGGTGTCCACTTGCCTGTTGTCTCGGGCTGGGATTTTATCGAAAAAGCTAAATTGTACCCGAAAATTCTTGTAAGAATAATTGTGCCTCAGTATATAAAAAGAAATTGCCTTCCACAAATATTACATTGTTGCGAGGTGTTTTTCTTCTAATCTCAATAAAAGAAATCTCAGCCCTCCTTCGGTCCCCTCCCTCGCGCTACGGCAGTTGGCTGTTATTGATATATCATCAGTGACCTAACTAAAATTACCAATTGTGTAATATTTCATGTCCAGTTACAAAATATTTTCTTCATTGTTATCACGTATTTTTTGTGACCCCTATCATGATCTTGTAATTGGGGTCGGGATGGTTAGTTTAAGAATGAACGATTTAACGTTTCATGACGTGAAATATGATTTAAACATCCTCAGTATATGAAAATTTATAATATTATAGAATCGACTAGAATTATTGACTAAACACTTTCCAAGTAGCTGAAAGTCAGGACATTAGATAAGATCCTAGTCATCGGAAAATTCGAGTTCAATGCCTGTGTCATTGTAGTACATGTATTTAAATCAATAACGATAGGTGGAATGACATCCATCAAAACTGTCCAGCTTTTCTTTTGGGGGTTTGGAGAAGGCCCCATTTGGTTAGCCATCTGCAGGTTTTAACGCTTATCAGAGGAGGGAATTCGGAATTAAGTCCTCTGATATCTGTTAGTTGCATGCAACTCTCTTTGTGTAAGAACGAAGAGATATAGAGTGTGTTTCTCTCTATGATTCACGTTTAAGAAAACAATTAATGTACCTAACGAATAATACAACGCGCATCCTGTGTCAACATCTCTCCACGTAACAAAAGATTTCTCGCCTATACCGGCACTGTTGGTATAACCAGAAGTATAGGGTGACCTTGGAGGTGTCATGCATGCAGCAACCATGTCACTGCTGTGAGAGGTAAATCGTCCGTACTTACATTATATACTTTCTACTCCAGGATCATGTCAAGGTTCACATTACATGGTAACAATGAAGAACATATTTTTAATCGGACATTAAATATGACAAAACTGGTATTTTAATTTCGGTTACTGATTATTATTCAATAACAACCAACTATTGTCACGTGATTGTGTTTAATGGAAAATAGTTGTGAACAACCGGGCTCCTGTAGAGGACCAATTTGACTAGCCGGACGGCGCCAACATGATGGTTGACGGCCGGAATGAAAGTAGAAGGGACTGGTAGTTATCAGAGGGTCGGTGGGGTGAGGCTGGTCTTGGGACTGTATCATAATTTGCTGACCCCCAAATACATGTAACATTTTTCATTTTTTCCTGCATCTATGACGCGCAGTGGTACTGACCCATTCCTACTGTATCATACCATGTATCAAACTGGGACGGGTTCTCTACCAGAATGTTAATGTCATGTCCCGTAAATTAGAGTTATTTGCCCTTGATAGCAGAATGGAGGACTCTGAACCCGATTTAGACGATTTCTTAAAGAAATCATTCCTGAACTTGGATAAGATTGACGAAAATATATACAGGTTTGTTTTTAAAAGCTACGCAGCTCTTACGATTTGCTACCTTGGGGGTACGTCTTATATCGGATGTCATTGTCGGATAATCTACCTGGAAATCAGGCCGTCCGTCTTATTTACGAAGTAACCGGTATAATATATAATCAGTGATTAATAGGCGATGTATCAACCTCAGCTGTAAACAACCCAGGATAGCAGTGCAGTGACTAAGTATGAGAGGTGGGTGTGGGTGGGGTGAGGGGAGGTGTGGGTGTGTGCTGATTGCGCCGTTTTCAGTAGATACCGTATTTCCTCGATTAGACGCCTGGATTTCCACTACACGACTCAAATATTGAATTCAGGTCATACATTCTGTCCATTAAAAAGAAGCTGGGGCTCTTTTATAGGCAGGTCTCTAGTAGAGGCTGTGTCCATTATTTGATAAAATTAATTATCCCTTTCACATTCATTAATGATGATCTGGTCGTTCCTGACCAGGGTACCACCAATATTCAGCTGGATCCTTTCATATAATGAATTGTACCCAGATCTTTATGTTTGTACATTTTAATGCCAGATTCTCTCTTTTATTACAAAGGCTCACAGTTTTGTGACATTTCCTGTTCAGTCCAGACAATGATATGGATGACATCCAGTCACGTGATGTGGACTGAACAGGAATTGTTTATTTATTTAATTGTACCTCAGATAGCCTACAATTTGACAGTATACTCGGACCCCATGGTACCGCGGCATTCATCGTATCGCGGCATTTGTGATTTCCGATAGTTCACGCGGGACACGCCTCTTGGCAGCTGTCTATTAATGCTAATCAGTAACCAGGAAGTGCACACTTCGTAAACAATTTCAATTTCCTCTAAATGTTCCGTCTGCTGTAAGTTAGGAGTTATTAATGCGTTGATACATATTTCTGGCATCTTTTGTAATATTGCCTTACCCCCATCTATCAATGGCCAATGATATAACCCGTAGTTCCCCAAGTAAACTTTCTCGATCGACCTGAACTAGATCATCTGCATATTCATGGCGACTAATGAGGTAACGGAAGTTACGTAGTCCGCACATTTTTCCCCGCTCTGTGCCCAGAATCTATTGGGATATCATAAGGGCCATAATTTTAAACTTAGAAATACGTTCTTCACTAGTAACCAAAAGATAAATACATACTTTGGCCATACTAGGAGTGCTTTTTATATATTTATTGTTGACTTTTAACATTTTTCCATTTTGTGACAAATTATTGCCATCTAATTTTTTTTAAACAATCTTAAAATATCATTTCTGATATTTTGATGTTGACTTTTCGGTAAATATGCATTGAATACCTATTGCTGATAACACATTTAGAATTTTACTTGTGCTGTCTTTGCACTTGTCTGGGCAAATCACTGATGTCTGGCAGGATCGTACCAAGTAATTGGTAGAATTATGTCCTCTTTTTGTCCAATTCGGACCTCAATACACAACTTTTCTCTGTACCGCGATACGATGGAGTTCTCTCCCTTGTCAAACAGAGCTCGAGGCCCGGCTTTTACTCGGAGCTACTAATGTAAATAATGAACTTTTATCAGTAAAATATGCATTGTTAGATAAAATAAATGACATCTGATATAGAGAACACGAATAATCATAAAGGTTAGTGAGTGCAATTTGTTCCGTTTAGCGTACATGACAAGTACCGCGATACCCCGAGGTTGCAGGCTACCCAGGTCGAGAATCAACAAGCTACCTGCTCTATGTGTGAAGCCCATTTCTAGTGTCCCCTGCCATATTTCTAAAGGCAGCGTACAACCATACTCACTCACATCATCAAAAGTCATTGCTGGATCCATATTTTGCTTGGTTGTTGCACTGCTGTGACATTATTGACAACATTAACTCACATTGATTCCTTGATTATCTTCAACAGGAGTACGTATCTATTGCACCCCAAGTACACAAAGTCGGTGTTCGGTGGTCAGCTGATTGGTCAAGCGTTGGTAGCGGCTGCTAAGACAGTTCCAGAGTCCCAGTTTGCGCACAGCCTACACTGCTATTTCCTGCAAGGAGGTAATGACCATGGTGATTCTGGGTCAGAAGTGGTCCCCAGCAAGCTATGCTGGTCGTAAGAGGGGACTTTGGATTGGGTGATCAGGCTCAGTGACTTGGCTAATAACATGTCAGTGTACCTCAATGGGGTGGATCGTTGCTCACAATATCAATCACTGGATAGACTGGTTCAGATCTGATTATTAACAGCCTGCTGTAGCTGAGTGTGATGTTAAACAACACGCACACACACACACACACACACACACACACACACACACACACACACATGCACACACACACAGACACACACACACACGTGTCAGGCTGGGGGACGTAGTTGATCAAACACTGTGCTCATGGTATCAGTCATTGTTTTGGGGGGTCCAGACTTGATTATTTATAGGCCACCATCACATATCTGAAATACTCGCTGTATTCAGTTTTAGAATGGGTCCCCAGCAACTAGCAGTATCATAGATTTGGACATTTTAGTGTTGATATTTCGACTCAAAAGTGTCACAATATATCACAACATCGATTAATAAAAAACTTACTGATTCTGTATACATGTGTCGAGATAAAAATGACCTATGTAGACCTATATTAATGAAGTTCATGTTAAATAAGCTTATCCAATAAATGTTGAAGATTTGTTGAATTTTCTGCCTCCTCATCACCATTGTAATCTTAATAAATATAAACATTTCTGTGGCAGTGAAATATTTATTTAGAATCAATATTTTTACATTTGTATCGATACAGTATTGACATTAAGTTTTATTTATCAACATCATGATATTTGGTGACATCCCTACAAAATATGTAAAGCAACTAATAAAGAAAGTAAGAAAACGTACCATTTCGATGTAGTTTCTTCATTATCCATTCTAGCTTGATAGTGCAAGATTCTACATCGAAATGTCACTATATGCAATAAACCAGAAGTTGTTATCCATCAAGTTGTAGGTACCGTATTCGACATAATAAGCGCCCAGGGCGCTCTCAAGGTTAGAAATAGGTGGCTCTTATTAAAATATTATTTTGGTGAAAAACAACAGAGTTGAAAGATCGTAAATTTCGTGGTTTATGCTAACAGCCTGAAATGTTTATATACGACAGATATATTTTTTCCAGAATTTAATTTCCCATAACTATGAATGCATATAACATGCGTATTATACACGAATAAATAAGTCCTGTGTACATTGATCAATCGGAAGGGGTGCTAATTGGGATTGTACGCTAGCCAATATATTAGAAAATATCGCAGTGGGCGCTTATTAGAGCGGGGCGCTTATTACGTCGAATACGGTATTCTTAGTTACTTCTCAACTTCTGGGGGGTACAGGTGGCCCAGTCGTATAAGGCACTGCTATTTGCTGTGCAGAGTTGCGTCCCTTGGGCACACAAGAAACCTATGGTCATGGGTTCGAATCCTGGTTCGCCCCGATTATGTTTCTAGGTTTGTCAGCAGCATACATGTGCTCGTGGCTTCACCAAAGTGGTAAACTTCTGAGACCTGCATCACTTCGGGCTTTCCTCACGCATTAAGCTGACACGCTTTGATATAACTGGAATACTGTTAAAAACTCACTGACTCACTCGTCAACTTCTGGAATGCCAATCAAACAGTTAATAAAGAAAGCATGACATTGGTTGTCTTATCCAGCTGATGTAAACTTTTGATTGACTGTAGGTAGTGGTGATCGCCCTGTTGTGTACTATGTGGACCGTACGCGGGATGGCAAGACATATTGCAGCCGCACAGTGAAGGCCATCCAGAGGGGAAAGGCAGTGCTGACGATGCAGACCTCTTTCAAGAAGGAAGAAACTGACCCCTATCGACATCAGTTCAAGATGCCCAAGACTGTAGGACCCGACAACCTCCTCAACACAATGGACTTGGCCAAGATAGCACTAGAGTAAGTGACATTAAGCAGAACCACTATTTAACTCATAATGATCATTATTTGTAGAACACCTGTCTCCAGTTAGAGTCACTTAGTGATAACTACTGAAAGGCGCTAAGGAAAGAACAGGTCTAACATGTCCTTCAGGTATGTCTGTCTTAAGAAGTCAGTCTTCAGCAGAGCTTTAAAGGAAGATAGTTCTTGAATACATCAGAGATAATTTGGAAGATTGTTCCCCAGTACTGGTCCAGCTTTGGCAAAGGCTTCATCCCCAAAGGTGCTGGTGTGTGATATTGGCACGGACAACACATACTGGCTACCTGATCTTCATGATTAGAATGTGCTCTTTTATGAGGTCAGTGATATATTTGGATGCTAGTGCATGCTGTGCCCATCTTCCCGAGGCAATGAGTTAACTGACTTTTTAAGTCCAGTTTCAACCCTTGCTGAACTGGGCTGGAATTATGGAGTTATGTTTTGGCTCAACTAACAAGTCTATGCATAGTTTAATTAAAATCATGTAACGAAATCAATATCGATTCGTAAACTGCCATGCAGATTTTGGTCAATTGCAGGATTTGCAAAGTATGTGTACTGTCAACTTTGCGTCAACATGTAATTTTTCGAATCTCGTGAAATAAGACCTGTTTTTTTACAATATAGATCTTGATTATCGATCTGATCATCTTCACTGTTAGCTGTCATTTTCTTTGAAGCAAATGCAAGTGATATCAGAAGTGGAACCTGATTGGTCAATAAGAGGGACAGAGAAGGGGAATAACTTGTAATAGCCACTGGTGAAGCTACAATCGAATCCAGAAATTCCGGCCAAGTTCGGCAAAGGTGGAAACTGGACTTTTGTAGTCAGTTATTTTGCCTCTGGAAAATGTGCAGTGCCTGAATCTGAACTGGATTATGCCACCACTTAATGTCGGAGGAAAGCTTGAGCTGACACAAGTCGGATATTTATAACTTTGTTAACTCATGAGCATAAGTTTTGTGGAGACTGACAAAGATTCAAATCCATGCCCTGGAGAGACAATTCTGTTACCCATGCGCCCCATGGCGCTAGCATTAAAAGGTGTGAACATTTTGTCAGTCTCACGTTGGTAGGGATGATGATTCTTTTGAGTAACTGCTGTGATGTGGAACTTTCACACCAATGTTTTTCTTAACAAGTTTCTGTAGCTACCCTTGTGACAAGACCTTCATTTTCCACGTACTCTACCCAAAGATTGATAGGTTATGCAGAGCTCCATATAAGCTTTTGGTGTTTTTTAAATCATTGGGTATCAGTAATTCTATCTGGGTATTCAAATTTCTGTTACCCACTAGTTTTTACACATGTAGGTATTTAAGTTAAATATTTAACAACACTATTCATCTAGTCCCTGGAAACTGGTTTCGTGTGGGTTCGAGAGCTTCATAGGAATCAAAAATACCACGGTACTTCCACAAGAAAGTGTGATGGCAAATGATCATGATGTAACTGTCATCGTGGAGTTTGGCAAGGTTGACAGAATGCGCGTTTATAATTTCAAAATAAGTTGCTGATTTTCTAATTGAATACGCAGGGTTACTTCACAATATTTTGATGATACGCACAAGTTTTATTTTTGTAGCGTATCTGTAATGTTTGTTGTGTATTTGATACGCTTGGATTTTATTTTACTGCATATTTCTGCATTTCTGATGCATATTTTACGCAGATACGCAGCTTATCTGGTTATGTTCAAATATTGAAGAGAAGCTCTCCCCAGCTCCCACTGGGATATTTGTACAAACTGAGTGTTAGATTTTGTCATGGTTCTGCCACATAGCACTATCAGTGGGGATGGGATATCATTGATCTTGTGTTTTTAAATCTATCCATTGTGTTTTCTTCAGGAGCAGAAATTTGCCTGAAAAAAGGAAAACAATGCTAGGCATGTTTCTTGATGAGCCAATGAATGTGGAGGTCAGACCCATCGACCCGATGCACCTGGCCAGGGTCAAGCCTCATGCTCCTCACAGACAGGTCTGGATGCGAGCGTGTGGACATATAGGTAAGGACAGACAAGACTATCATCCATGCTCCTCACAGAAAGGTCTGGATGGGAGTGTGCAGACATATAGGTAAGGACAGACAAGACATCCAAGCTCCTCACAGAAAGGTGTGGATGGGAGTGTGCAGACATATAGGTAAGGACAGACAAGACATCCAAGCTCCTCACAGGTAGGTCTGGATGGGAGGGTGCAGACATATAGGTAAGGACAGACAAGACTATCATCCATGCTCCTCACAGAAAGGTCTGGATGGGAGTGTGCAGACATATAGGTAAGGACAGACAAGACATCCAAGCTCCTCACAGAAAGGTGTGGATGGGAGTGTGCAGACATATAGGTAAGGACAGACAAGACATCCAAGCTCCTCACAGAGAGATCTGGATGGGAGCGTGCAGACATATAGGTAAGGACAGACAAGACATCCAAGCTCCTCACAGAGAGATCTGGATGCGAGTGTGCAAACATATAGGTAAGGATAGACAAGACATCCAAGCTCCTCACAGAGAGGTCTGGATGGGAGTGTGCAGACATATAGGTAAGGACGGACAAGACATCCAAGCTCCTCACAGAGAGGTCTGGATGGGAGTGTGCAGACATATAGGTAAGGACAGACAAGACATCCAAGCTCCTCACAGAGAGATCTGGATGGGAGTGTGCAGACATATAGGTAAGGACAGACAAGACATCCAAGCTCCTCACAGAGAGGTCTGCATGGGAGTGTGCAGACATATAGGTAAGGTCAGACAAGACATCCAAGCTCCTCACAGAGAGGTCTGGATGGGAGTGTGCAAACATATAGGTAAGGACAGACAAGACATCCAAGCTCCTCACAGAAAGGTCTGGATGGGAGTGTGCAGACATATAGGTAAGGACAGACAAGACATCCAAGCTCCTCACAGAGAGATCTGGATGGGAGTGTGCAGACATATAGGTAAGGACAGACAAGACATCCAAGCTCCTCACAGAGAGATCTGGATGGGAGTGTGCAGACATATAGGTAAGGACAGACAAGACATCCAAGCTCCTCACAGAAAGGTCTGGATGGGAGTGTGCAGACATATAGGTAAGGACAGACAAGACATCCAAGCTTCTCACAGAGAGGTCTGGATGGGAGTGTGCAAACATATAGGTAAGGACAGACAAGACATCCAAGCTCCTCACAGAAAGGTCTGGATGGGAGTGTGCAGACATATAGGTAAGGACAGACAAGACATCCAAGCTCCTCACAGAGAGATCTGGATGGGAGTTTGCAGACATATAGGTAAGGACAGACAAGACATCCAAGCTCCTCACAGAGAGGTCTGCATGGGAGTGTGCAGACATATAGGTAAGGTCAGACAAGACATCCAAGCTCCTCACAGAGAGGTCTGGATGGGAGTGTGCAAACATATAGGTAAGGACAGACAAGACATCCAAGCTCCTCACAGAAAGGTCTGGATGGGAGTGTGCAGACATATAGGTAAGGACAGACAAGACATCCAAGCTCCTCACAGAGAGGTCTGGATGGGAGTGTGCAGACATATAGGTAAGGACAGACAAGACATCCAAGCTCCTCACAGAAAGGTCTGGATGGGAGTGTGCAGACATATAGGTAAGGACAGACAAGACATCCAAGCTCCTCACAGAGAGGTCTGGATGGGAGTGTGCAAACATATAGGTAAGGACAGACAAGACATCCAAGCTCCTCACAGAGAGGTCTGGATGGGAGTGTGCAGACATATAGGTAAGGACAGACAAGACATCCAAGCTCCTCACAGAGAGATCTGGATGCGAGTGTGCAAACATATAGGTAAGGACAGACAAGACATCCAAGCTCCTCACAGAGAGGTCTGGATGGGAGTGTGCAAAAATATAGGTAAGGACAGACAAGACATCCAAGCTCCTCACAGAGAGGTCTGGATGGGAGTGTGCAGACATATAGGTAAGGACAGACAAGACATCCAAGCTTCTCACAGAGAGGTCTGGATGGGAGTGTGCAGACATATAGGTAAGGACAGACAAGACATCCAAGCTCCTCACAGAAAGGTCTGGATGGGAGTGTGCAGACATATAGGTAAGGACAGACAAGACATCCAAGCTCCTCACAGAGAGATCTGGATGGGAGTGTGCAGACATATAGGTAAGGACAGACAAGACATCCAAGCTCCTCACAGAGAGATCTGGATGGGAGTGTGCAGACATATAGGTAAGGACGGACAAGACATCCAAGATCCTCACAGAGAGGTCTGGATGGGAGTGTGCAGACATATAGGTAAGGACAGACAAGACATCCAAGCTCCTCAAAGAGAGGTCTGGATGGGAGTGTGCAGACATATAGGTAAGGACAGATAAGACATCCAAGCTCCTCACAGAGAGGTCTGGATGGGAGTGTGCAGACATATAGGTAAGGACAGACAAGACATCCAAGTTTCTCACAGAGAGATCTGGATGCGAGTGTGCAGACATATAGGTAAGGACAGACAAGACATCCAAGCTCCTCACAGAAAGGTCTGGATGGGAGTGTGCAGACATATAGGTAAGGACAGACAAGACATCCAAGCTCCTCACAGAGAGATCTGGATGGGAGTGTGCAGACATATAGGTAAGGACGGACAAGACATCCAAGCTCCTAACAGAGAGATCTGGATGGGAGTGTGCAGACATATAGGTAAGGACAGACAAGACATCCAAACTCCTCACAGAGAGGTCTGGATGGGAGTGTGCAGACATATAGGTAAGGACGGACAAGACATCCAAGCTCCTCACAGAGAGGTCTGGATGCGAGTGTGCAGACATATAGGTAAGGACAGACAAGACATCCAAGCTCCTCACAGAAAGGTCTGGATGGGAGTGTGCAGACATATAGGTAAGGACAGACAAGACATCCAAGCTCCTCACAGAGAGATCTGGATGGGAGTGTGCAGACATATAGGTAAGGACGGACAAGACATCCAAGCTCCTAACAGAGAGATCTGGATGGGAGTGTGCAGACATATAGGTAAGGACGGACAAGACATCCAAGCTCCTAACAGAGAGATCTGGATGGGAGTGTGCAGACATATAGGTAAGGACAGACAAGACATCCAAACTCCTCACAGAGAGGTCTGGATGGGAGTGTGCAGACATATAGGTAAGGACGGACAAGACATCCAAGCTCCTCACAGAGAGGTCTGGATGGGAGTGTGCAGACATATAGGTAAGGACAGACAAGACATCCAAGCTCCTCACAGAGAGATCTGGATGGGAGTGTGCAGACATATAGGTGAGGGCAGACAAGACATCCAAGCTCCTCACAGAGAGGTCTGGATGGGAGTGTGCAGACATATAGGTAAGGACGGACAAGACATCCAAGCTCCTCACAGAGAGGTCTGGATGGGAGTGTGCAGACATATAGGTAAGGACGGACAAGACATCCAAGCTCCTCACAGAGAGGTCTGGATGGGAGTGTGCAGACATATAGGTAAGGACAGACAAGACATCCAAGCTTCTCACAGAGAGATCTGGATGGGAGTGTGCAGACATATAGGTGAGGGCAGATAATTTAACTGTAACTAAGTTCTTTGTTCCGTTCAGTGACATCAGTATATTTCTGTTTATTCCAGGTGATGACATCAACATGCACAAGTGTGCCGCCGCCTACATGTCGGACCTCATGTTGCTAGATGTAGCCCTGATGCCCGCGGAGACGGGAACATCGTTCAGCATTACCTCCCTTGATCACTCCATGTGGTTCCACAACCCCTTCCATGCCAATGAATGGATGCTGTATGAAATGGAGAGTCCTCACTGTGGTAAGGTTAGACAAGGTGGTTACACTTGTCAGTAGGCTCAAGGAAGGCAGTCTCAAAATCCACCAATACTTTTGTAGTGGGTTTTTGATTACCTATTCCACAAATTTTAGGCTGAAAAAAAATAAGTCTTGGTTCTCAGGCACTGCCAACATCATCATAAAGTTCATTGCATGTTTCGTTTTTGTTTCTGTAGCATGGCGTAGAGTCATCCCACAGATGACATCCTTACCTTGTCAGCTTGCTGACGGGGTTAACCTCTCTGGTCATGTGGACAAGGCGTCTGACCTCGGATCAGAAGGTCCGTGGTTCGAATCCCATCACGGGACTCGGAAATTTTATGGCCGCTACATTTCCATTTTCATTTTTTTTTGTGCATTGTGTTTAAGTATTAGGATTTTTATATTTTTTGGAAAATGGAAATGAAAACAAAACGTGCGGCAGACTTTATGATGATGCAGGTAATGCCTGAGAACCAAGACTATTATTTTTTTTTAGCCTTAGATTATTTCTGAAAATATCCTTCTATTTTCGATCCTTTAACACAATGGTTGGGTTCAGTTCTGTTGCTGTGTCTCAAACACTTCAACACACATTATTCTATTAATAGTCATTTGAAAGGTGAGGGGGGTTTTCAAAGCCATTTTACTTTCATTAAGGTGTATCAATTACATAGGCCAAACCCTTTGTACATGATCTTTTTTCTGGTCCTCAAAATTGGCTTTATCTACAGTCATGAGACTACGATCATGAAGCTTTGCAGGAACCATGGGCGTTACCTAAGATGGTTCCTTTCAGATTAAAATTAGTTTCAGGTTCACATTTTTCATAAGAATGATGCCATTGTTTGACAGGTATTTTGAGTTATTTTGTTAACCTGATCACTTAAGAAATTAAAGACCAAGTGCATTTTGTACCAGGGTGCGGATGTACAAAAGTTATCTTTGCGGTAAGGCGATCAAAACTCTTCTACCTTAACATAGACTTACAACAGTGGTAGCGCTAAGGTTGCTTTTCAGAGTGAGTGAGTGAGTGAGTTGGGTTTAACGCCACTTTTAACAGTATTCCAGTTATATCACGGCATGTCAGCTTAATGTGGGAGCTTAAAGTGATGCAGGTCTCAGACGTTTACCACTTTGGTGAAACCCATGAGCATAGGTAAGGTGCTGACAAACCTAGAAACATAATCGGGGTGAACCGGGATTCGAATCCACAATCAGAGATTTCTGGCGTCCCCAAGGGACGCAACTCTGCACAGCGAATCGCGGCGCCTTAGACGACTTGGCCACCCGTGCCCCCTGTTTTTCAGAACAGCACCCATGCAGGGTTGTTGTAACTTGACTTAAAAATAGTGGTGGTACAGGGGACCCCAAATAATAATTAGAGTACCTTGCAGGCAATATGAGGGTTCTGTAAAGTAATGAAATGATGTAGTGTACTTTTCATTTAGATAATTACTTTAGAGCCTGGAATGAATCAATTATCATATGGACAGTGCTCATGATTGATGGATGAAATAAGAGACACCCTTAACTGTGCTGTAGGTACAACGAATATTATTGTGCGTCCCTGGGGATGCAGCATGTTTTGTTTCTACATCCATTCTCTACATTTGTGAGTACTGGATGAACATTTGTGCATTGATAGTTCCTTCTCCACATCATCCAGCATTACATGGCTGTTTGTTCCTCAGGTTCTGGACGATCGCTGTCCCTAGGCAGACTGTGGAGGTCTGACGGGGTGTTGGCCATGTCTATATCCCAAGAAGGTGTAATCAGGACAGTTGCAGATTCCAAACTCTGATTGACCTCAGGATGTGCCAGATATCGCCATCAATGTACAAGTTTTTTTCGTTTCTTGGTTTTCAAGACTGTTCAAGGTCAAATCTAAGGTCACAGTGAAAGGTATCATGGTCACATTTCAAGCAGGTACCTGTCCTTTGATATCGGAATTTATCAGTTTTATTTTTTGTACATACATATACATGTATATATAAACATATGGAGAACAGAACACAGAAGTCCTTTTCATTTAATTTGAGAATTGTTTGTAACATCCTTCACAAAATAATATACATCATGTGAAGCCAGAGATGTTGGTTTCTGTAGCACATCTCCATAAGGGTCGAGAATTATGTTAACTGTACATAATTATAGTATACAGTTTCTGAGTATCCCTGTCATAAGTTACCGGTGGTATAGATGGTGTGTATCTTACCGGTGGTATAGATGGTGTGTATCAGTATGCATGGTATGATGGAAATGTGAAAACTAACGTTGCCATGCCCGGTTGTGTCTGGAAAATGTACGCATGTTTTATTCTGTTGTTGAGTTTAACCATGTTTGTGTACTTATTTTACATGAAGCTGAGCTAGTGTATTGCAAATCAGTGTTTTCTAGATCATGGTACAACAATTTTGGATTGCATTGTTGAATTTGACAAGAAAAGTATAAATATATATATATTATATCAAGTATTAAAAGGGATTATGATGAAATACAGTTATGTTTTTTATGTAGTTGGAATATATATGTATTGTCATAAATAAAAGATATTAACACTGGTAACAAAAATTGAGGGATTTTCAAAAGTAAAAACACCATCATTTTTATGTTTTAATTCAACCAAGATATAAACAAGGTTTATCATGACAAGAGTGAGTGAATGAGTTGATTTTTTACCGCTTTGACCATTATTCCAGTTATATCATGGCATGTCAGCTTAATGTGAGAGCCAAGCCCGAACTAGGCCTCTGGTGAAACCTATGATCCAGGTATGGTGCTGACAAGCCAAGAAACATAATCAGGATCAAATCGTCATTGGTTTCTGGGATGCTCAAGGGACGCAACTCTGCACAACGAACTGCAACGCCTTAAACGACTTGGCCACCTGTGCCCTAAACATAACAAGAACTATTTCAGGTGCAACTACCATGCACTGTTCAATTACTGATGTCAGTTTCTTGTACAACCTCGATTGATTACAGCCTGCTGTCATACAGCTTGAATATTGCTGACTGCGGCTTAATAAAAGAAAAATCCAAGAAACAATTTACACAATAGATTTTGAAAATGATTTATTGATACTACTTTGCAAAATACAAAGTAAAAAGGTTCCATCATTATTATATACAAAACAGTCATAACATGCATATGATGAAAGATGTAATTGACCACTATCGTGGAACATGACGAATCCAGACCACACTATTTCAGGAATACCACCTTGTGTATGTTTACACTTTGGAACATTATCAACTTCGATCTTCCAGGGTGATTCTGGGTTTCCAACAAACTATGCTTGTCATATGAGGTGACGAAGGATTGGATGGTCAGACTCGGTGATTTGTTTGACATGTCCATGTACCCTGACAGTACCTGTTCATATCAATCACAGGTTTGTCTGATCAAGACATGATTATAACAGACCATGTTATATTGAATAACCTGCTCAATGCATCATTATACAATGAACAAATACATTCTAACTTACACAATACAATAAGGGTGCGTGGTATATCGGTAAATTGAGCTTCGTTCTTACCATGATACGTATCACAATATCATTTTTCAATGCTCGGTATACTGGGTGATTTCAAATAGCGATTTTTATCATGTGTTTAGTGTTAACACTTGCCAAATACCCGAAGCGTGCATCAATGCGTATCTATTAACTGAGTAAACATTATGTTGTACCAGTATCTTGTTTTGTTCCATTTATAAACTTCAATTCATACACCGATGTTTCAAATTGCTTCTGAATTCAAAATTTTGAATTATACAGTATATCATGATACACATTGCAATTCGCCCTTGTGCATCGTTAAATATTGTGATGAACTTCAAACCTCCAATACCCATCCCTACTAAACAAGCTAATTAAAATTAGTCCAAGTCTTGAACTTGGTAAGGCCCAAACCAAATTAATTCATGAAGGAAAGATAATTGTCATCAATATATGGAATATGATAATTATTTTGAATACTGCTAGTAGTTCTTATTAAACAAATCAAAAACTGATTTCTGCAAAAGCCAATCACATGCCTGTAAAAGCAGTCAGCTGAGTGAGCAGATAGACTTGAGAAACAATCTGTACATATACAGATGCTAAGAGTGACTGAGTGAGTTGGGTTTAATGCCGCTTTAAACAGTATTCCAGTTATATCACGGTGTGTCAGCTTAATGTGGGAGGAAAGCCCGAAGTGATGCAGGTCTCAGACGTTTACCACTTCGGTGAAATCCACAAGCACTGGTATGGAGATGACAAACCTAGAAACATAATCGGGGCGAACCAGGATTCAAACCCACAATCATAGGTTTCTGGCGTGCCCAAGGGACGCAACTCTGCACAACGAATCGCGGCACCTTAGACAACTGGGCCACCCATGCCCCCCAGATGCTAAGATGGAATCTGCCTGCATCAGAATGGTCTGGATTATCAAGGTTCCACAGTGTGTACACAAGACATATCTAATATTACACAGCTGTCTATGTATTGTGACATTATTAAATCAACTAGAGCTTCACAGTTTATTGCACATGTTACTTATCTATGGACATTAATGAAGGAATCACAAATCGAGTGGTAATTTACAACAGCATTTACATCATTCAAACTCACCATGCTGTCCATCTATATACTTGCTGGGCTATTCTTAAAACAGGCTCTGTCTAACAGTTCATAATAAGGCTAAAATGTGGGATAAAACATTTTGTAGTAAGGTTTAGCAAGATTTATACTTTAAAAGTTCAATTAAGCTGGGGACCGCCACCATGGTGTAGTGGATAGAGCGTCTGTTTGGAGAGTGGGAGGTCAGTGGTTTGACACCCTGGACAAGTCCTACCAAAAGATGTTAAAACATGGTAATGTTGTTACCCTGCCCCGACGTTCAGCATTCCGGGTACAAAACAAAGACTGGTTAGCTCAAGGTCAGTAGACCATGTATGAGTAGGGGATCTTTTTTAAACTGTGGCATGGTATCTCAGTGAGCTATCACTTTAAAACCACTAGAACAAGCAGCCACACCCACATACATGCTCGTCTCTTTATGAGTGCAATAATCTTGAACAATGTTCAAAACCATTTTACCTTGCAATCGCCTCAACTGATTGTCCGGAATTGCATAAGCATCAGTGTGGAAAAATAGCCTGTACCAGTAATATTTCTATAAAATTATTTTTAGGAACTGGCATGAATAGTTTCCAGACTTCTTAGAATGTCAGATTTTCAAACACTGCGTGAACAGTGAGCTAATTATCTCGACAGAGAGAATATCCATGAAGAATGCACCCAAATTTGCACCATAACTTGCTAATATACAATACATGTTTATGTACACATCACAAATAAATAGATTTGATAAATGGTGAACATACATTTTACATGTTTCAAAAAGGAAAAATTGGTATCAGAAACCAAGAAATAGCGCGAACACGTTTCCATTCTTTGTACAAACTTCATAATTAATATCCATAACTTGTTGCATACCATGTATGGTATATATATTTTTTCTGCTCTGTGGACAGACAATTACTATTTGTAAATTCTTAAATTGCATGCATTCAATCTGATTACGTGCATCATCATCATCTTCTGGAAAATGAATATTACAGTCCAAGCTTTGTGTAGTGAGTGAGTGAGTGAGTATGGTTTTACGCCGCTTTTAGCAATATTCCAGCAATATCACGGCAGGGGACACCAGAAATGGGCTTCACACATTGTACCCATGTCGGGAATCGAACCCGGGTATTCAGCGTGATGAGCGAACGTTTTAACCACTAGGCTACCTGACCACACCCCAAGCTTTGTGTATCAATGACACGTTTCAATAGATGGTTATGTTTAACTTTCATGAGTCAGGATGTAAAATATTGCTCGTATCTCTATGCTTAACACAAGGAACAGAGATGGAACTTGTGTTAACAATTTGGGGAAACTGATATGAATATGTGAGTGAGTATGTTTTTATGCCGGTTAAAGCCATGTTGACAATATTCCAGCCTCATCATTACATGGGGACACAAGAAAGGGCTATTTGCAAACCATGATCTTTGACCCTAGGTCGCTATCCCACCTTAACATCAAACAAGTTGAAGGCAAATAGAATCTCTACTTTTAAACTCTGCATTATAATTCTTTCCAGGGTGATGTGAAAATGTGTTTTCACATCGGACAATACAGATACTGTAAACAGTGGCCATTGCAATACATTCACAAAGGATAAACAAAGTTAATGTTATAATTCATGTTTATTAAAACGGTTCGTGAACCACAGCAAGTTCACTGGCTCAAGGTTCATGGGGAACCAATCTGTCATCATGGTCATACTAAACAATATATCAATTGGAGATGCAACAATTGCATCTGTAGAAAACAGGATTACAACACTCACATGAACAAGTCACATTCAAACTGTTATATTTTATTTTAGAAGCAGTAATATTATATATATATATATATATCACAGTTGACTATGCTGCCCTAGTGTAACCCAATAAGAGGAAACGGGCATCTATATTCAACCAGAGTTGACAACAACACTTATAAATAGCCAGCTGGTACTTGACACAGTACTATAAATCCACAGAACATTTCTTCAGTCTTGCATTGTGAATCCAGGCATACAACAGTGAGTCAGTCAGCGATGTGTACAGTTGTATTGCCCATCTGCCTTCATTACATTCATTTCCTCTTTGCCAAAACCTTTGAGTCTTGTAACCTGAACTGGCATCACTTTCAGTAGACAGTAGAGTTCTGTTAGCTATTATTAGACATACCAACTAAAAGATTCACTAGGCATGAGTTTTTAAGCGACTTGGTATACATGGTATAGGGACTTGTGGCCATGGTTGCATATTGAGCATATCTATGTAAAGAATACACATTAGAAAGTACCCAATGCCCATTTTCATTCTGCTTGTCCCCGAAACAATTCTTATCTTTAATATGTGCAAACATTAGTGAGACTGACGAAAGACAGAAGACAGCATAGCCAAATACTTGGCACAGGGATAAACCAAGAATGACTATTGTCAGAATCTTAGGTTTCTAAATAAACCAAATAAAGAAGAGCATCAGAAAGTCTGGTGTTTCGTAATCCCAGTTTCATCACCTCTGTTAATACAATCAGAGCTGTTGGTTGTTGCAAGTGTGACCATTATTTCTCAAAGTCTACATTCACGTGTTACAACTCATACAATTCAAGTCACTTCTATTTGAGCAACTTCACAAAAGCATAGTACCGGTAATTTGATTTGCAACACGTCATCATGTACAGATTGAATATAGTCTCTAAACTGGTCACAGACGGAATGTTTGGAATGATCATAATGATGACATATTTTGTCTCACAGATAAACATTTTGGAATTATTTCGAACAACAATCCAGGAATATGGGTGCCTGCAACTCAAATGATTCCAAGAAATAACACACCCAGCATTCAGATCAAATCAGATAATCTTTGCTGAATTAAAAGTCAAAGCAATACCGGTCAGGGGTGTGGTGACTGATTGAACTGTTTATGCCAATGGCTAGATATATCAACTCTAAGTAACATTAACAATATTTAACATCCATTCTGCACTCTATTGATGGTATGAAAAGACAGAATGAAAGAAAAACCAAGTTAATTATGGCCATCATATTCATTTTTATCCAAAATACATCTTGTTTGAAGAGATATGTTTGTTAAATTATATCCAACAATAATCAGCGGTCTGTCCCTTAACTTTGTCATTTTGTGTCATACAATAAAATCTCTATTGTGGTCAGGTAAACGTATTGTAGCAATTGTCAAGCAAAGGTTGTACCACTATTGCAAAAGTGTAAGCATGTCATAACTATTCCAAAACTATTGCAAAAGCATAATGACCCCAAGAATCCTCTGTCGGTCAGTTCAAACACTTTTCAGCCAACTTTAGTGTTTGGGTATTCAAATTCCACTGTGACATGATTGAAATCATCTACCATCATGATTATGAACAAGTCCAAAGATTTACAAGACAGAGTTGACTTGCTCCATCAAACATTTCTTCAAGCTTCTAGCTAACTTTAGCAGCAAGAGAGTTGAAGCATTGTTAAGCCCTATAAACATTTTGGGATAATATGTACACTTTGGCAAAGCTATCATGCTTTCATTTTGATATATACCCATTGTATACAGATCAATCTTTAATTAATTCATGGGAAGAATAGGAAATTGTTACTGTCTAGAAATTGAAAGTTCGGTCACTGGCAAAGGTCATATTTTAAACACAGCAAAGGCATAGATGAAGAGCACCTCTTACATACCCACTTCATACCACGTTACACTTTACCATGCTCTACAGGGTTTTACACGTATCTTGACCTGCTCAGAGGCCGATATCCGGATAAATCCCTGTCCTATCTACAGTGGCTTAATAATGCTTTTATGTGGGTTTTCTTTGAGTTTTTGGACCTCTTTAACACCTTCAGCTGACATTGTTAGTGGGAACATGTCTGCCAAGTTTCATCTTCACCAGTTAAAAACACTTTCAGAGGAAATACCCTCATAACATAGTGTAGTTGCTACCCACAGTAGATGCTAGTGTGACCATTAACCTTCTAGTGCCTCATTAGCCAGGTTGAATACTCCTGGCTCATTTTGTCTAAAACTGTGCCTATATCCTTAATGCCTCAAAAATAAATATTATATTTTCATCCAAACGTTTCAAAAACCCGAGGTAAGACTATTAATTCATTAAAGGCATTCACTGATTGGTAAATTTCACCAGTTGCAAATTTGTTAAAGCCTTTTGCTGATTGTTGTAATTTCATCAAAGGTTAACAAAACAACACCTACAGCAATTTGATGACAAATCATGTGTAGCAGGGTGTTTTGACAGGTAAAAAGTCACAACTGTTTTTACATGAAAATTCCATCATATGAATCGAACCTGCAACCTCACATATTGTAACGTTTAGTATTTTAACCCATTGCCTTCCCACTGAGCCACCAGGCAGGTGATGAAAGGGTGTTCAATCTTACATGTCAATAACTTAAGTTGTGTCCATGCTGCACTTGGTCTTTCTCTCGACCGCTGTCATCGACTACTGTATTGTTTCCCTATATGGGTAACCCAGTGGGTTTTTTCAATTCTATCTGATATTTCTTGCATTTGGACGGTTCATAAGTTAGTTAAAACACTCCTCTTCCTCAGTTACAACTAAAAACTGGTTATTACTTAATGGGATCCACATTGACCAGAATGACCCCTCAAACAACCAAATAGCTGATAAGTTCTACCTATAGTTGCATTCAATCTTTTAAGCTCTCCTTACAAACATTCCACCCACCCTGCAAATCATTAATACTAACAAAGACCATCAGGAAAAGCCTCTCCCGCACTTTCTTGGCCCGGGCTTTGAAGAGCACTAGAGTTGCCTGTTGGAGACACGGCTCCTCCAGGAATCACTAGGTCTCGCGCCAGTTTGGCAAACTGAAAAATGGAGGAAAAGGAAATAGGTACAAGAGCAACTCATATTTGGAGCAAGCAAACCATTAGGGACTCTTTTACATTAGTCCCCTGTCTTAAACCTGATTATGCTCCCAACAACTGTAAGCTAGCATTGGGTATACTTGGACATAACAAGATTAGCTGCTATCTGTCCCCTACATGACTATACTGATATTTGAACCTTTTTGTGCAGATTGATACAATTTATTATATTAAGCCTACACATCACTAGAAATGGCATTGAAATTATAAGTAGGCAGTTGAAATGTGGGATCAATATAAGTTTTTCTGAAGATCTTCACGAGTTTGTAACCATGGTAACAAAGAAACAAACACGGTTTCTTCGAGCATTGCCATGTACCATGATGTACAGAAATGGCTGCTAGTGTCATGATCATATATATAATTCCTTCAGCAGCTAATGAAATGGTGATAATGTCTACTTACAGCATTATCCAAGTACTTAAAGAGGGGGAGTTTCAATGTCCTCCTCCCCATCTCCTCATCTCCCTGGTCATAGGCTGTCAGTAGGTCCTCCAGTGCTCCTGCTTCTTCACTGCACCCGAATGTTGTCAAACTGGGAAAATACACACACCAATAACTCATGACTAAAGTTATTCATATTTCTTAACATTTGTCACAGTTGTAAATAATTGTTCTTGTAGGAGGAAAAAGGTCCCATCAGTAAAGAATGTTACGTTTCACAGAAAACCACAATATTCCAGCTACATCACAGCAGCCTTGGCCAAAGAAACCAGAAGTTGATGGCATGAACAACAACTCACACTGTCAGGGCACAGTGACACACATCAGCCAAGTCACACATTACATCCACCTGATCCACATCAGTCAGCTCTCAGGACAAGCATGCAATACTGGGGGTGCATTCTGACCAGAATCCCCACAGGTCATATTGTCAGTTGAATGCGTTAAGAAATCTCAGAGGGCATGGGTGGTCCAGTCGCCTGAGGCGATACCATTGGCTGTGCAGAGTTGCATCCTTTGTACACACTTGAAACTTATGACTGAGGGTTCAAATCCTGGTTGGCCCGTTTATATTTCAAGGTTTGTCAGCACCTCACCCATCATGCCCATACTTGTGGGTTTCATCAAAGTGGTAAATGTCTGAGATCCGCATCACTTCGGGCTTTCCTTCCACATTAAGCTGACACACCATCATCATATAACTGGAATACTGTTAAAAGTGTGTTAAACCCCACTCACTCACTCTGTGTGGGTTGGCAGCCATTCCCTTTGGTCAAGTCTATTTGGTATTTTAAACGAAGGAATAAGCCATTTTTAAAAATAATTCTGAAGAAAACGCTTTTTCTAGTGACTTCTAATTTGCATCTATTCATATGCTGCTCCAAGTGTGTCATGTCACAAAAGCTAACAACACTGATACAAGTCAAAGTTAAACATGTGATATGTATCACTTTTGTGCATTATTCACTTCATGCTTTCCTCCAACATAAAATGTAAGTAAAATCATTCATGTTGAAGTAGAAGCATTTTTCATATCATCAAAATTCTAAAACATTTATCAAGTTATTGAACATATTGAATAACTGATTTTTTCTTTGCTGTCAGCTATGATCTACAATGCCTTCAGACTCATCATAGTATTTCAAAACCTGTAACATCTTGATATGTCAAACACAGGTTTTCCAAACAATTTCACACAGACAGAAACCAAGTAAACCAAAACCATGAAATAGCAGCAAACTGACTGACAGAATGAGACACAATGACATAATACACAATCTTGTTAGAATTGGATCTCTTACTCTGATACAATACCTTTCTGTGTTATGATCTGAGGACACAACCATAGAAGGTTGTGTTGGGTGAACCCTAAGCGACCTTTGACTGCCCAATCTTAATGAAGGATGAATGGGTTCTTGAGCCAATCAGATGTCAGCTTTCTAAAATGATTTGCCCCGATTTGTAAAGTTTTATTTTAAAAACAGAAAACCTACGCAGGACACAAACGTGTCTTCAATAGTACACCCATTTGTGTGTAGATGCTACAGAAAGACAGGGTGAACAAAACATCCACTACAACATAATGGCGTGGCCTTCATCATGTACAATCATGAAAGGTTGTTTTAGTTCGTTTTCAAGATACACAAATCTGAAAAGCTGGTCTGAATTTTTCATCCACTCGTGCCAAGAATTTAGAAATCCCAAAGCTGGTTGGCTGATCAGAAAGTCCATCGGCTTCAAACTCCAATGAAGGTATCTTTAGAATTTAACACAGTGAGGTGTAGTATCAGATTGTACTGGGCTTGCATACAACACAGCAATGCCAAGGTGGCCGAACATCGATCAACTGGACTCACGTGAGACAAGACTTGAAGAAGAGGTCAGCAGCCACATAGTCCTCCTGAGTGAGGTGGACCAACACTGTTCCCATGATCACCTTATTCAGCAGTTCAAAGTTCTCACACTCTGTGTAATAGTCTATCTCTTTCTTCATTGTCTTCACTGCGTCTACATACCTGCATACATAGCATAGCAGAAGTAGAGGATTACAAAAATGTATGTTAAACAGAGAGCGACAGAGAGCTTTTATTCCACATTTCAGTTTTATTTCAACTGCCTTTAAACAGTCACGTCTCAGTCAGGCAAAGCAGTGGTTGATGTGATGGGCAATAATCTTGCCATGTGGGTACTAGGACATCCATCCAGCCAGGTAACACACTCTAACCACCTAATTCTTATTTGAGTCAAATCTTGGTACAAGTATGGGTACTGGCGACCTATTCTTTCCCCTACTAGGCTATGCTTAACATTGACTGATGTAAATCCTTACTCTGAAACAGTTTGTAATGATAAAAAAAAAATTTAAAAAGTATTAAAATATTAACACCAATATGACACTTGATAAGAAAATAGCAAAGATTACTCATGTTAATTCGGGGTTAAAAACAGGTCAAATATGAAAACATGTTATCCTGACCTCCCATGGCTCTCCCTGACCAGCCTTTAAACAGTTATTTCATCATTTTATCACTTCTTTTATGGACACAAAAATCCTTGTTTCCTACCTTCTACACCTTATCATGAGCCTTGCAGCTTTTCCAATGTATTCTGCACACTGTCGAGGTCGATCTTCAATCTGGGGAAACATAAATTCAGTTTAGTTCATTCAAGAAAGACCTAAATAAGCTGTAATGTAAAACAGAGAAGTCAATCTGATTCTACTGGCCATTTGCTTACAACTTGTTGAGCTTATCAATGCTTATAGCTCCTTAAAGACATCATTCAAGAAAAAGGACTTTAACACACGTCTACAAAACCGTTCTAAAAGACTTCCTAATCAAAATGAGATAATAATGTTTTTTCTATCATGTTCTATAGCATGGTTAGGTTTCTAGGAGTCAAAAATTTGTTTACAGATTAAATCAAACACATGTTGCTTCATGCAAAGACTTCTGTAAGGTAACACTCTTCTCAATCGGCTTTAATTGGAAAACAACTATTTCATGTTGAAAGTCGTGAACAGACTGATGAATGTGTGTGCCTTACACCATGTACGTACCTTATTTACACATCTAAGTTAATTTTCATGTGAATGCATAGCAAATTACACATACACATGTATGTCTAGATACACATGTGCAAAATTACTTACATGAGTAAATGTGTGCATGCGAACGGGGTAATATGTCACAGTTTCATTGATGATGTCTCATTACATCATATTATCAAGGAGCTTGCACATTTGAATAACAATGACGATGTTGAAATACCCTAACTTAGCCTAAACATGCTGAAGAGGACACATCTGACTTACTCATACTTTCTCTAAATATCCAACATCTAAGCAAACTCGAAAATGCCATGCCTGACTGGAAACATGCATTTACATGATAATCACTAATAATCATGATAATGGTACATAAACTGATGATGTGATAAATGAGTTCTCCAAATCAATTGCTGGGTTACCATTCTGTGATAATCTCTCAGTATGTTCTTGTATCCACATGCTCTCCAAATAATCTTTCAGCAGAAATGGAAACCCTTTCTGTAAATGCACACTTTCTTCACTAAAGGCATGGTTGAAATTCAGACAAGTTTTAGACCTAACTGCCATTATGATTCCAAGTCAAGACTAACCTCAGCAACATCACAGGCCTTTAGGTAGATATCAATGGCTTTCTCAGGCTGGTTCATCTCCACCATTCTGTTTGCATAAACAATGTTGCATGTGTATATGTAACCATGGTAACAACAAGGGGATGTACATGTACATTTAACAACAGGGTGTAAATACATTATATACATGTAACAAGGTGGCAATACAAAAACACCTTGAAACCACTTTCAAACATATAAGGGTGTGTGGTATTATCATGATTATTGGCATATCTGTAAATTGAGGTTCATTCTTTCCACGATATGTATCATAATATCATTTTTTTCTTGCTCGATATATCGGGTGATGTCAAATAATGAGTTTTTAACGTTTTTTTCTTGCTAAATGCCTTCTCTGCCCCGCAGCATGCATCTGGGGCCGCAAGAGGGCACATCAGGTTGTACCAGCATCTTGTTTTGTTCCACCTATGAACTTCAATTAATACCTTAATGTATCAGATTGGTGCTGAATTCAAAATTTATAATTATACAATATTTCATGATACGTGTCACGATACGGCCTTGACCATAGCAAAATATTGTGATACACATTAAACCTCAAAATAACCATCCCCACAAACATACCATAAGCTTGTTCAAAATCCACATACATATCATGATCATGAAAAAAAAGACACCATATAGAAAATACCCCACATGGGTTGGGATGTGAAACAACTTTTGCTAGACCTACATCAACTGAACGCATGCTCCCACTGGACCTAATATGAGGAGACAATTCAACTGCACACTACCAAAGTCACAAAGTGTACCAAAACACCTGGAGGAACTGACGTAGGTTGTCACATAAGATGTCTGCACACACCCCTCTGGATCTGCCAATGTCATACTTGATATTTGGACTTTCTTCAACAAATATTGAGGTTACCACAGAACATATCCTTACTTGGCAGCTTTATCCAGTGTGAGTGCTGCTGTGTCAGGAGTGCCGTGCTCCTGGAACATCACCGCCGCAGTCTGCATTAGGTGGAGACACTGATCTATCTCCTTGTTCTCTTTACAGATCATGGCAGCCTGTTCAAATGACCTGTAACAATAATGTAGGTTTGTTATCATAATGAATGGGATTAAATGTCCTTGTGGCTGCCAACATGGCCAATGAAATTCAATAACATGATTGACGTGATTCATGTTTATTTGTTTCCATCCTGTGTTGAATAATAGCATTTAAATGTTCAAATGACAATGACATAATAATATGCCTGAAGTCCATATATTGTTGATAAAACTTCTAAAGGTAAGTTAGTGGGTGCCTAAATATATTGAGACTGCTAGCCCAAACCTGTCGCCTGAAACTATTTTCAGTAGAAAATATTTTCTTAGTGTAAATCATGTTAATGTTTGAGCTTTTATCTGCATAGCTTAAAAGAATGAAAGAAATTTTAATAGACTCTGGCTTCAGACTAGTGTCTAAAGTAACAGACTGGTAGGGTTAAACATGAACCTGATAAATAATACACCAGATCACATTCATTAAGATGATACAATAATTGAAATCTAATTTCTTTTAAGTTAATGACACTGCAGCAAGAAGGCCTATCTATTGTAAAACTATTTTATACACATAGAAAAGCCACATAGCCATGCCAATCAGATTTCTTCAACTCTGCAACAGTAAAATAAATCCAGATTTGACCAGGTATGGAAAACAACACATGTAGAAACAAATAACCTTTAGTTTATCTGGAAACAAAATAATACTTACTTGGCAGCATGAAATGTTCTGGACAGAATCAAGGAAAAACAATTCTGAACAGATATTGACAATAATCTACCTTTGCTCCTCTCATCATGCACATTCAAATTACTATGGACATAAAAACGGCATACACCTTTGTTTTCATGAGTTTTAGCCATACCAATTTTTTTATATCTCAAAATGAGGCCAAGGAAGATACATGTACATCTTTGTTTACTTAGAAAAGAAAACATAAACTGTAAGAGAGAGATTTTATGGATGTCAACTTCGTTATTATCATGATTATAAGGAACACAACATTTTGGAGTATATGCTTACTCCTTCATTCACCTAATGAAGGTCAAGGGGTATGCATATACAGTCAAACACTGCTGTGTTGAAAATGAAGGGACCTACATAAATACTTCAAGTTATCCGAGGTTTGACACAACCTAAAATGATGCATAAAGAAGGAATACTCAGGGACCTAGCTTTAGTTTTACATTGAGACAAGCGTAAGTTCACCACATCAAAGTTTGACACAACAGTTTTAACTGTACTCCAAAACATTGCGTTCCTTATAATATGGAAGTTGACATTATAAATTCTCGCTGTTATATGAATCACTTCTAAATGCCATTCAAAGACTTAACAAACTGTGTTTCAAAGAATTGGATATCTTCTCTGCTACTCAGTTCAAGTTGTCATATTTTCACATAATATGGTCACCGTTGGATAGCAATACATAGCTATTGTGGAGATTTTTTTTAGCATGATTATGGTGCCTACTCGTATTTTGCAGGCAATTTTAAGGTAAAGCATGTAAATATTACTAAATAAGTACTGTAGTTAAATATTGTGAATATCGTCAACTGTTTCTCACCAGAAAATGATTGACAAAAAGAAGTGATACACGTATCATGCATGTGTCATGTGTGTACCAGCAAATAATTGATATCTTGTAGTTTTATTTAGATTCATATTACCTTTCAAACTGTCAACAGCAATATAGGACCTAACTTATTTATTTACTTTGTGACATTTTAAGGATACGCTCCACTTTGTTGTTGGAGTTCAGCAGTCTTCAGATACATGTCCTTGGCTTCATCATAGGCTTTGGCATTCTTAAAACTTGTTGCTGAAGAGTAAAACACTTAGGTAAATGTTTTGAAAAAAAAGATTGAATAAATTCTCAAACATATGTCAATGAAATTCTGAAAGTTCTATTTATTAAATAATAAACATGCAAAGAATTATTTACCAGCTTTCCTGTATTCGTCTACTGCTCCATCCACATCTGGCTTCCATTTGAACAGAGATGTCTTCATACTGAAATCAGGATTATTTTCATTTAAAGTAAGCAGCCATAGGAAATAATTATTTAATTTTTCCAAATGAACATATGCTTGTTTGGATAACATTACATACATATTAATGAATGAAGAATACAAAAATATACAGGCTATTCAACATTTTCAATACTAACTTGACTAGCCTAATTTATCAGCTGTTTATACGCCTAGGCACAGGTTTCAGAAAATGGAAGATAAGAAGTGGGGAAATTTAAATCAATTTAATTTCTTTAACATCAATAAAACAAAGGGAGTAGTGCACTTTACCGGGCGCACTTTTTCAGATCCAATTAGCGCTGTGGGGGCTCGAACGCGCTTCGCCGGCTCACCGGCTCTGCTAATTAATGCGTTAATTAGCCTACGCTCTACCACTGGACCACAGGCGCTATCACATGTAATCAGTGCTCGTTTAACAGGTCATTAGAATCCCCATTGACATGCATGCGTAATTCAGTAAACAATGAATTGCGCATGCGTGTGACGTCACTGCCCGCTCTCCAATTCATCTTTTCTCGAAACCACACCCGCAATTGTTTATGTCAACATGACCGACCAATGGGATTAACTGGATTAACGCTTGAAAAGGTAAGAATTTATGGCTAACCCTTGCCCAAACCCACTGACCCTAATGACCGAAAAGGGGTTTTGGATCGTAAAGACGTGTAAGTTTCCCTAAGACCGAAAACGGGTGTTGGATCGTAAAGACGTGTAAGTTTCCCTAAGACCGAAAAACGGGTGTTGGATCGTAAAGTTGTGTAAGTTTCCCTAAGACCGAAAACGGGTGTTGGATCGTGAAGCGAGAGTCACCAGAGCGTGAGGCACGGTAACGGTATAACGAGACAGCGGTGGCACTATAGCGCGGTAATTGAGCGGATGGTAGAGCTCGGGCTGCGCCCGGTAAACTGCATTGTTGCCAAAACAAATTCACTATCGTCAAATGAAATAGCCAGTTAGCACATATGGGACATGATAATATTTACGTCCCTACCTCTATCATACAATGACGTGTAGATCTACCGTAAGCAATATTTTCTTTGGCAGTAATGTTGATGATTTTCTTATGTCAACAAATTTTACCATATTGTCACACGGGATAGCCAGCTAGCAGTTGTTAACAAATAGATAACAGTAACATACGTCGCTGTTACTAAGTGAGAAAAGCGGAGTTGATGATGGTCTTATGATGTGAGCGGGTGTTGCTGTGCCATGTCACTTGATGTCAAAGACCGTGTTTGGGTCCATAATTACGGTCTCAGTATCGAACAAATATGACAAGTATAGTTCACAAGCCATATATTTTGATTACACTTCAAATAGGAAACTGTTTTTTACCACTTCTCAGCTAATCGTATGTGTTCCAATCCTTCTGACAGCTTTCTATCACTAAAGCTATGTTGTTTTCCGTGGAAATTGGACGCCATCTTGGCTCGTCTGCTGCAAGGTGCATGTCGCGAGATCACGCGAGATTTTTTTATACATTATAGCCTGCTTCTAAAATTGACGTCACTCTACCGCAGATGCGGTCCTAAAGAGTGAGTGAGTTGTGTTTAACGCCGCTTTTAACAGTATTCCAGTTATATCTCAGCGTGTCAGCTTAATGTGGGAGGAAAGCCCGAAGTGATGCAGGTCTTAGTCGTTTACCACTTCGTTGAAACCCACGAGCACGGGTATGGTGCCGACAAACCTAGAAACATAATCGGGTCGAACTGGGATTCGAATCCACAATCATAGGTTTCTGGCCTGGCCAAGGGACGCAACTCTGTACAGAGAATTGCGGCGCCTTAGGCGACTGGGCCACCCGTCCTTAAAAAGAAAAGATTGGTTTAATAGAGTAATCAGTGGTCGATTAAAAATGAATTAGGAATGAGATCTGAACAAATCTTACAATAAAACCACTCTTAAAGGTTTTTATTGGCATTCTAGAAGGTTTGGTAGAGATGGGGACCACATGGTCTCTGATCAAACTGAATTGATGGCAAGGGAGATTTTGCTGGGAGTCACAAACCTTTGATCAACAGTGATTAGGGAATCGCATCCCGGCTGCCAATGAAGATCTGATATGAAGCAATAGATTTTTTATAAATTAGTATCCGATCAGCTTTTTACTAACTTTCTAAATCTATATATCCTTACAGTACATGTGGCTTCATTGTCTGGATGTTATCTATATTACCTGTTGCTGTTAATGTTAATCTGCTGCTAATTAGAACATATCATGAATATACATCTCATTACTTGGTGGTTGAGTGTAGGGATCAGCTTTGTGTTAGAATCTACATCAAAACGCCGCTAAATGTTACAAACCTGAAGTTATTATCCGCAACTTAAGTGGTACATCTTCTTAAAGCATTCTTGTTCATAATCATGGGAATAAAAATACAATTAATAAAATAATTTCAAATGGTCGAGTGCAACACATCTCACTGGCAGATCAAGATGTCAAAATTATGTTGTCGAAGCAGCCAGCAACGGCGAAAATGGCACCGTAGTATTGATACACCAGCTCATTAGAATCAGAGCTTTTACTACAATATGATACATTAGTGCGTAAAGATCTGACGACACATCCATAGAAGGTTGCATCTGGTGAAACCTAAGCGAAATTGGACCGAACAATCCAAATGAAGGTTGCGTGAGCCAATCAGATATCACCTTTCTGAAATCTTATTTTCGGAAATGTCGATCTTAGTAAAGGAAATCCGCCATAGAACACAAATATATGCCCTCTATAGTACACCCCTTTGAATGCAGATGTCATGGCGCTAAGAAAGTGCAGGATGTATAACTTATACACAACAATATATTAGCCTGGCATTTGGAACTCCCCGATTATATTCGTTTTCGAGACACGGAAATGCATGTCATCGTATCCCAATTGCGTGGATCGATTCTCATGATGTCAATCACTGGATTGTCTAGTCCAGACTCGATTAATAACAGACCGCCGTCATATAGTGCGGCGTTTAACAACAAACAAACAAACAAACAATGCTAGGCAACCGTGATCCTTAGTAGGAGAAGCCAGAGTTAATTTAAGATGGAACCTTGAGGTAAAATCGGGTTTAACGTCGCGTCCAAGATTATTGCACATATAGCGACGTGCATGCACGTTTTTGTGTGTGTGCTTGTACTAGTCCGGACCGATCCCAATTCATAGTGCTAGCCCACTGAGATACCATGCCGCAGTTTAACATGAAAAACAGTATACTGACTCCGATCCGACCAGTCCTTGTTTTAGCCTCTTAATGTCGAGTGCCAGACAACAAGTACCATCTTTTAACGTCTTTTGGTATGAAGCCGGCCGGCATCGAACCCCGGGCCTTCCGCTCTCCGGGCGGACGCCCTACCACTAGACCACGGAGGCGGTTAATGTTGAGAGGCTAAATAGGATATATTATATCAGCTACTGCCCATTCATGCGTTTGTGCGTTCCAGAATGTCAGGAATATAAATTGATATTTATTTTAATACATATACTAAATAATGAATGTTCGACGTTGAAACATGAAACGTTGAATGTAAATATTCCAATCATATATGATCACTAGATTGACTTCGTGCTTTATTCAATCGACTGTACTTCAAACGCCACGGAACATGGATACAATATTGCATTTAATATCACTACATACCTATCGGACATCACAGGATATACCTGCACAATGCAAGTACAATGTCAAAAAATAAATTGGCATAAACCAAAATGTCCTATAACCGTTACTCGTTTCGACCATCCGTACCAATATATTTGAAATAGATCATATTTGGTTTGTCAAGAAAGAACTCTTCATATTGAGAGATAACGAATATCGCTAATAAAGATGGCGGCGCCCTTAGAAGCAATTCTCGCGAAACTTCTCCAACCAGACAATGCTGTTATTCAAGAGGTTCCGTTTTAAATCATAATGTCAATTATCTCACGATCAACGTTGTTGTTTTGTGTATTCGATCCGTTATTTTTGTTCGCCGAATCCTTACACATATCCCGATTTCGATAATTTAAACTGTCTGTACGAAAACACGTGTTGGAATTTGACAGCGCGCCAATTTATAGTGAGTCATCGGCCATGTGCGATGAAATCATTGCATGTTTCCCAAGAATATGACCGTTTAAAAATAATGTCTGTTAGCGAAAGACACGTAAATTGTGGAGGTTAATAAAAGCCATTAGCAATAGTACAAAAATAGCATAAACAGTACCAGATATATAGGAAAATATCAATAGATCTACATGTATACAGTAACTTTACAGTCATACATACATTCGCTACAGTCATACACACAGTCGCTTTTTACCTGTCACTATTCCCTCAAAATGTCTATTTGAATACTTTCAAAGATATATATACTTTCATATCACATTAAACATGTTAAACACATCTACTGTATCTTGATAAAATAAATTAAAATTATCATTAGTGACTTAATTATACCCATAACCGGGATAATGACTTAAAAAGAGATAATTAATTGTCATGATTGTATGGTAATATTTACCTAATTATACATATTTACCTTCATTATTGTTTTAAGAATTAGTGATGGCAGTTGACTTGCCTACATCCTTAACAAAATATTGTCATTGTGCTTTTCAGCTTGATAGAAGAATTGCAGCAAAGCTGTCAGACCTTTGTATCAATAGAGCAGAATATGAACATGATGAGAGTACATGTGTGACAAGTTTCATTATGTCACCTCACATTAAAATACTAACTTCTGATTGGTTAAGCAGCAGGCAATTATTTTCCATGTAGCCCGCTTATGTATCCTCCTGAGAAATCAATCAGAACACACCTTAGGTAACTCTCTTATCTCGCGTAAGTATGGTTAAGTTGAAATGAACTGATGTTTATCCGAATGCATTAAGCAAATGAAAGTGACTTGGTTCGTTTTCGTCGTCTGCTAGCTGTCATTATGGCATTTTACTTGATAAAACTTTGGACATATATTCAGGGCTTGTATGAATGAATGTGGGTGAGATAATTCATTTTCAACCATCCCTGTGTGTGAGACTTGCGGCTTGCTTTCATATACACCCACACCATAATTTACACTGACATTTCGACTACTTCAATGAGACACAATAATCAGCTATCACAGTTGTGCTGTAAGCATTGTTCTCTATGTCGTCATGGTCATCCTTAGAGGAAATGAGGTGAGGTGAAATGGGGTTTAACGTCGCGTCCAAGATTATTGCACTTATAAAGCGACGTGTATGTGTGTGTGTGGCTGCTTGTACTAGTCCGGACTGATGCCGATTTATAGTGCTAGCACACTGAGATACCATGCCACAGTTTAACATGAATACCCCACTCAGACACAGTATACTGACTCCGAGCCGACCAGTCCTTGTTTTAGCCCCTTAATGCCGAGCGCCAGACAGGGTAACAACAAGTACCATCTTTTAACGTCTTTTGGTATGACGCGGTCGGGGATCCAACCCCGGGACCTTCCGCTCTCCGGGCGGACGCTCTACCACTAGACCACGGAGGCGGTCTAGAGGAAATGAAGCAACACAAGCCTCAGTGTTCACAAACAAACACCCGCTGTGTAGTATCCATTATTTGACCACCCTTACCATGCCGACTACCTTGCTTGCAGCTTAGCAGTCAACATGTCGGTGTTCGGCACTAACACTGGTCGACTTTTCTGAGTATAGCTTATTTTCTTCAGGACTAGTAATAGATAAATGGTGATCCACTGGTCTAGTGTTATTTTGGGGATGAACAAAGTAATTTGAGTTTGTAATACTTTTGAAATCTGCGATATATTGACTCTAAACAAATCCAGCAACCAGCAACCTCAACAACCCTTCATTGTACAGTGATTACCATCTTGGCCGGTTTCTTATTGTAATTTTTCAATGAATTAATAACTTTTAAAACCCTTTTTGGTTAGGACCACTGTGTCCAGTGGAGATCCAACAGGACCAGTATATTTTCCTATGTGCTAGTCCTTTGGACCACTGGCAAATTTTGGTTAGTATCAAATACTGCATAATACTTTGTATGAATTGGAGTTGTGATGAAGTTTGACCTCACAGCTGTTGTTTTCTGTTTCCAGGCAACTCAGAGTCTAAGGGAGGCATTTAAGGATCCCTCTGCTCTCGGATCTCTCTGCCAGGTGTTGGCGACATCACAGACACCTCAGGTAAGCTCTTGTGCTGGCATAGTTGGTGTCACGTTAAGACAGGTGTTGGCGACATCACAGACACCTCAGGTAAGCTCTTGTGCTGGCATAGTTGGTGTCACGTTAAGACAGGTGTTGGCGACATCACAGACACCTCAGGTAAGCTCTTGTGCTGGCATAGTTGGCGTCACGTTAAGACAGGTGTTGGCGACATCACAGACACCTCAGGTAAGCTCTTGTGCTGCCATAGTTGGCGTCACGTTAAGACAGGTGTTGGCGACATCACAGACACCTCAGGTAAGCTCTTGTGCTGGCATAGTTGGCGTCACGTTAAGACAGGTGTTGGCGACATCACAGACACCTCAGGTAAGCTCTTGTGATGGCATAGTTGGCGTCACGTTAAGACAGGTGTTGGCGACATCACAGACACCTCAGGTAAGCTCTTGTGATGGCATAGTTGGTGTCACGTTAAGACAGGTGTTGACGACATCACAGACACCTCAGGTAAGCTCTTGTGCTGGCATAGTTGGCGTCATGTTAAGACAGGGTTGAAAAAAACAACATTTTCATGAAGCCAGTGGGTTTTTATTCAGAAACAGTAAGTATTAAATGGCATTGTATCCCAGTTGCTTGGATCAATGCTCATGATGTCAATCACTGGATTGTCTGTTCCATACTTGGTTATTTACTGATCACTGCCATAAAGCTGGAATATTGCTGTTAAAACAAACAAATTGGAATTGATGTCCTGACTATCCTTCCTTGTTGCTGAGGAAGTGAGATTTTGCTTCATGTTAGACTGACCAAGCCTTCTACATTGTACCTGTCCTAACAGAATTCTAGATAAAATGTTTTTTCTACTATTTGCGTTGTTATTTCATTTGGGTATTTCCTTGTCAGATTCGACAATATGCAGCTGTTCTTTTGAGACGAAAAATCCAGAAATCAAAGCAATGGAAGGCATTGACAGAAGATGTTCGCCAAAGGTTAGATTAAGTTTTGTTAAAAATTTGCGGAAGGATGTTACCATTGTTTTTCAAACTTGAAATAAAATTATCTTTCGGGCTAGATTTATTGTCATATTTTTAATTATTTTGTTGTAATTATTTTAAAATGAGCAATGATGATGGGGCTTACTTTTATGTTCTTAATTTGATGGAATTTGTTTGTATTTTCTTTGTATTCTTCAAAACAAATGATCATGCAGGTTTACTTTAAGACTTGGAAATGTGAAGTTATTATGGTAAGTTATTGAGTTTTATGGAACATTACAACCATGTTTCCTTATGTTTCAGTATCCGAGACAACATCCTGCAGCTTCTGGTACAGGAGTCTGAGTAAGTCAACGCCACAGGACTATATCTGTATGGACCCATGAAGATCCGGGGCAGAATAGGTCTTCGGCAATCCATGCTTGTCGTAAAAGGCGACTTTGCTTGCCGTAAGAGGCGACTAACGGGATGCATGTCAACTACTGGATTGTCTGGTCCAGACTTGAGTATTTACAGATCGCCGTCAAATAGCTGGAATATTGCTGTGTGCGGCGTTAAACAACATACATCGATTTGATCGGGGGCATCTTGAATGTTTGATGGGGGGCATCTCACAATAGATTTGATTGTTTATCCAATGGTGTTTTCCAGGAAGGGTGTGCGCAATGCTGTAGCTCAGATTGTGGGCACTGTAGCCAAACATGACCTGGCCACCAACAGCTGGCCCCAGGTGTTCGACTTCATGATCACAACAACAAAGGACCCTGATGTAGCCAAGAGGGAGGTACGAATCACAGGATGCACTTCGTCCATCCATCTTTCCAGTGGCTAAGTCTCACATGAAACATTTACTTTTTAATGTTTGAGGGGGCACTGGTGGCCCAGTCGTCTTAGGCGCCGCGATTCGCTGTGCAGAGTTGCGTCCCTTGGCTTGGGCACGCCAGAAACCTATGATTGTGGGTTCGAATCCCGGTTTGCCCGGGTTACGTTTCTAGGTTTGTCAGCACCATACCCGTGCTCATGGGTTTCACCGAAGTGGTAAACGTCTGAGACCTGCATCACTTCGGGCTTTCCTCCCACATTAAGCTGACATGCCGCAATATAACTGGAATACTGTTAAAAGCGGCGTTAAACCCAACTCACTCACTCACTTTAATGTTTGAACTGACATCTTCACTATGTCACGGGGGGAAATTGGGGGCAGAATAGGTCACAAATACATCCTTCTGTTGTCAGATGTGACTATGTAGGAAACTGATGATTATTAAAACTGTATTTTCTGCTCCAGTCCGTGATCACGTGACAAGGACACGCCTAAGGACAAAATGACTACTGTTGAATGATGTCGATAGGTATATGTATCCACAGTTTCATATACAGTCAAACACTGTTGTGTCGAAGTTGAAGGGACATACGTAGATACTGAGTTTTCGGAGGTTAGACTCACCTGAAAAATGATATGCATGGACCAAACTTTTACTTCGAGACAACCCAAATGTTTCCTCTGAGACAACCCGTGAAGATCCGGGGTAGAATAGGTCTTCAGCAACCCATGCTTGCCGTAAAAGACGACTATACTTGTCGTAAGAGGCAACTAACGGGATCGGATGGTCAGGCTTGCTGACTTGGTTGATGCATGTCATCAATCCCAATTGCGTAGATCAATGCTCATGATATCAATCAGTGGATTGTCTGGTCAAGACTTGATTATTTACAGACCACCGTCATATTGCTGGAATATTGCTGAGTGAGGCGTTTAGTGATTATAATTCTGGATTTGTCGGCCCCATGCTCATGGGTATCACTGGGGCGTTAAACTTGTATCACTTTGGGCTTTCCTCCTACATAAAGCTGACACACAGGTTTATAAATGAAATACAGTTGAAGTGGATTAAGTCCCAATTCTCTCCCTCGCACCATGATGTGTGACAAGGCTGATTGTCACTGTACAGCAATAACAATAATTAATGCTCATGATAACAATCAGGTGGTCGGGTAGCCTAGTGGTTTAAGCGTTTGCTCGTCACGCCTAAGACCTTGGTTCGATTCCCAACATGGGTACGATGTGTGAAGCCCATTTCTGGATGTCCCTTGCCGTGATATTGCTGGAATATTGCTTAAAGCAGCTTAAAACCATACTCAATCAATCATGACAACAGTCAAGGGTTTGATTAGACTTTACACAAAATCACTTGTTTTCCAGCTTGGGGCGTTTGTTCTGTACACTGTTTGTTCTGTGGCTTGTGAGCAGCTCAAGCCACACCTACGGTCCGTCCTGCAGCTCCTCACAGAGCTGATCAACGACTCACAGAGCCGACAGGTGCCCTACTACGCTGTCAGGTAGGGGAGATAATCCATGAAGCATTGCATTTGGGGACTCTCAAAAGTAGATGCTATAGAAAAGATTCACTTGTATGCATGTAAGAAATATTAAGGTGAAAAAGTTAATACACCCGTGGTTATGGTTTATGGTGATTGTGGTCGCTATCCACTGTATATTTTTGCATATATTAAAGTTATCAAATGTTGGTTAAGAATTTTAAATATGCCTTTGTATAGATTTCCAAAAAAGTGTTATAATATGTTATTGTTGTTTGATTCAAATGGTAAAAGAAACTGGGCAACTGGTGTTAGAGAACTCTTATTTGAATCTGGTTTTGGTAATGTTTGGTATGATGACTGAAACAAAGACTAAAAGATATTTATTTACAATCATGGGTTGTTTCATTAGCATTATCAAATAAACACTTTTATTATAAACTTTTTAAATCTTACATTTATAGAGAATGCTATCTCGTTGATATTACCATACCAAAATATAGAAAAGCATTGGCATGGTTTCGTTGCATGTCGCAAGATCTACATATTGAAACAGGCAGATATATAAATACCCCACGAGATTGATTGACAGGCAGGCATGAATACCAGGGGGAGTTCGGGGAAGCATGTCAGATGTAATGTTACATGATCATTGATTCTGATCTGTTTTAATTAATCAGTCATATATGATCTAATGTGATCGGTTATTGATATACTACTCAAAACTAGTTAAACAACGCCACAATTGGAATGCCAGAGTATGTCAAGGCTGTGTGTTGCAATACGAACCTGTCGTGACAGATGAACTGTAGTCATGAGGAAATTGGGTATTCTGTTACTTCTTTTGAGTAGTACCGTATTCGACATAATAAGCGCCCCTCTCTAATAAGTGCCCACGGCGATATTTGCTAATATATTGGCTAAGGAACAATCCCAATTAGCACCCCTTCTGATTGATCAATGTACACAAGACTTATTTATGTGTGTATAACACGCACTCGTGTGTTATATGCACCCTTAATTAATGGCAATTAAATTCTGGAAAAAATATATCTGTCGTACATAAACATTTCAGCTGTCAGCATAAATCACAAAATTTGTCTTTCAACTCTAGTTTTTTCACCAAAATAATATTCTAAGAGCCCCCTATTTCTAATTTTGAGAGTGCCCTGGGCGCTTATTACGTCGAATACGGTATATGTTAAAAATAAATGCAATATTAAGGTCCGGGTGTAGATTCTAACAGTGTAATCAAACAAGTGATCCAGCTGTCCCTTATACAGTTATAGACAGTTTAACATGGACACTTAAGGTAACAGTAAAGTGATGTCATTGGACGGAACTACAGTAAACTACGTTTATAATGAACATGCTTATAACGAACTGACCAAAGTAACAAAATATTTTTTAGTCCCGGACATTTGTTGAAAAATGCTGTATATATGCTTATAATGAAAAACAGTTATTACGAACTAAAATTAGTGGTCCCTTTGAGTTCCTTATGACCGTAGTTTACTGTACTTAATTAATTAAATTTGGTTTTGCTTGTTTCCTTTTACTGTTCATGAGGCATGTGTTCTTGTGTATAGGTCTATGACAGAGTTGGTGTTCTTCGTGGGAGATGACGAGAGTGTAAGTTGAAATATTTCACTCTTGAAATGACAAAATCTTAACTTGTACACATGAGAAATGTAAACATTATTCAAACAAAATTTGTCAAGAAAGTCTTGTCTACTTTCAATTCTTTTCGATTATAAATACATGGATATAACGAAAACGGATGGAGCGAAAAAACGGATAAAACGAACTGTTACAAAATTCCCGATTTATCTCCTATATATTATCATATAAAATTTACGTACATAACGAACTCTCTACAGCGAATTAACATATGTAGTGAATTGATATCTGATTCCTGACAAGCCCAAATACCACTAATTAGTGACGTGTATAGCGAACTGAGAAATCTCACTCGGTGTCAAGTGTCACTGACAATTAGCTATACGCAATCAGCGGCGAATCAACACAATCAGCGTTGATGATTCAACCTTGTTAAACTTGCATTATGTTAGACTTACCTGTACATGTAATTGGACTAATCTTGTCTGTAAGCAGGTAAGACAAATTACGTGTATTGTGTTTTGTTTTATCCGAGATAGTGGACGTTTCCGAGCAAAAACGTATATAACGAACCACGTATATAGCAAACTGATTTCTCCGATCTCTGTAGTTTGTTATACCCATGTTCTACTGTATCTTTGGTGTTGATTATTTCGAAAACATATTTGAGAATTTTATTCCCATCAACATGTTCAACCTTATTGTTTTTTAGATAATTTAGCATAAATAAAAAATGCATCACAGTGTTTATTTGCAGTCGTGTTTAGTATGTAGACAACACTTTGTAAATATTTATGCCTCTAAATTTTCACAGAACATGAATTTTATGTGTAAACAATATTAGATATTTTAAATATATAAGTTTAGGTTCTATATTTTCTTATGTGTTGATGCAGTTATTTACAGGCCACTATGATACAGCAGTTATACAGTTATAGCAGTTTGATTCTTCTGTGGTATCAGAACATTGCTTCATTAACAATTTTCTTTTCTTCAGAAATTTATTCAATCAAGTGTACCTCGCGTTGTTCAGATAGTGAGAGAGCTGGCCCTTCAAGATGAGGCAAGTAACTTGTGCTCCTGTGAAAGATAAGACCCGTGATAAGTTTCCCTGATGTGACAGACCGTGTGATCTTATGTCATCGCAAGTCATCTGCCTGCGTTGGTGTCATCTTCCATAATCTTTTGCCATTTTTCAGGGGAGTGGGGTAGCCTTGTGGTTAAAGCATTCACTTGTCTCGCTGAAGACCCAGGTTCAATTTCCCACATGGGCACAATGTGTGAAGCCCATTTCTGGTGTCCCCCGCTGTGATATTGCTGGAATATTGCTAAAAGCGGCGAACTCACTCACTCACTTTTTACATTTTTCACATATTATCCAAATTAGCTGGATGGATTGAGCTTAAGTTTTGTGTGGATTTAGTGTTTGGGTTCAAATGTTTTCAGGCATGAAAATTACATTTTCAATATGGCCTCCAGGTAGCCATCTTTGATTTAAAAAAATATACTAATCTGAAATCAAAAGGGCCAGAAGCTTGAAACTTAGTAGGTGAGATGGTCACAACATGTACGGGTAGTTCCAAGTGTGTTCAAGGCATCTTCAGTGGAAATCAAATATGGCTGCCAGCAGCAGTATTGGAATAAATTATTGAGTGTCGTCCGTCATTCACATCCCCTCAGAAACCACTGGACCAGTGGGATGAAATTCACATCCTTGTTCCCACCGCAACACCCCAATGTTTTCAAGAAGTTCCAATCTGATTTTGAAAATGGCTGCCACAGTATCCAATGAGAAAGCTATTTTTTTACCATTGCTCAGCCTTTTTTATTCGAAAGGAATAATGTTATGAAATTTGCTGAATGTAAGTTTAGTCGAAGTCAACACATATCTTCCTTTATTGGAATATTTTTAGTTTCTACTTTGATTTGACCTTTGTGTTTGGACCATGCTCTTATTAATTCCCTCTAAATTCATTTTTTGGCTTTGTACACATCTGTACAGTGTAGGACTGAGGAATGTGAACTTTGGCATGTTTTTTTACTTGTGGTTCATATCCAAGTCCTTGTCAAGTTGCTGTCTGTTGACATTGGAACTGTTCACTGCATAACTGTGTGAGTGCTGTTAATATATGAACAACATCATGCCAAACTCAGCACTGTAATCATTTAATGATCCTGTTGAAAAAACAAAATACATGTTCCTCCCCACCGACTTTGCCTACCAACCCAATTCCAAATAACTGGGCCGCTTTGCATGAGATGTTTTTGATAATAGCCTGAAAGTATTCCAGTTGTCAAAGCTTGAAGTAGAATGTTAAATCTTGGCACTAATTACATTGACTACATTATGTTCGTCCATCTCCCCAGGACAAGGCGTGTGAGGTGATGGAGCTGTTTGACGAGCTCCTGGAGACGGAAGTGGCCATTATCATGCCGCATATACGTCTCATCGTCGAGTTTAGCTTGGAGGTGAGTTGTCAGTCATACTGTTGCTAGACGTTTGCCGAATTGTCACTTTACCATGTTTGTGTGTTAATAAATATGCTAACTTACAAAGTGATACCTTTCTCCTATTGCTGTAATTGCTACACGATTGGTTGTTGGTTGGGTAGCCTAGTTGTTAAAGCGTTCACTCATCAAGCCGAAGGCCTGGGTTTGATTCCCCACATGGGTAGAATGTGTGAAGCTCTCTTCTGGTGTCTCTCATAGTGATTTTGGTGGAATATTGCTGAAAGCTGCATAAAACCACGAGTGCTTGCTACACGATTAGTAACATTCCTTTACTAATAAACTAATCAGCACTGCCTAGGATGAAGTTGGTGTATACTTGAAGGGCTAATACAGATCAACTGCAGCAGTGTAAATCTTTTCCACTCTTCAAGAATGTCATCTTCCCGAGGCAAGAGAGTTACCTGACTTAAAAAGTCCAGTTTCCACCCTTGCCAAACTAGGTTGGAATTCATGGGCTCGATCGTAGCGCTACCAGTGGCTGTTACCAGTTATATCCCTTCTAAGCCTCTCCCATGGACCCATCAGATTCCACCTCCCATATCACTTGCATTTGCTTCAAACAAAATGGCGGCATCCAGTCAGGACGATCTGATCGATAAACAAGATCTATATTGTGATAAAACGTGTCTTACATCGCGAAATGCATCAAAACACGTGAGCACCTTGATTAAAAACAAGAAAAGATTTTGAAATTATCTGTTGACAACGAGTTAGCGGTGCACATGATTTGCAAATCCTGCAGTCGACCGAAATCTGCATGACATTTTATGAACCGGATTTCGATTTCGTTGCGCGAATTTGATTGGACTATGCATAGACTCGTTAGTCCAGCCAAAATGTAACTCTATAATACCAGCCTAATTCGGCAAGGGTGGAAGCTGGACTTTTATAATAATCAGTTAACTCTCTTGCCTCGGGAAGATGCAAGAATGTAGAATACAGTTAGATGGTATTCTTACCCGGAATCCACATGTAGTTGTGAAGTACAGATGGGTTGTCTATTTTGTTCAACTTTTTTTTCCCCAGTTAGCAGCAAATGGTGAACTGGGAGACAGCGTCCGGGTCAAGGGCATGTCCTTCATAAGTTCACTCACAAGACTCAAGAAGAAGGTACATATAGCATGAACAGTGTCAAAAATAATATATGGTCATCATAATAGAATGAAACATAAAAGAAGAATTGTCCAGATCAATTTTTCTTGTTTTTGAAATTTTCTTTCTTAAATTTCCAGGATGTAGCAAAAAATAAAAAAAATCATGATTAGTTTCAGGTTAATAGAAGCAAAAAGATGTTCTAAGTAATCATAGTTTTCAATAGTCAGATCCACAAACATCGGTCAAACTTTAAAGTGTGTGCAATCAGAACGCCGTATTTCATGTGTGACCTTGACCTAGGGAATACAAGTTCCTCAGACATTCAGTTGCAAACACAGTCAACGACATGTGACGTCATAAGGTTTGTAGTTCTCTTGAAGATTAATTATTTATATTGATAGTTTAAGCTTAATGGACTGCCTTCGTGGTCTAGTGGTAGAGTGTGCGCCTGGAGAGCGGAAGGTCAGGGTTCGATCCCCAGCCGCGTCATACCAAAAGATGTTAAAAGATGGTACTTGTTTGTTACCCAGTCTGACGCTCGGCATTAAGTAGGTAAAAGAAGGACTGGTCGGCTTGAAGTCAGTTAACTGTTTCTGAGCGGGGTATTCATGTGCTAGCACTATAAATCGGTCCGGACAAGTACAAGCTGTCACACACGCACACACGCACGCACACACACGTTGCTATATAAGTGCAATAATCTTGGACGCAACCTTTAAACCTGATTTCAGCAGCTCAAGCTAAATGACTGATGTACAAAGGAAGGATCCTTTACACCATTACATTGTTCCTGGATGATGTGTCAGATGTGACTGTGTAACCAAGGGCAAAATGGGAGAAGAAAATGGATTTTTGATAATTCAATTTGCCATGGATGTTTGAGAGATTTTTGCCCCATGAGTTCATTGTTCTGAATGGTAGTTACAACAAGGTTGTTGTTTTTGAAATTGCCCATTGACGACATCTTTGGTCTCGGTAACGGATCCCTTGTTCCCCAGGCCATCATGTCTGACTGACTGATCCCTTGTTCTCCAGGCCATCATGTCTGACTGACTGATCCCTTCTTCTCCAGGCCATCATGTCTGACTGACTGATCCCTTGTTCCCCCAGGCCATCATGTCTGACTGACTGATCCCTTGTTCCCCCAGGCCATCATGTCTGACTGACTGATCCCTTGTTCCCCCAGGCCATCATGTCTGACTGACTGATCCCTTGTTCCCCCAGGCCATCATGTCTGACTGACTGATCCCTTGTTCTCCCAGGCCATCATGTCTGACTGACTGATCCCTTGTTCTCCAGGCCATCATGCCTGACTGACTGATCTCTTGTTCCCCAGGCCATCATGTCCGACTGACTGATCCCTTGTTCCCCAGGCCATCATGTCTGACTGACTGATCCCTTGTTCCCCCAGGCCATCATGTCTGACTGACTGATCCCTTGTTCCCCAGGCCATCATGTCTGACTGACTGATCCCTTGTTCCCCCAGGCCATCATGTCTGACTGACTGATCCCTTGTTCTCCAGGCCATCATGTCTGACTGACTGATCCCTTGTTCCCCAGGCCATCATGTCTGACTGACTGATCCCTTGTTCTCCAGGCCATCATGTCTGACTGACTGATCCCTTCTTCTCCAGGCCATCATGTCTGACTGACTGATCCCTTGTTCTCCAGGTCATCATGTCTGACTGACTGATCCCTTGTTCCCCCAGGCCATCATGTCTGACTGACTGATCCCTTGTTCCCCCAGGCCATCATGTCTGACTGACTGATCCCTTGTTCCCCCAGGCCATCATGTCTGACTGACTGATCCCTTGTTCTCCCAGGCCATCATGTCTGACTGACTGATCCCTTGTTCTCCAGGCCATCATGCCTGACTGACTGATCTCTTGTTCCCCAGGCCATCATGTCTGACTGACTGATCCCTTGTTCCCCAGGCCATCATGTCTGACTGACTGATCCCTTGTTCCCCCAGGCCATCATGTCTGACTGACTGATCCCTTGTTCCCCAGGCCATCATGTCTGACTGACTGATCCCTTGTTCCCCCAGGCCATCATGTCTGACTGACTGATCCCTTGTTCTCCAGGCCATCATGTCTGACTGACTGATCCCTTGTTCCCCCAGGCCATCATGTCTGACTGACTGATCCCTTGTTCCCCCAGGCCATCATGAAGCAGAAGCTTGTCCCAACCATCCTCCAGGTGATGTTCACTGTCATGACAACCATCGAGGAGGACGATGACACTGAGGAAGATGAGGATGTGGAGTCACACTCACCTGGACAGTATGCACCACAGGTAAGGTCGTCAGATCAGAGAGGTCACAAAGAATATTCTATTGACAGTGTTCGAAATTAAACATACCAAACAAGAGGTCCTTGTCAAAACCCTAATGGTAAAAGAATCAGGGGTCCCTGGATACAAATACCATAGATGAAGACACTTAATTTCGAACACTGTATTACTATTTCTCTCCCAAGTACAGGCAACATCAATACAATGTCTATCAAGAGAACGCTCGGATATAGTTCTTGGGTCAACTTGGCTCTCAAAAACGTCTTAGCATTATCCCAAGTCTCATGTTTCCATGTTTTGCTCACAGGCCAACTTGTATAATAATAATTATTATGCTATGACTTATTATAATAAATGCTAAAAATAGTTGTATCTGTTCATTGTTGGGGATACTGATCACAAAACTGCCATCTGTATAGATAGTAGACCAGGGTTGACTTGAAGAAAGGTCTTCGCAATACAACTGTTTTTGTGAATGTGTTAGCTTACATTTTTTATTAACAACAAACTTGTTAAGTTGCAAAGATGTTTTACAAGCTGATATTTTCCTTGATAACTTTAGGCTTCATCTATCACACCAGAGTCTCTGGGAACACAGTGTCATAGCAGCAAACGTTTCTGGTGGAATGGTGTTGAAAGAGTTTAGTTAAACTTCACAATAACCTTAACACCAATGTTTGTTTACGATAGTGCTTTGAAATTGTTTTATGCCAGTCAGTAAAACCCATGAGGCATTGTTACAAAGGTCTGTCTGTCTGTCTATCTGTGTGTGTGTGTGTGTGGACAGAGTTCACGCGATGGGGAGAGTCCAAGCAAGGTGGCCTCGCAGGTGAAATGGAAAAGTTATTTTGATGTTATTTTTCTGGCATTTCATTTTCTTTAATGTTGAAACCATGTTTGTTGGCTTTACCAGTTTGTCAGAGGATTATGTGTTCATTAGTTACTACTTATTTGATTGTTTTCAGTCTTTTCATATTTCTCGTGACTAAGCAACAACTGTGTTTGTTCTCTTTATTCTTCTGAACTGTTCATTTGAGGCCATTAATCTAAGGAACCCAACCAGTGATCTAAGGCATCCCACTAGTGATCTAAGGCACCCCAGCTGTGATCTAAGGCACCCCACCAGTGATCTAAGGCATCCCGACAGTGATCTAAGGCATCCCACCAGTGATCTAAGGCACCCCAACAGTGATCTAAAGCACCCAACTAGTGATCTAAGGCATCCCACCAGCGATCTAAGGAAACCACGAGTGATCTAAAGCACCCCGACAGTGATCTAAGGCATCACACCAGCGATCTAAGGAAACCACGAGTGATCTAAGGCATCCCACCAGTGATCTAAGGCACCCCAACAGTGATCTAAGGCATCCCACTAGTGATCTAAGGCACCCCACCAGTGATCTAAGGCACCCCACCAGTGATCTAAGGCATCCCGACAGTGATCTAAGGCATCCCACTAGTGATCTAAGGCAGCCACTAGGGATCTAAGGCATCCCACTACTTATTTAAGGCAGCCAACAGGGATTTAAAGCATCTCACCAGTGATCTAAGGCACCCCACCAGTAATACAAACTCCAGTTGCATCCCTTGGCTGCACCAGGATCTTTTGATCCTGGATTCTAGTTCCAGATGCACTGAATCATATCCGCAGTCTGTCAACTCCATCCTCATCCCTGTGGGTCCCCATCTGTGTCATTCTACACTTTCCTTCCACAGTTAGATGAATGGTGGAATTATAAGGCAGATATAATTCAAAGTGACTTTACATCTACCCGACTGACTCCATAATTGAAGTTGGGCAGATTGAGAATAATAATAATGATGATGATGATGGGCGTGGCATGTTATTATGCTCTAGTAGCTACGGTGCTTGCTCATGCTTATATTGCTGACTGCAGCTTTCAATAAATCTGCTTTCACTCACTTTAAATTGAATATTTGAAAATGGGAGTTTCTTCCTCTTTAACACTTGATGCAGAAGGACACATCTCCAGGGCCCACTTGCACAAAGCGATCTTAGCGCTAAGATGACCATACCTCCCATACTTTAACAGAGTCTTGCGGTAATCTTAGCGCTAAGATGGCTTTGTCCCAGTGTAATTGCTGTCTGTGTTTATATGGTGATGTTAATCACTGAATGCAGGTTGTCGACTGCTATATCAGGCGTCCATGTTGCTCATGTTGATCAGGGGGCGGTCGGGTACCCTAGTGGTTAAAGCGTTCGCTCGTCACGCCGAAGACCCGGGTTCGATTCCCTACATGGGTACAATGTGTGAAGCCAATTTCTGGTGTCCCCCGCCGTGATATTGCTGGAATATTGCTAAAAGCGGCGTAAAACCTCACTCACTCATGTTGATCAGTGTATTTACTGTACAGGTTATCGACACGCTGGCTCTTCATCTTCCTCCAGACAAGCTTGTCCCAGAAGTGGTGAGTAAAACAATTTGCTATCCATGATGTTCAAAATAATCAGGGATGGTTGGGTAGCCTAGTGGTTAAAGCGTTCGCTCGTCACGTCAAAGACCTGGGTTTGATTCCCCACACGGGTACAACGTGTGAAGCCCATTTCTGGTGTCCTCCGCCGTGATATTGCTGGAATATTGCTAAAAGCGGTGTAAAACCATACTCACTGACTAAAAATGATTAAGTTTACCAAAATCCTTACAAGGCACTTTCATCCACTCTAGCACACTGTGGACATATGCAATCTTTTCTTGTTTTGGGAGATGATAGAGACATTGTTGACTTAAGATTTAGCGACAAGCCATGTGTCTGGTAGCTATGGTAACTATACAATAAGTCTTTTGAAAGATGCCTCTAGTTGAGAGTGGTCTTGCCAGTGACAAGCCATGTGTCTGGTAGCTATGGTAACTATACAATAAGTCTTTTGAAAGATGCAGCTAGTTGAGAGTGGTCTGGCCAGCGACAAGCCATGTGTCTGGTAGCTATGGTAACTATACAATATGTCTTATGAAAGATGCCACTAGTTGAGAGTGGTCTGGCCAGTGACAAGCCATGTGTCTGGTAGCTATGGTAACTATACAATATGTCTTATGAAAGATGCCACTAGTTGAGAGTGGTCTGGCCAGTGACAAGCCATTTGTCTGGTAGCTATGGTAACTATACAATATGTCTTATGAAAGATGCCGCTAGTTGAGAGTGGTCTGGCCAGTGACAAGCCAGGGTTCCGGAAGGCTGCATACATCGCTATGGCTGTCATAGCTGAGGGCTGTGCTGACTACATCATGAACAAGTAAGCTACAATACCAACTTGATTTTCATGGCCATGTTACAAGGACAGCTTTACTCCACCCATCTTCCCGAGGCAAGAGAGTTAACTGACCATGCTGACTATAAAAGTCCAGTTTCCACCCTTGCCGAACTAGGCTGGTATTATGCAGTTACATTTTGGCTGGACTAACGAGTCTATGCATAGTCCAATCAAAATCGCACACCGAAATTGAAATCCGGTTCGTAAACTGTCGTGCAGATTTTGGTTGATTGCAGGAGTTGCAAATCATGTGCACCACCAACTCGTTGTCAGCAGATATTTTTAAAATCTTCTCATGATTTTAATCAAGGTGCTCATGTGATTTGATGCATTTCGCGATGTAAGACCCGTTTTATCACAATATAGATATTGATTATCTATCAGATCGTCCCGACCGGGCGCAACCATTTTGTGTGAAGCAAATGCAAGTGATACGAGAGGTGGAATCTGATTGGTCCTTAGGAGAGGCTTAGAAGGGACATAATTGGTAATAACCACGATCGAGCCCAGTAATTCCAGTCTAGTCGGCAAGGGTGGAAACTGGTCTTTTAAAGTCAGTTAACTCTCTTGCCTCGGGAAGATGTACTCCAGGGTGAATACAGGGCATAGAGGTAGCTAGTGATTAATGCAGACTACCGTATTCGACGCAGTAAGCGCTCAGCTCTAATGAGACTTTTTTTAGTGCTTGCAATTAGGCCATTTACAAAAAGGTCCAGTGAACATACTTCACAGGGGCTAATGGCTTGTACACAACTGGACTTGTCATTTTGGTGGTGGATATGAGTATTTCATGCTTGTGATATGTTGCTGTTTGTTAACAAAACAAATAGCAATAATCATGTTAATAATCACGGGTATTTTTAGCAACTGTAGTTTACATTTAGTTGAAAATTGAATTATTTTCCAATGAAACACTCATCTGAATGTTGCTCAATGTGTCCAATTGATTTTTCATGGTTGTATGATCCTCAGGGAGCTGAGAATGAAAACCTTTTTATCATTACCATCTCCAGGCACCTGAATGCCATCCTGCAGTGTGTGTGTAAAGGCCTGAATGATCCCGACCCCATTGTCAGAAACTCAGCACTGTTTGCCCTGGGACAGTTCTCCGAGCATCTACAGGTAACAGTAGCAATACTGATTGGCTGGTTTGGGTCACATGTACTTTAAAGATGTGCGACCCGTAAAGATCTGGGATAGAATAGATCTTCAGCAACCCCTGCTTGCCATAAAAGGCCACTTTGCTTGTCGTAAGTGGCAACTAACGGGATCGGATGGTCAGGCTCCCTGGCTTGATTGATGCATGTCATCAATCCCAATTGCGTGGCTCGATGCTTATGATGTCAATCACTGGATTATCTGGTCCAGACTTGATTATTTACAAACCGCCATCATATAGCTGGAATATTGCTGAGTGCAGTGTTAAACAAAAAAACTAACTAAAAGATGTGCATGGTAGAGACAAAAAATATTAACCTCACAAAAAATGTGTGCATACCAGGATTTCAATTGTTTTATGTTTGGTAATCTAAATTGATTGGTGGTGTAACTGTAAATATTAGTATAATTTATCCCCTCTGAAAATGCAGGTTAGAATTGGTCTCAGTCGGAATTGGGTGGTTGGGCTCGCTGACTTGGTGGAGCTGTCATTGTATTTCAATTGCATAGATTGATGCTCATCATGCTCATGACATCAATCACTGGAATGTGTGGTCCAGACTTACTATTTACAGAGCACTGTCATATAGCTCGAATGTTGCTGAGTGCTGTGTTAAACAACAAACAATTGATTAATAATTGTATGTTTTTTTCTTTTCTTACGTTTTAGTATGCAATTATACATGAGAAATGCAATATATAACTAAAAGATAGCTTTCTGTCCCTTTTGAGCATGGTGATATGAAAGACTGGAGACCTAAGTCTGACAAAAATCAAACATCAAAATGTTTCTTTTCCTATTACAGCCGAACATCAGCAAGTTTGCCTCGGAGTTACTTCCCCTGTTGTTCCAGTATCTAGGGCGGGCTACCCAGGAGGCTGACAAGAACCCTAAGGGTCTCACCAAAAGTTACTACGCTCTGGAAATGTTTATTGAAAATCTAGGTGTGTAAATTGTAGGAGCAGTCTGCGACTTTAGTCTCTAGTCCGAGTCTGGTAATATTCTGTTCAGTGATGTAAGCTTGGCTAAAAATAGTCCATATGATAACGCAAAACTCCTCTGAAAAAGATGCTTAGAGCCATGTTCGGGCGGTAGACTCAAATATTTTTGAACCGACTGTAAAAGGTCATTTTAACTATTGTAGTATTGTGATAGTTAAAAATGCTATTGCGAAGTATTCTGAGCCTCCCTACCTTCAGACAATAATTAATTCCTTACTTCATTGCACATGGTGTCAAGCAAAAAAATATCTTCATGCTATGTTTCAGTAGATAACAAGAGAATATATTTGGCTATTTAAGCGAGGGAAACTCTTATTATAGTCTGGTGTAGATGTAAACTTATGAATTTGCTCTGACTAAAAATCAATGGATAGATATCACACCATTTAATGCGTTCATGCTTTGGTTCAGTAAATAACAAGTGAATATGTTTGGCGATTTAAGGGAGGGAAACTCTTATTATAGTCTGGTGTAGATGTAAAGTTATGAATTTTTTTGACTAAAAGTCAATAGATACATATTATACATGTAGACTAGATTATACATGTTTGTAATTCTTTCACATCTTTCAGAATATTGATTGCCAATTAATCAACATTCACATTCATAAAGGTCATGAGTGGAATTGTCTATCAGTGTCGTATCATTAAAGCAATTGCAACCATTTGTGATTTCCAGAAAAAGAAATCCTTCCATTCCTGCCAAACCTGATGGAGCACCTGTTGATGGTGCTGAAGAGTTCCCCGTCAATGAGAGCCAAGGAGCTGGCCATCAGTGCACTGGGAGCTGCAGGTGAGTCTTTCTCTCCCCCCCACCCCACCCCACCCCACATCATACCCTGTAGATCTCCCCCAGCCCATGTTGGGTCTTATTTCAGCTCTGGGGTGGTCGGGTAGCCTAGTGGTTAAAGCATTCGCTCGTCACGCTGAAGACCCGGGTTCGATTCCCGACATGGGTACAATGTGTGAAGCCCATTTCTGGTGTCCCCCACCATGATATTGCTGGAATATTGCTAAAAGCGGCGTAAAACCATACTCACTCACTCACTTTTACAGCTCTGGTCAGCCAAGGTGACTCATTCACTCAACGTTGTCATTTCAGCTCTGGCCGCTAAGGAAGGTCTGGTGCCATACTTCCAGGAAGTGATGGATCACTTCAAAGTGTACCTCACTGCCGTCGACAACGAGGACATGAGGAAACTACAGATACAGACTATAGGTACGATAGCATAAAGCCTCACGGTTATAGTAGAAGGCTTCTATATAATGTTAGGTTATCGTTATGTACTTTGAACCTGATAGTAAAGTATTTCTACTCGATCTGGACTCCACAGATTACTGCCCTTTAATGATTGAAGTGATCCTAGATAAATAAGGGGATGTGATTTGATTGTATCCCCGTGTCACGGGTTTTTGGACGCTTAAGAAACATTGTAGTTTTCATGCTAATCACAAGAACAACTGTAAAACATCTCACTCATTAATAATAGACAACTTTATCTTAAAAACAAGCCTTTATCTGAGTATTTACAATATGTGTCTGATGCCCAGTGTCTAAAATAACTGCCTGCCAGCCGGTAGCTTCTGTCAGGCTGCATGAAATTGTCTTGCACCTGCCCGACATCGGCAGATAATTTGAAGACTATTTACGTATTCAGTTTTATTATGACTCCTTGTAGATTCTCCAGTAATTGTTTGCATTCTTTCAACTGAATCAAGACGTGATTTGTCTCTAAGATTTTGCGATTTTTCAATATTTATAATGCCTGAAGGGGGCAGGTTATTTTGAATATGGGCTGGCAACACTTTGGGTCACCTCTTGTTGGGTTTTAAGATTATTTCAAACACTGGTGATGTTATAATCGCGAAAGATCGCGATAAACATGGCCGTCTGAAAACGTATGATCTCTGAATGAAAACATATGATCCACGATACATGGATATCCAGTGTATTATCTCTCTATTCTATTTTGAACAGATACCCTGGATACATTAACCACTTCTGTCACTAATTTGGCAGGGGATTTCACTCGTTTTTGAAAAAAAATTGATTTGACAGCTATTTTTAGTGTTGTGCCTTTTGGTCAGGGGGGGAACGGGTGGCCCAGTCGTCTAAGGCGCCGCGATTCGCTGTGCAGAGTTGCGTCCCTTGGGCACGCCAGAAACCTATGATTGTGGGTTCGAATCCCGGTTCGCCCCGATTATGTTTCTAGGTTTGTCAGCACCATACCTGTGCTCGTGGGTTTCACTGAAGTGGTAAACGTCTGAGACCTGCATCACTTCGGGCTTTCCTCCCACATTAAGCTGACACGCCATGATATATACTGGAATACTGTTAAAAGTGGCGTTAAACCCAACTCACTCACTCACTCACTTTTGGTCAGGATTCAGAACAAAGCTATTGTAGTTAGTGGCTCCAGGGTATTTATCCATAAAGAATGGAGATATGATGTTTTTTTGTTTCTTTGTTTGTTGTTTAACGCCGCAATCAGCAATATTCCAGCTATATGACGGCAGTCTGTAAATAATCGAGTCTGGACCAGACAATCCAGTGATTGACATCATGAGCATCGATCCACGCAATTGTGATCGATGACATGCATCAACCAAGTCAGCAAGCCTGACCGCCCAATATCGTTAGTCGCCTTTTACGACAAGCATAGTCGCCTTTTATGGCAAGCATGGGTTGCTGGAGATCTATTCTACCCCGGAATCTTCACGGGTAGGAGATATGATGTACTTGATAAGCTAGGATGCAGATATGATGTACTTGATAAACAAGGATGCATATTTCCTGTCCAGACTCTTTCAATGTTATAATTCCTCTCAGATACCCTTGGAGTGCTTGCGCGGAGTGTCGGTGACGAGACCTTCCTGCCTCTGTGTAAAGAGTGTATACAATTTGGTATCAACCTGCTGGAGAATGCTGATGACCCAGATGTCCGACGTTGTGTGTAAGTAAATACATTAAGTGATGTTTAGAGCAAATGGACAAGATATCACTCTTTAACACACACACACACACACACACACACACACACACACACACACACACTCACACTCACACTCACACTCACACTCACTCACTCACTCACTCACTCACTCACTCACTGCTGTGATATGCATGGAGTATTATAGGTAGTTGTGTACACATTGACTGACAACCTGTTTGACCGTTTTGTCTCTAGCTACAGCCTGTTTGCTGCTGTGTCCAACCTGTTGAAGGAGGAGATGGGCTCCTATCTGGCCAAGATAGTGCACTACATGTTGCTCTCTGTCAAGTCCAATGAGGGCGTTACGGTGAGTTAGTCCTCACACACTCGAATCAATTCAACAATCTCTTTCACAATCCTAATCTCTGAAAGCTTTGTCCAAGGCCAATCATAATCTATTTCAGCTTCATTCTGACCAATCACAATATGACCAATGACAATCTATTACAGCCTCATTCTGATCAATCACAATCTATTACAGCCTCATTCTGACAAATCACAATCTATTACAGCCTCATTCTGATCAATCACATTCTATTACAGCCTCATTCTGACCAATCACAATCTATTACAGCCTCATTCTGACCAATCACAATCTATTACAGCCTCATTCTGATCAATCATAATCTATAACAGCCTTATTTTGACCAATCACAATCTATTACAGCATCCTTCTTACCAATCACGTTCTATTACAGCCTCATTCTGACCAATCACAATCTATTACAGCCTCATTCTGACCAATCACATTCTATTAAAGCCTCATTCTGACCAATCACAATCTATTACAGCCTCATTCTGACCAATCACAAACTATTACAGCCTCATTCTGACCAATCACAAACTATTACAGCATCATTCTGACCAATCACAAACTATTACAGCCTCATTCTGACCAATCACAAACTATTACAGCATCCTTCTGACCAATCACAATCTATTACAGCCTCATTCTGACAATCACAAACTATTACAGCCTCCTTCTGACAAATCACAATCTATAACAGCCTCATTCTGACAAATCACAATCTATAACAGCCTCATTCTGACAAATCACAATCTATTACAGCCTCCTTCTGACAAATCACAATCTATAACAGCCTCATTCTGACAAATCACAATCTATTACAGCCTCATTTCAAAGAGGAGGCAGAGCAAGTGGCCATATTCAATGATGGTGATTTCCAGGATGAAGAAGACATAGGGGATGACGATGAAGAGGATGATGATAATAACAAAATTGATGGGTACGTTGAGTGTGATATCATCTATAAGCCATACAGAAGGTTACAGATTTATGTAACCAGAAAGCCTCTGGGGCCCTAATGCTACTGAAATTTTAAGATGGCACCTTTCAGCCATGAGAGATTAGAGTCCAACATATTTCACTGAATTCTCTATACATTGAAATCTATCCTCGATTATGTTGTGTGTTATATCTTCATTCATTATGATAAATACCCTGGATCCATCTGATACCAAAGCGACCCGTGAAGACCCGGGTTAGAATTGGTCTTCAGCAACCCATGCTTGTCGTAAGAGGCGACTAAGAGGATCGGGTGGTCAGGCTCGCTGACTTGGTTGATGCATGTCATCGTATCCCAATTGCGTAAATTGTTGCTCTTGATACCAATCACTAGATTGTCTGGTCCAGACTCGATTATTTACAGACCGCTGTCTTATGGCAGGAATAATGCTGATTGCGACGTTAAACAAACAACCAAACAAGAAATGATACCGAAGCTTTGTTTCTGAAATGACATCACCATCTCTACCTCTATTATCAATAACATCGCACCGGATTTCTCTTCTCAATGAGTGTAATCTGATTTGATGATTATTTTTAGCAGTGCATCTTCTGAAAAGGTTCTAAACAAAGCCATGGCAGCGAACTGATCCAGGGTATTAATCATCACAGAAGCTATAGTACCCTAGATTATTGAGGATGATATAAAATGACCACTTTGGCTTAACAAAGAATTGGTTCACAGTAATGTTGCTTAAAATACATATTTTTTTAAGGATAGACTTGGAAACTAGTATGTTGGTCCAAGACTAGTGGAAACCTAGAGGAACTTGTTTATTTTCCTCAACTCACTAGTCCGGGATGAGCTGTGGACTAGTAGGCCATCATGAGTCATCGTCTAAGGGCATTCCAGGGTCGAAAAGCTCCCCTTTTCCTCATGCTCATCATAAGGGTTTGAATGATGATGAAGCTGTCAGTCTCTGTGACTTTGTTGATTGGTTGTCATAGTAACCCAGTGGTGACGTGGGATGTTACGTATGTTATCAACTGTGGGTTATCATTGGTGTGATATTGCTGTGATATTGTTGAATATTTGCGTTATACAAAAAATATGCTTTCTGTCACAGGTTTCCCTGGTCCAAGCTCTATTATATATTTAATCTGCCGAGATATAGCTGGAATATTGCTGACTGTGTCTATAAACCAAATGTTTTTAATTCTGTCAGTCACTGGTTTACCTGGTCTGGACTCGATCATCTACAGGACGATGTGACTATTGCTGACTAAGGTAAAACAACATTCTAGTTGAGTATAATGTTAATGTTGTATCCCCAGCATCAGTGTGGAGAACTCCTACCTGGACGAGAAAGAAGACGCGTGCACATCTCTTGGGGAGCTGGCCGTCAACTGTGGGTCAGTATCACCATCCATAGAACTTGTTACATTTGTTTGCATCCTTTGTCTTACTTATCTGATGCAGCCTTCTCAATAGAATTCACATGGCACATCTAGCCTGTTTCATAGTGGAAGTTGTTGCAACTTACAAATACCTTCTCTGACAATATGATCCAGGTAGGGAATAGGCCTTCAGCAACCCCTGCTTGCCGTAAGAGGTGACTACGCTTGTTGAAAGAGGTGACTAATAAGATTGGGAGGTCAGGTTCGCTGACATGGTTGATGACTGTCATCGTATCCAAATTGTGTAGATCGATGCTCATGATGTCAATCACTGGATTGTCTGGTCCAGACTTGATTATTTACTGACTACCTTCATATATCTGGAATATTGCTGAGAGTGGCGTTACACAACAAACAAACATTGAAAACATTTCTGAAAATATTTAAAAGTTTCATTAATTAACATGTGAGGAATGGGAAGGAAGTCTTTCTGCTATATATGCATGTATATTCAGCTCTCTCGCTCTCACCTGCCCTAGGCAATGGCATTAACTGACTATGTGAGTCCTGTTTCCCCTCTTCCCAAACTAGGCTGGAATTTCATCGGTGGCTATGACAAGTTATGTCCCTTCTATGTCCATCCTACTGACCAATCAGATTCCATCTCTCTTCCATCTCTTGCATTTGCTTCAAACAAAATGGCAGTGCCCAGTCAAGACGATCTGATCGATAATCAAGATCTATTTTGTAATAAAACGGGTTTACATCACGAAATGCATAAAACTACCTGAGCATCTGGATTAAAAACTTTTAAAGATTTGGAAAATTTCTGTCGACGCCAAGTTGATGGTACATATGCTTTGTAAATCCTGCAATTGAATGAAATCTGCACTGCAGTTTACAAACCGGTTGTTGATTTGGTTATTTGATTTTTATTGGACTCTGCATAGACTCGTTAGTCCAACCAAAATAGACTCCAAAATTCCGGCCTGGTTTGGCAAGGGTGGTAACTGAACTTATATTGTGAGTTCACTCCCTTGACTCGGGAAAATGTTTCACTCTACGTTGATGTATGTTCTGCCACATGTTCGTATGTTCTGCTACAGGTCTGTGTTCCTGCCCTACCTGGAGACCAGTTACACAGAGGTCCTCGGCCTGATAGAGTTCCCCGCCCCGGGGGTAAAGAAAGGCGCCATCTCCTCCCTGTCTCAGTTTTGTCTGTGTGTCTTCCAGGTGTTCACCGAGACACAGTCACCCGAGACAAAAACAGGTCAGCCTCATGGATTCTCCAGATGCATGTTTGATTGTGTTCTTGTTTTTAAAAGGTCTATCATTATCATTATTTTGATTTTGGCAGAATGATAATGATATTTTGAACCCAGATCTGTCCATGCATGACCATGCTACAGGCATTGTCACATAGATGATTCTCGACGGATCATAGGTTTTTGGATGTCATACGTTTTCGGACGGCCATTTTTATTGCGATTACTCACACAAAGTTGGGGGCGGGTAGCTTCACACAGATATTGGAAATCCTCAGATGATGGCTTGTTTTTGAGAGAAAGTTGTCTTTTAAAAGTGAATGACATGTTTTACAGAGAGAAAACTACAAATGTTTCGAAAACCAATAACACAGGGATATAAACAAGTTACTATTTTCTTACCTGAATTATCACCGATGTTCCTAATGGCGTCAGTATGGGGCTGTTATATCTGTGGAAGGTGCTGTTATTTGCTGAGCAGAGTTCCATCCCATAGTTGTGCTGGGATCCATTGGTCATGGGCTTTGTTCCAATTATGATCCATGGCCTTTAAGGAAACATTAACTGTGCCTCTTCACTTCTCTTCTTAGCGGTGTTTTTAACACTCACTCACTCACTCACTCACTCACAAGTCTCAGACAGGCACAGGTACATCATGCAAGATGCCATTCATGATCACATCCGTGCTGAATAAGGCATAAAACTATGCTCACTCACTGTCGCTCGCTTGCTCTCAGACAGGCACAGGTGCATTCATGGTCACATCTGTGCTGAATAAGGCATAAAACTATACTCACTCACTCACTCACTCACTCACTCACTCACTCACTCACTCACTCACTCACTCACTCACTCACTCACTCACTCACTCACTCACTCACTCACTCACTCACTCACTCACTCACTCACTCTCCCCAGCACTGAGCTCCATGATGCCGGCAGTCATCCAGAAGCTACTGGAGGTAGTCAAGACGGACATGGACCGCACGGTTGTCATGGCGGCAGTGGATGCTCTGCACGACATGCTGGAGAAGATAGGGGAGCCAGTGCTGAGTGAGTCTGGCTCCACTGATGCTATACTCACAACCGTAAAGGAGATCTTTACACACAAGGTAAGTGTGGATGTTTGAGCTTTAATACAGCGATTTGCATTTATCTTAGGAAAAACTTGAAAATCTGGTAGTAGTCAAAGGTTTTGAGTTGCTTGGTCCTGGAGGGATCTGATAGATTTGAACCCAGTCCCAGCCCCATGTTTTTCAGAACTATATCCTTGTTGATTAGTTTTCACAAAGTGGTGTCAATTTGAACTTCCTCAATCATTGAGCTCAAATGCTATGATAAGGCTAAAAATTAATAGCCTGCATCATCATAAAATTCACTGCATGTCAAACGTTCGTCAAATACTGTATTCCAGTATTTTACTCATCAAGGAATACATTTATGTAGGAAGGCCCTTTCCCAGGTTGATTGTACACAACTGTTTATTTGGTTACCTGGTTACAAACTAGTTTGAACTACAAAAAAAAAGACACCGCCCGCCTGCACTCTACCTTCAAAAATCATTGCCTGGGAACCAATTCTTTCTTTTTTGTAAAGCCTAATGGAAAAACTGATGAATTATTTTCTATTCCATCAAACAAACATGAAGAAACACAAAATTGTCATGTTGTTATGAAGAGATCATTTGTGTGATATGTGATTGACCTTGGCCATGACCTTGACCTTGACTATGACCTGTCCTTGACCCCAGCTGGCATGTCAGGATCAGGAGGATGAAGATGATGATGAAACCCAGGCGGAATATGACGGGATGCTGATCGAATCTGCGGGGGATGTGTTGCCGGTGATGGCGAGGCTTCTGGGAGGTCAACAGTTCCTCCCATTCTTCAGCAGCTTCCTCACTGACCTCCTCAAAAGACTGGTAAGTGGGGAGATCAGTGGGTTTGATTAGAGGAGATCACAGGGTTTGATATAGAGGAGATCAGAGGGTTTAATATAGAGGAGATCACAGAGTTTGATACAGGGGAGATCAGAGGGTTTTATATAGAAGTGATTGCAGGGTTTGATGTAGAGCAGATCACAAGGTTTGATGTATTTGAGACTGGCTTTGAAATAGAGGAGATCACAGGGTTTAATATAGAGGAGATCAGATGGTTTGATTAGAGGAGATCACAGGGTTCGATGTATTTGAGACTGGCTTTGAAATAGAGGAGATCACAGGGTTTGATATAGAGGAGATCAGAGGGTTTAATATAGATGTGATTGCAGGGTTTGATGTAGAGCAGATCACAAGGTTTGATGTATTTGAGACTGGCTTTGAAATAGAGGAGATCACAGGGTTTAATATAGAGGAGATCAGAGGGTTTTGATTAGAGGAGATCACAGGGTTCGATGTATTTGAGACTGGCTTTGAAATAGAGGAGATCACAGGGTTTGATATAGAGGAGATCACAGGGTTTAATATAGAGGTGATCAGTGGGTTTGATTAGAGGAGATCACAGGGTTTAATATAGAGGAGATCACAGGGTTTGATGTAGAGCAGATCACAGGGTTCGATGTATTTGAGACTGACTTTGAAATAGAGAAGATCACAGGGTTTGACACAGGGGAGAATACCATTGGAATTAGTTTGGAGTAATCGTCACATACATGTACTTACAATCACAACAATAGTGTGCAAGACAGGAATTAGCACGAGGGAAGGTGAAGCCTTTGAATTGCTCTCTCCAGACTTATCCTCAATATGACCAAATTTTATTGCAGAAAGAGACAAGCTCCACATCAGAAAAGTCGTTTGCAGTCGGGACTCTTGCCGAAACAATCGAAGCATGTGGTCCTACCTCAGTAGCCTTCGTGGACACATTGTATCCAGTGTTCGTGAGGATGATACGTGAGGAGGATGACGAAGTCCGCAGTAACGCGGTGTACGCTCTGGGCGTGCTGGCCATGTACGGGGGAGAGAAGATGCAGGTGTATCCTTGATGTCGGTGTACAGAGGGGCCAGTGGAATATCTCATCTTAAGTATACCACTCAAATGAAGTCAAAGAACACCCCATTCTTTCATATTACAGGGGCCTAGGGTAGCCTAGTGGTTAAAGCATTCGCTCGTCACGCCGAAGACCAAGGTTCGATTCCCGACATGGATACAATGTGTGAAGCCCATTTCTGGTGTCCCCCACCGTGATATTGCTGGAATATTGCTAAAAGCGGCGTAAAGCCATACTCACTTCACTTCGTATTACAATAGTTAATCGGTCTCTTCAGGTCACCCTGACGTACAATATGTCCTTAGCAACCTGTTGGTCATGAGAGGGGACTTAATGGACCAGGGTGCCATTGTACAAAACAACCTTAGCGCTACGACTGTCGTAAGTCTATGTTAAGGTATGGGAGTTACGATCACCTTAGCACTAAGATCGCTTTGTACAACGGCACCCAGGTGGCCAGGCCTGGTGACTTGGTTGATGGTTTTGTCAATGTACCCCGGTGTTGTGGATCGCTGCTCATAAGATCAATCACTGGATTATCCTAATGAACCCCTGATTTTTTCATTACCGTGCCATTACAGATTAACTGGTAATATGGAAAAAAAAGAAAAGTTTTTTAACTTCTTTTGAGTAGTTTGTCTACAGATTGCAGTGACTTATCTAGTAAAGTATGTTTTATGCCAAGGTAGCCCAGAAGCATTTGACAGTGGGATGTTTGTGAAAGAAGGTTCACAATTAGAATAACTGAAGTCGATTTTTTACAGGCCACTGCCATATAACAGGAATATTGATGAGTGCAGCATTAAACAATGAACACTCACTCACACACACGCACCCATGCACACAGGCTCGCACACACACCTACTTGAGAGTGTGGAGTAGTTTGCCTGTCACACTCAAGACCTGGATTCACATCCTACAATTGGTACAATGTGTGAAGCCTGTTTCAGGTGTTTTTCTTCCGTGATTTAGCTGGAATATTGCTATAAATGGCATTAATCCATACTGAGTCACTTATGTCAGTGACATGGCTTCAATGGTTAAAGCTAATAAATCCACAACGTGTAATCGGTCCGAAGCTTCTGCGGGCAATCACCATGACACTTGTGACCTTGACCCCACCCCAGCCAGTACAAGGACATCCTGAAGATGTTGTTTGACATCCTGAACAAGGAGACTAACGGCCGCGTCATGGACAACATCGCTGCTGCCAGCTGCCGCCTCATTATGGCCAACAAGGATCAAGTTCCTCTTGAACATGTAAGTGATCATGGGACAGTTTAACATGGAGAATAAGAGATTTACATAATCCCTGGGCAAAAGAAAGTATACTCTTGAAAATTAGATTTGACAAAAGAATTTCAAACTTGATCAAAACGATACCAGGCTAACAACTGCAAAATTAAGGTCCAAAACACAACTATGATACCTGTTTCAAATACCTGACCATGTTTGATTCAACCATGTTTTTTTTCAAATACCTGACCATGTTTGATTCAACCATGTTTTTTTTCAAATACCTGACCATGTTTGATTCAACCATGTTTTTTTTCAAATACCTGACCATGTTTGATTCAACCATGTCATGGAATAACGATAATTAAATAACTGTTTGTTGTTTGCTTCACTTTTAGCCACCATTAGACATGGGTGTATGCTTTCTTACGTCCTGCAGTTTAGATAAGACAAATTGGATTGACTGATGTTATCTGTGTCTGTTTGGGGCAACACATTCCAGTTATAGGAAGTGGGCATGGTAGGTAGGTAGGGAGGGAGTTTTGTTTGTCTTTTTAATACTGCCCATGAAACAACTACGGACAAAGACACTGACATGATTTGTGAGGCACATATAATTATATTTATATGAAAATTAAGCTGGTGAAAAAACATTTTCATTTGGAGCTATTTTGCAGGCTTGGTCAGATTGCCCAAAACAATGATAGTATAGGTCCATCATTATTCATTGCTCTGGGATCATCATTTCATTTTGTGAAGTCATGTATGATGTATTCTTGGCACAGCATCACTAAAGGCCCTCCACCTTACTGCCTACTGACTAAAGGCCCTCCACCTTACTGACTAAAGGCCCTACATCCTACTGACTAAAGGCCTCACGCATCTTACTGTCTACTGACTAAAGGCCCTCCACCTTACTGCCTACTGACTAAAGGCCCTCAACCTAACTGTCTCCTGACTAAAGGCCCCCCACCTTACTGCCTACTGACTAAAGGCCCTCCACCTTACTGCCTACTGACTAAAGGCCCTCCACCTCACTGCCTACTGACTAAATGGCCCTGCACCTCACTGCCTACTGACTAAATGGCCCTGCACCTCACTGCCTACTGACTAAAGGCCCTCCATCTCACTGCCTACTGACCTATGATTGGTCACCCTGTGTGTCTCCAGGTGGTGCCGGTGATCGTGCAGTGTCTGCCGCTCAAGGAGGACATGGAGGAGTGGACCACCATCTTCACCTGCCTGCTGCAGCTCTACAGCCACGGCAGCGAACATGTCAGTGCTGCCTTCTGTTTCTCACTGTCTCACGTCATGCTTAGCTCACCTGATAGTCTTCTCCTACCCCCTCCTGTTTATGTTTACATTTTGATAAAATGATGTAGAATGAAAACAAGATCATATTTGATGTTTCCAGCAATAGTCTGTGCGAAAACTGCTCCCAGCCCATTCATGGCAGCCATATTGAAAATGTCATTTTGACCCATGACACTCTTGTTTTTATCTTTATGTCTCGTGTACGAAGACAGTACTTTATAGTTGCAGTAACATTTCTTTTGAATATTTTGAACTTGTGTAAAACAATGATTTTAATTGTTCTATATGTCATCAATGTCATCAATGGTATTTCAGGATGCTTGCCGTAAAAGGTGACTATGCTTGATGTAAAAGGCGATTAACGGGATCGGGTGGTCAGGCTCGCTAACTTGGTTGATGCATGTTATCGATCCCAATTGCGTGGATCGATGCTCATGATATCAATCACTAGATTGTCTGGTCCAGACTTGATTATTTACAGACCGCCGTCATATAGCTGGAATATTGCTGAGTGCGGCGTTAAACAACAAACCAACCAAAACCAATGGTATTTTAGGACATTCAGGTGAGCTACAGAGCATCATGGCTCTTCTTTTCATGTTTTGCGATTTTTGCGATAATGAAATTTTTTTACGAAAAGGTAAAGATGAAAATCTATTGTTTGGTCCAAGTGGCGATAACTTGGGTTGTTCTCTCCCTTGGTTTTAGTGAGCATTTTCCTGATATTCAAATGGTTCTGTCATAAATTATCCAAGATGTTTAATAGTTGTAACACATTGCAAGTCAGACACCCACAGTTACAAAATTGTCTCAATTGTTTTCAAACATTTTATCTTTGATGTTTATTCCACAGGTGATAAAGCTCCTTCCACAAATACTGAAGTTGATCGCCAGCATACTCGGTTCAGACACTGTCAAACAAGGTGAGACATGCTTTAATTTTGAAATATTCATGTCAATTGGTGTAAATATTCGATTCTGTGACATGGCTGGAATAATAATAATAATAATAATCATCATCATCATCATCATCATCGGGGGCGGTCGGGTAGCCTAGTGGTTAAAGCGTTCGCTCGTCACGCTGAAGACCCGGGTTAGATTCCCGACATGGGTACAATGTGTGAAGCCCATTTCTGCTGTCCCCCGCCTTGATATTGCTGGAATATTGCTAAAAGCGGCGTAAAACCATATTCACTCACTCACTCATCATCATCATCATCATCATCCACTTATAACGCACATAATAAGGCAACAATAATAGTATTTCGGTCAATGGATCAGTGTGCACTCTCAGTTTCCTTCTCATCTCCCTGGGGAGTATACAACCTGAGCTGCCTGTGAGGCGCTAGGTAACAGTCACTATCTTATCCTACCTGGTACCCATTCACTGCTGGGTGAATGTGACTGACCGAGGTGTAAAACAAAACCACAAAATGTTGCTCATGCTTTCAGTCACTTGTTTGCTGGATCAATTATCGATTATTAAAAAAGAGCTGGGATGATACACCAGCTGCGAGATCTGATACATATCACGATACATGCATGCGCTCTTCTCTGTGATGCATAGCCATCTTTTTCATAGACAGCATGGCCAAATACCGGGCACACTAACGATTTACAGTTGGTAATGTCAAGTATGGCGCAATGGATGAAAATATTTACGTTTTCACTACTCATTTTCACTACTAATTAGGGTTTGGTGTAATGTTTATCAAAGAATACATTTAAGGTAAGGATTGTTACTTTTTACTTCGTGTGCGATTGTGATCGATACTTATATTGAGAAGTTAAAAATCGTGATTCACTGCTGCATCAGTGAATCGTCCCACTACTATTGTTTACAGGCTGCCGTGATATAGGTGGAGTGAGTTGTGTTTAACACCGCTTTTAACAGTATTCCAGTTATATCGCTGCGTGTCAGCTTAATGTGGGGGGAAAGCCCGAAGTGATGCAGGTCTCAGACATTTACCACTTCGGTGAAACCCACGAGCACAGGTATGGTGCTGACAAACCTGGAAACATATTCGGGGCGAACTGGGATTCGAACCCACAATCATAAGTTTCTGGTGTGCCCAAGGGACGCAACTCTGCACAGCGAATCACGGCGCCTTAGACGACTGGGCCAGCTGTAGCCCGTGCCCCCTATATAGGTGGAACATTGCTGACTGTGGCGTACAACATTCACCCACTCACTAACTCGTCTCTTTCATCCCCAGACATCCAGCAACTGTTGGTACAGTTTGTCCAGACCGTGGCTTCAGCCTACCCTGCTGTATTCACTGAGGTCAAGACCAGTGTTGGACCAGAGCAAGCCAACAAACTTGACATGTGTGTTGCCATGGTAGCAGGATCACCAACAGGATGAAAGCCATCTTGTTTCAAAACTTTTATTCCCGCTCAAGCCTTGTGCCTATGCAGTTCCTATTTTAGTCTTGGAAAACATTCATAACTTGTCTATGATACGGCTAGCATCTGAAATATTGTTGAACAGCCGCTGTGGTTGTTGGGAGAGAGTTGTGTGGTGCTTCAAGCTGCTTGTAATATCCGGCCAGTTTTTGTTATGGCCTTGTAAGCATGTTGAAATATCAACCTTTGCCGTGACGTCAAGTGATAATGAATTGTTATTACCTTGTGAAAGTCAGTGATGATGTTCGTGAAACCATGACAATCTTCTAGTCAAGATCACTGTATTAAGTTGAAAATGATATATTAACGGTATTTTTTCTTTCCGCTTAACATTTAGTAATTTGGTAGAAACCATTTTGTGTTACATCATGGAGAAAAGTTATGTTTTAAGTTCTTGTAGATATATATGTGACCTAAAATTGCTGAGTGTCTGTGATAAGAAGTCTCAGACACTGTATAACGTGACAATCTGTTGTGAACCAAACCATGGGAACACCTGAGGTAGCAGTGTATATGGTTGTTTTTACCTGTGGCTATTTTTCGGTTTAGTTTATGAGACATTGACAATAGGAAATAAAATTAAAATTGTAATCATCACTCTGGTGATGTTTTATTGCAAATTTCATATTTTCATCGACCAATTATTTTTGTTCTGTTCGTTCACCTGAGAGATGGTAGTGTTTGCCTGCGCACAACACACCAAATAGCAATTTTTCCAAAACTTGTACCCATGACTGTGGGGTGCGCATTATTCTCAAGTGTCCCTGACATTTCACAACTAGATTAACAAAATATTGAAGTTTCTTTATATTTGGCTAAAGCTTGAACATTATGACAGCAGCAATGCATGATTTGTAGCGTGTCTGTGTTACTGAACATAATCCAAAACCACGTCTATTTGACATATCTGTACGAGCCTAACCCATGGTTTCCATACAGTGACAACTATAATCTGATCAAGTAGAGGCTTTGATCTGTATGCAGTTGGTTATGCATGTTCATCCGGCTATATTAAGAAGATATGTTGGTGAAAAGTTAAACTGAAAACACTTGAAGACCAAATACAACACGGATGTTTTTGTTTGCTTATCAAACATCAGAGAATTAACTTTTCTTCTGCTTTTAGACCAGGGCCCACTTGCACAAAGTGATCTTAGCTCCTATACATTCATATAGGCTTACGATAGTCTTAGCGCTAAGATCGTTTTGTGAAGGTGGGCCCAGAAGTGCAAATTCTGAACTTGCCAGCTCACTTTTCATCCAATTGAATGAGAAGCAGTGTGTTGCTTTACCATGTTTACAGAAAAACAGTTGGAGTCTTAGGGAGCACTCCAAAAGTTCAATGTTGGATCAATATTTGAGTTTAGGGAGGGGGTGGGGAGGGGAGATGGGTAAACAGGTTCTCCATCCGACAAAATCTCAGGCTTGTTACAGTTGATACATTTTCACACTAAATATCAGCTAGAATAGTTATCTTTGAAAGGGATCAGCTACTCCGCTAAGGTAAATGAGTTCAGTGGCCTGTATATGTTAACTCAAAAGCTCTACCGGGGTGTTCGCATAGGCTTGTGGTTAAAGCGATCGCTTGTCTAGACGAAGACCCGGGTTTGATTCCAGACATGGGTACAATGTGTGAAGCCTGTTTCTGGTCCAGTCGTGATATTGCTGGATATTGCTAAAAGCAGCATAAACTATTCTCAATCACTCACTCAAAAGCTCTACCGCACCCACATTTATAAGAATATTGAGCATTAGGGGTCACTTGGCACATGCTGTTAGGAGTTCTTGGTAACACATCTGGTCTTTGGGGATGTCATTAAGTTCACAATTGGGGATCTTGAAACCTATTTCCCATACTCTTAACTTTCCTATTGGTCCTTTAATGGTAACAAATAGAAGATACATGGTTGTACATGATTCCGGATATTGGGACCGGGAAATATTCCAATCTATCCATTCCATGATCTGTTGATTGTGTTTTGTCCTGTTCAGTATTCAGGTGTCCGGGACCCTGTCTGACTGGTTCTGTGCTGATGTTCCGTATCCACCCAGGCAACAGAAGTCAAGTAGAAATCTGGGTTATCATACAACCAACATGGTGCTTAAATATCAAAAAATAATTTCAAAAGGTCAACAATTTGATCAATCAAACAGTCAATACTGTCAAACAATTAGACAGTACAGTATTCACAGTGTAACTGACTGTTATAATTAACAGAGGCTCATATGACTGTCCTGCATTAGAACCAGTCACAACTTTAGACTGGTTTTATTGGCAGCTCGGGATCGGATGGTCAGGCTCGCTGACTTGGTTCATGCATATCATTGATCCCAATTGCGTGGATCTATGCTCATGATATTAATCACTGGATTGTCTGGTCCAGACTAGATTATTTACAGACCGCCGTCATATAGCTGGAATATTGCTGAGTGCGGTGTTAAACAGCAAACAAACCAAAATCATTATCAGCTGCCTGTCTTCTGTGAAGTAGACTAGGCAACTGTCTGTATGCAGCTAATGTTGGAACCAGTCGTCTGGGCAACTGTCTGTATGCAGCTAATGTTGGAACCAGTCGTCTGGGCAACTGTCTGTATGCAGCTAATGTTGGAACCAGTCGTCTGGGCAACTGTCTGTATGCAGCTAATGTTGGAACCAGTCGTCTGGGTAACTGTCTGTATGTAAAGCGGGTACTAGTAGACAGGGTAACTGTATGTAACTGATGCTGTACTGGTTTTGTGCAAAATGTTGAATATATTTGTTCTCTACTGACTGCAGTATTAAACCCTATAATCATATACTCAACTTTAGATTCGGATAATGACATACGGAAGCTAATTGGCCAATAACTTACAAATTAATCAATCAAAATATCCCTATCAATATCAGTAATGTGTAAGACTTTCTTAATACACCCTCTTCATCTTTTTGCTTATTTCTAGAACTAGTCCTGCTAGTAGCATCGTGACTTACATTTTGGCGTTCCTTTAGAATTCAGCACCACAAACTTCACAAACATATCACAATTACTATCTTCCCGAGGCAAGGGAGTTAAATGACTGTAAAAGTCTGGTTTCCACCCTTACCTAACTAGGCTGGAATTTCCACCAGTGGCTATTATGAGTTATGTCCCTTCTGTGTCTCTCCTATTGACCAATCAGATTCCACCTCTCATATCACTTGCATTTGCTTCAAACAAAATGGTGGTGCCTAGTCAAGGCGATCTGATCAGTAATACAAATCGTTTTTGTAATATAAAGGATCTTTCTTTGCAAAGTGCATCCAGTCACGTGAGTGCCTTGATTAAAAACATTTGGAAAATATCTGTTGATGCCAAGCTGGCATTACACATGCATGGCAGTTTATGAACCAGATGTCAATTTCATAACGCAGTTTCCATTGGTCTATGCATAGACTCTTTAGTCCAGCCAAAATATGACTCCATAATTGCAGCCTAGTTTGGTGGAAACTGGATTTTTATAGCCAGTTAACTCTCTTGCCTTGGGATGATGCACAATTACCCTATAATGTAACTTTTGAAATGTTGCCAGATATAGTGGCGAAACAATGCCCTGTGAAATCAGGCTAGCAACAGTCTCGTATGAGATCTTTTCAGTAATGTATCATTTCTACACGCCATGTCATTGAATAAGAGAGTCCAACAGATTCCCTCAAAATCTGGTTACTTTTCTCACTGGCGTGCGACCTATGGCAAAGAATGTCCTAATGGGCAGTTGTGGTACTGAATTGTAAAGCTGCTCCAAAATATTAAATCAACAACGTATGTATGCTCTTAAGCTTGCCAAGGGTAGTAGATTTTAGGGAGATGTTGGGAGCATGACCAGGTTCCCTGTAGTGGGTGTTGGTTTGTTCAGATTGTTGTTTGGTGATTGTTGAAATGCTGTACAGTTAGACAATTTGATTAATGTAAATGTTCTTATTCAGTTTTCTTTGAAATCTTGCAAAATCATTAGTTGTAGGTTGTTAAAGTGTTCACCATGTTTATTTGCAGTGTTTTTAAGTCAATTTGCCCTCCTGACTGACATTTTGATGGATGTTTGACAGAAAATAGTTCCGGGCCCGACAACAACTAATTTAAAGATGCCTGAACTATTTTCATCAAGACATCCATGCTATGTTAACAATTTCAGATTAATATGAAAGAAATGAATTTTACCAGGAACTATATTCATTGTATGAAATTTCCTCTGTTGGCAGAGATGTCTGCTTATCATGTTTATGGACAAATAGATCATGATAATTGATACTGTTAGTGATGAGAATTGCATTGATGACCAAGGGACTGACCATTGTATGTTGAAGGGGATGGTGCTGAAGGCTGTAGTTCTTTACACATGTATTTGTCGACGGAGACACAATTTGTTTTTTATTCCTAAGGCTAAACAAAATAATAGTCTTGGTTTTCAGACACTGCCCACACCATCATAATGTCTGCCACATGTTTCATATGAATTCCATTTTCAAAAAAAAATCAAAATATCCTAATCCTTAAAAACAATGTGATCCAATATAGCATGCAGTTACTTCCTAGTTTAAACCAAAAAAAACACGGCCCGCCCACACTATTTTTCAAAAGTCGATGCCGGAGAACTAATTCTTTTCTTTTTTTTTAAGCCTACAAGATATGTTTTCATCTGTTGTTTATTTTCGTGCAGAAATGGAACACATTTACTTTTCACCAGTTTCTGACTGCCATTCCCCTTGAAGATAAGTCGTCAGTCCTTCAGAATGTTGAACTGTACTTCTCTGCATGTACTTAAGAGTATGTCATTGATTATGATATAGCGCTGAGACATTATTTCGTGATGATAAATTGGGAAAAAAAGAACCTTGTCAAAATGTAATGAACAACAACCAAATTTTCAGAGTTATTCATTGCTGTTTTCTGGCATTGTTGTTGTTTTGTATTTTATGAGAATGTTACCATGGTTACAGTGCAATATTTTCTTTTTCACATTGGATTTCTCCATTTCGACTTTGCCATGAATGTGAATTAATTGCCTTTAAAGTGTTCAGAACTTTTTCTTGAATGTTGTAAACTATCTGTAGCATGAAAGACGACCAGTCATTCCCTTTGATGACACGACAAGGCTTCATAATATTACAATTGTCAACTTTCCGTGTGTCATATCACAACCTTTCTATAGAAATGGGGGGACATTCGTCTTTTGCGCCACAATTCGTTGTAGGGAGTTGTGTCCCTTAAACCTATGATCGTGGGTTTGAATCCCGCGAATCCCCAATTGTTTCCTGGTTTGCCAGCACCATTCCTGTGGGTTTCAGTGGTAAACATCTGAGACACAATTTGCTGTGCAGGATTAAGTGAGAAGAGGTTCAAATCCTGGATTCTCTCCGATTGTGGACTTTGGATTAGCGCTGAAACATGTTGATTTAACAGAAATACTGTTCAAAATGGTGTTGAGCCCATGAGGCGCACTCATTCACACAAGAATGAATAAATAGTTAACATTTCATTGGCTATCCAAGCAAGTATTTTTGCATTTATTTTTTGATAGAGAGAAAAAACATAGGCCACACCTAGCTGTTTTCTGTTTAGTGATTGGCTGATAACAGAATGGGCAGTTTTTTTCCCTGTTGCATTATTCCGCTAAACAAAGTCACCGATTTTGTAGTGTTGCCTACAGGGTTTTTTTCTGTTGCAGATTTACACAGTATGCCAATCTCAATGAAATCAGACCTTCATTCTTGCTACTGCTATCAGATCTGATTAATGAGATTGCACACCGTTTTTAACATTGATACCTGCATAAACGTAAAAATATCGATGTCAATATTTCTTTTAAAAATAGTTCTTTCTAGTTTGTAAGTATTGATAACTAGGTTGTTACATGGACGCCGAACATGAACTTTCAGCGGGTAAAACTCTGTACCGCTGATAGTAGCTCACTCACAGTGCCTGGGCTTGTGGGCAGCATGTTGGGCAGAAACCATACTCACTCACTCACTCACAGACTACACATGGCCCCAATGGCAGAAGAGGTCACTATGAAGTATTATCTCTCCTGATACAGCTATGTGACAGTCTCTGGCCCAGTTTCCACAAAGTGCAACTATTGTAGCTCTTAAACCGTAGCAGACCATAGATCCGGGGTGGAATAGGTCTTCAGCAACCCATGCTTGCCGTAAAAGGCGACTATGCTTGTTGTAAGAGGCGACATGGTTGATACATGTCATCGTATCCCAATTGCATGGATCGATGCTCATGATGTCAATCACTGTATTATCTGGTCCAGACTCGATTATTTACTTCTGAATATTGCTGAGTGTGACGTTAAACAACAAACAAACAAAGAAAACAAACTTAAACTGTAGCACAGACTGGCAATAGTCATTGTGCTAATATTGCTGTGCAGCCCTTTAGTGTGTGGTTAACAGACATCCTGTACACACCTGTACGGGCAGAAACCATACTCACTCACTCACTCACAGACTACACATGGCCCCAATGGCAGAAGAGGTCACTATGAAGTATTATCTCTCCTGATACAGCTATGTGACAGTCTCTGGCCCAGTTTCCACAAAGTGCAACTATTGTAGCTCTTAAACCATAGCAGACCATAGATCCGGGGTGGAATAGGTCTTCAGCAACCCATGCTTGCCGTAAAAGGCGACTATGCTTGTTGTAAGAGGCGACTTGGTTGATACATGTCATCGTATCCCAATTGCATGGATCGATGCTCATGATGTCAATCACTGTATTATCTGGTCCAGACTCGATTATTTACTTCTGAATATTGCTGAATGTGACGTTAAACAACAACAAACAAACAAACAAACAAAACAAACTTAAACTGTAGCACAGACTGGCAATAGTCATTGTGCTAATATTGCTGTGCAGCCCTTTAGTGTGTGGTTAACAGACATCCTGTACACACCTGTACGTGCACATCCTTGTATGATGCATGCTGAACCTGTGTAGGTGCATGATACTTGGAAAGAAACGTGAGAGATTATTACGGCTTAGTTGTCCTGTTTTCATGCTAGAGTTTGTTACATCCAAAGAGAAAGTTCTGAAAACTATTTTCAGTCAATAAATTGTGATGAAGCTGAGGAATTTGTTCTTTTCTGTTTTTGTTATTTGTCAGCTGTGAAATCTGTTGACTCCCGAACACACATGATCGTACATCACCACACGGTGTGTGTGTGAGGTGTGGGGGTGGGGGTGGGGGTGGGTGGTATAGTCATCTGGTCTGTCTGTCCGACCGTCCATACATAATTCATTTCCGGAGAATAACTAGAAAACCTTGAAAGATTTTTCATCCAAACTTGGTACATGTATTAAACAGGGGCTGAAGTGGTGCCTTTTGCTATTTAGGAATTTTGAAAGTTGTAATTTTTTCCTGTTTCAATGGCAACAAGTTTGACGTCAACAGACTGTATGTCTAAAACTAAAAAGTGTTTGTTCATGACACTTTGCCTACACATAGACCAGGTTGTCAAATAGTGCCTTTTGCTATTTATTGATTTTTATAATTTTTATTTTAGATTATCCTTGGCAACAAGTTTGACACTGTTCATATTGGTGCATAGCTGACATAGAAATACAAAGTTCAGAATCCCAATTCCATGGTATTGTTTTGATAGCTCAATGACTACTCTTGTATACGAACAAACAGATTGGACTTAAAGTAACAGTCAGATTATTTATTCTTTTGAATTTGTGGGTGCTGGTGGGATTTGTCATCTTCTGATGTCTGTAAATAATCAAGTCTGGCCAGATAATCCAGTGATCGACATCATGAGCACCGATCTACGCAAATCGGATACGATAACATGCATCAGCCGTGTCATGGCCTGACCACCTGATCAAGTTGGTGGTCACTTATGGCAAGCATGGGTTGCTGAAGATCAATTCTAATTCGGATCTTCACAGGTTGTAAAATATTAATAAACAAGCATGAAATACTCATATCCCATATATGACATGTCCAGTTGTGTGCAATGCATTAGCTCCTGTGAACTATGTTCACTGGGCCTTTTTGTAAATGGCCTAATTGCAGCACTAACAAGTCCAACTTGTTGCAATGGAAACGTAAAAAATAAAAATTTATAAAATTCCTAAATAGCAAAAGGCACCAGTTCAGTATGTGTCTGGTAAACATGCAAAGTTTTGTAAGAAATTATTTAACGGTTTTTGAGTTACACTCCGGAAACGAACAGCACCCTTATAGAACATAAATCCAACTTGTTGCCATGGAAACGTAAAAAATAAAAAATTATAAAATTCCTAAATAGCAAAAGGCACCAGTTCAGCATGAGTCTGATAGACATGCAAAGTTTCTGAGAGAAATATTTAACGGTTTCTGAGTTATGCTCCGGAAACGATTTCGGGACGCACACACACACGGACGGAACCCATTCCTATATCCCCCGCCAACTTCGTTTGGGCGGGGGATAATTACTTGAAATTTCTGTGCAGGATGTTTAAAGCTGAACTAGACCAGGGCTATCAGTGCAAGGTTATGCCTACATGTGAACACAAGTATCTTCACTACATGGGTCGAGGAAAGAGTCGGTCTGCCAGGCTGTTCAGCTGCGTCACTGATGATAACAGCTAATATGGCCGTGTCTTGTCCACGTGATGCTGGGCAATACACACTAAGGAACTTTGTTTTCCTTATCACAAATGTTGTGTTTGAGTGCATGACATGGTTATTCTTTTATCTTTCGAGTTTTTTGAAACCTTTGAAAAACATTTGTTCTTCAGATAGGTCCATATTCTAGGACATAAATATCCTAGATATTCTGTTAAAAGTTATATTTATCCTTAGGACATCCAGGGGTTGTTTCGTGTTTCGTTAATTCGTGTTGTTTCGGAAGTACTCAGATGAATCTCTTGAAATAGGTCAAATAACCATTTTCTAGTATGCAGCCACTGGTAATACCCTAAGGAACTCAATAATGTACTTGGAACTTGGGGGAAACGTTCTGTGCACACTTCAGCCAGCTTAAATGTATGTGTGTGGACTTCTTTCTTTTTTATTATTATTCTTTGTCCAACGCCGCACTCAGCAATATTCCAGTTATATGACAGTGGTCTGTAAATAATCAAATCTAGACCAAACAATCCAGTGATTGACATGAGCATCAATCCACGCAATTGGGATACGATGACATGCATCAACCAAGTCAGTGAGCCTGACCACCCGATCCCGTTAGTTGCCCCTTACCACAAGCATAGGCACCATTTACGCCAAGCATGGATTGCTGAAGACCTATCCTAACCGAGATCTTCCATTATATGTACCTGTAATTGGTAACCATAACCTAGTGAGGTGTTCTGCGGGTATGGCTACATGACACAGTCTACATGTACCAGGAGCCTTCTAGTCATTAATGTTGTCAGCCAACTGAATCCCAAGGGCAAACAGGAGGTAATCACGCACAAGACCAATTACCTTCAATAAGTTAGTCCTAGCTTCCCCCAGGACAGAATAACGATTGATGTTGAAGACTTTCCCTTCACTTCCAAGTCCACTTCATTTACATAATCAATTGTGTAATCATGCTGGCTGGAGTGAATGAGTGACCCATCACCATTTTAATAAATACTTAAATTATGTAAAGTGCCTAATCATGTTAATAAGAGGGAAAAAACAACTCATTGTCACTTTTGGTGAAACCACCAAGTACGAGTGTGGCACTGACAAACCTTAGATCATTAATGGGGTGAATATGGGATCTTTACCCACTATCAGCTGATCCTGACACACCCAGGGGACACAACTGTCCATAGAAACTTGTGGCACCTTAGCCCACATCTTATTTGTTATAAAAATAAATGTCATCGTTTGATGTCTGGTTCCATGTCAGTGTTGAATATCTGTATTTACAGACTGACTGCTGTGCACAGCACGCAGGTCACAAATCAGTTAAGTTAAGCAATGTTGGCCATGAAGAGTATTTGGATGGGTCTTCGAGTTCGGCAGCTTGAATCCTGATAGTTTCTAGGGCGTCAATCCTGCCCAACACTGAAGCACATTAACACATTGGTGTCTCCTTAGGCAAGTGACTTTGTTCAAAATATGCCTCTGTTGACTCAGCAGTGAATGGGTACCCGCCCGGCGGGATGAGATGGTATTGTGACTCGTAATATTGTGGCGTTGATGGGCAGTATGGGTTGCAAACTCCTCAGGGAGTAGATAAATAAAAAAAATTTTAGTGCACGCTGATTCATTGGCCGGGGTAATGATGGTGTTAGCGTTTTGAGCATGCTTCGACAGATGGACAATAGTGCATTAAACATACCGTATTCGACGTAATAAGCGCCCAGGGCGCTCTCAAAATAAGAAATAGGGGGCTCTTATTAGAATGGTATTTTTGTGGAAAAAACAGTTGAAAGATAAATTTTGTGGTTTATGCTGACAGCCTGAAATATACTAGCCACATAAAGAAACTGTGCACGGAGAAAATATATTCTGGATTGAAATACAACACAGCAAGATCAAAATGATGCAGACGCCGTAGCAGCTGAATGATCGGACCATAAGAATATGTCAACGGGACCTGAACAACATCTGTTACGATGACGTCAGAAGATCAAAATGGAGTAGGGGGTCAAACGACAAAGTCACAAAGTCAATAACGGGTATGACCACCCTGTGCGTGAATCACAGCAGTGCATTGGCGACGCATGGAGTCCACCAAATGGGCATGGAAGGCCTGGGGAATGGCCTGCCATATCCTCCTCAAATCCTGTGCCAAGTCAGGGACGTTATCTGGAGGATGTGGAAGACGACGCAGACGGCGCTCCATTTCATCCAACACATGCTCTATTGGGGAGTGATCTGGAGAATTTGCAGGCCATGGCAGTAACATGACATTGTTATGGTGGAGGAAATCCATTGCGACCCTAGCCGTGTGAGGACGAGCATTGTCCTGTTGAAATGTCAATCCCGGGCCATGACGTTGCAGGAAAGGAATGACCACAGGCCTCAGAATCTGATCTCTGTAGCCAACACCGGTGAGATTGCCCTGAACAACCACCAAAGGGGTTCGGTGCCGTGCTGTTATCCAACCCCAAATCATCACAGAGCCACCTCCAAAACGATTCCTCTCCATAATACAGTTGCGTGCATAACGTTCTCCCAAACGCCGGTAGACACGTTGGCGCCCGTCACTGTGGGAAATGTTGAACCTCGATTCATCTGTAAAGACAACATTTCTCCACCATATTCGAGGTTGGCGAACATGATTTCGACACCATCTTAGACGGTTGACGCGATGACGGTGTGTCAGGATGGGACGTATGGCAGGGCGTCGTGGTCGAATCCCGTACTGACCTAAACGATTCCTGACAGTGTTGGGATGGATACGGCGCAGTCCATGAATTGTCTGGGACGTTGTTACTGCCGTTTGGAACCTGTGTCGGAGATGTGTAACTCGAATCCATCTGTCCTGTCTTGGCGTCGTTACTCGGGGACGTCCTGAACGTGGGTGGTCGGCAACGTCATTTGTGTTCTGATAACGCCTCACCAATGCCGATATCGTGTTACGATGGCATTGGAAATGTGTTGCCACCTGTTGTTGCCTCATTCCCGCTTGGATCATTCCAATGGCTTCATGACGCTGTGCAGCTGTCAATCTTGGCATGATTTGCTTGTGATATGCTTGTGTCTGCGCCTGAGGAGTTTTGAATTTTTGAATGACCACAGATCATGCTTTCCAAAGTGACAGCGAATTTTGAGTTGCACATGCTGTGTACAGCTGCACAGGATGCACGTGCGGTAACACATTGCACGTCAATAGGCCCCCATCAATGACGTCATATCGCATTGCACGTGCATGAGCGTTTGAATGTCTCCAATAATTGCTGTGTTCAAACCAATATTTCATATGTGGACGGTGTGCCCTTATATCTATATTTTCTCCGTGCACAGTTTCTTTATGTGGCTAGTATATTTTTCCAGAATTTAATTGCCTATAATTAAGGGTGCATATAACACACGAGTGCGTATTATACACAAATAAATAAGTCTTGTGTACATTGCTCAATCAGAAGAGGTGCTAATTGGGATTGTTCACTAGCCAATATATTAACAAATATCGCCGTGGGTGCTTATTACCTCGAATACGGTATCCATTTATTATTATTATTATTATTATTATTATTATTATTATCATCTGGGATTAGAACCCCTGTGCTGGTTCTGGTTTAGAAGAGGTGAATAGAAATATCAATCACTGGTTTGTGTAGTCCAGACAAACACATCTCATTTAGCTGTTAACTTGAAAAAACAACAACAATAAATCAATTGATAATTACATTTATTTCTAACATTTTGATTTGATTTCTTTCTTTAGAATTTTTAAATGTACAATATATTTAAATTACATATTAAATAATGATCTATGCACAATGGCTGTCATAATATAGTAATATAGGGTTCTGTCAAGTCATGATAAAAGTAATAACAAATAATATTACCCGGTGCTTTCCTTTTTCTTTTTCCATGTATTGTATTGTGGTAGTGCTGCAGACGGAAGACATCAATAGGAATAAACATAAATCTTGTAAGGTTACATATCATATTTTATCTGTAAGTATATCATGTATATATACAAGATACTATAACCAGGGTTTTAGAATATGTTTTGAATAAAATTATTTGTAGTATCTGTGTATCTCTACAAATATAAAGAGGAAATGAAACACAAGAATAAATATACTTTGAGTATGCATATGACCTGCAACATCTTCTTCATGAATATGTATCCTCTCTCAGGTAATTAATACCGTTTTCGCTGTTTTTAAGCACCCTGCTCCTGACCAACTTCCACAACAATCATCATGATCATCAATGGAAAGTTCAACATCTATTGAAATGGGGTTTCACAAAAGACCAAAAACTTGAACTCTTCGTAACTCTTGTTTTTTCATGAGATATAAGGAAATAAAGATATATTGCCTTCACAAGGCAATCAATCTCATTAAAATTACATCCTACTGCTCGCTACAAAGATCTGATTTCAATGAGATTGCAATACAATAAGCACCACAATAAGTAAGAATAAGATATATGAATGAACAACTTCTTTATTACTATTAGCGATGTTTCAGTGCAGGTTGTAACACCACATTGACAAGACTTTAGTGTATAAAACCACTATCTCCTTAACAACTGTTATATTTACATAGCATCTTGAACAAAGCCCGACAGATATATACATGTGTACATACAATAAAACAGTTATATACATTTATACTGTGTCACCATCTAAGATGTACCACAGTCAAGGAGGTCGTGGCAATACCGGTAATCTATCTCCGAGACAAAGACTAATACACAGAGAGCAAATCTCATTCCAATAATGTAAATATACCTAATCTAATATAATTTGTAGTAAATTGGATTAATATGAAATTAATATAATTAGAACAACAATTATGCCAATTTAAAGTGTTCAAGTATTTTCTCAAACAAGTTTTCACATTCAAGCACATCAAATCTGACTACCACCATGCCCAGATGTTACTGACTGGATGCTCTTGAGGTCATTGATGGGTTACAGCTGGGGACATCAGTCACGATTTGGAATTTGGAATGTATTTGATTTAAACAAGTTAATCAGAGGTGTCAAATCACAATAACAACCTAAGATTGAAACATTACAAGACACAGTTGATGGTGTGATAGACTACTGGAAAAGTCAGTATCCAAAATGTCTTGTTAACCTTCAACAAATATAAGAACAGAGATTAGTGTGATATTATGAAAGAATAAATGAACGATTTACTGGGATTTTTTTTGACATAGCTTAAGTCTGTTACATCACAACATGTGAGCTTTATGTGAGAGGAAAGGCCAACGTGACAATACCCATAGAACAAATCTGGGTCGACAATCGTAGGATTGAGCTTGTCTGATGGAATTGGAACTCTGCACAACACATTGCACTGGGCAACACAACTGGGCCCCCTAGAACCAACTGACACCATACTTGGATTATGCAGGTAATGACTCCACAACATCAAAACCATCTTCCCGAGTCAAGGGCATTAACTGACTATAAAAGTCCAGTTCCCACCCTTGCCGAACTAGGCTGGTATTCCGGAGTTAAATTTTGGCTGGACTAACGAGTCTGTGCATAGTCCAATCAAAATCGCCAAACAAACTACATGGATTTCAACGTGCAGATTTCGGTCAACTGCAGGATTTGCAAAGCATGTGTACTGTCAACTGGACGTAGACAAATATTTTGAGAATCTTTTCACGTTTTCAATCAAGGTGCTCAAGTGAGACCTGTTTTATTTCAATACAGATTTTGATTATCGATCAGATCGTTTTGATTGGGAGCCGCCATTTTGTTTGAAGTAAATGCAAGTGATATGAGTGATGGAATCTGATTGGTCAATAGGAGGGACATAGAAGGGGCCTAACTCGTAATAGCCACGAAAGACCCTGGAAAATCCAGCGTAGTTCGGCAAGGTCGGGAACTGGACTCTTGTAGATGCATCAAAACATTACATAATAAACATACTGCCACTTTGTTCATATGGGCTAAAAAAGTCATTGATCACAGTGTTTGTTATGTAAAAAAATACATAGAGGGTGACAGGATTCACCGATGCAGTGAAATATTCAACTATATATGCTACACACAGTCTTATCTCTGTACATATTGTTTCCCATTCTGTGAACAAAGAAATGTGATTATGCACATTATGCTAGTGTATTGTCTTAGTTCTACAACAGTAGAAGTGGGACGATTCACCGATGCAGTGAAATATTCAACTATATATGCTACACACAGTCTTATCTCTGTACATATTGTTTCCCATTCTGTGAACAAAGAAATGTGATTATGCACACAATGCTAGTGTATTGTCTTAGTTCTACAACAGTAGAAGTGGGACGATACTCTGATGCATCAGTGGATCACGTTTTTTAATTCTCAATACAAGTATCGATCACAGCCGCACACTAAGTAAAAAGCATCGATTCTTTCCTTGAATGTATTCTTTAATAAATGTTACACCAAACGCTATTTACTGGTGAAAATTTAAATATTTTCAGCCATTGTGCCATACTTGACACTGCCAACTGTAAATCGTTAGTGTGCCAGGTATTTGACCATCTGGCCTATGTAAAAGATGGCCTACACACCACATTTAAGAGCACATGCATGTATTGTGATATGTATCAGATCGCACAGCTGGTGTATCGTCCCAGCCCTACACAACAGCATCACACCACAGAAACTCGATGATAGCGTGTATAACATAATATATGCGTATAGAAAAAGAATCACTCTATGTATATAGAGGGGTGGGATTTTTTTTCTATACGCATATATTATGTTATACACGCTATCATCGAGTTCCTGTGCATCACACAGTGTTGTTATTCTTGGATAAAATAGCACATGAAGATATATTCATCATAATATGCAGCATCTAAAGTTCATGGATTTAGCATGTCAGGTTCCGGTATTCATTCATCATCATCACATCATCACAGTCACCGTCATCATCAGAGTCATGTCATCATTATCTTCCCATCATCATCACATCATCATAGTCATCATCATTGTTATGTCACTATTATCATCCCATCATCATCCCATCATCTCATCATAGTCATCATCAGCTTTGTCATTATTATCATCCCATCATCATATCATATCATCATCGTCATCATCAGTGTCTTGGCATCATTATCGTCCCATCATCATCCCTTCATCATAGTCATTGTCATCATCAGCGTTATGTCATCATAATTGTCCCATCATCTTCACATCAGCAGCAAGGTGTAAACAGTGGTAAAATACAGATATATCACAGTAAATACGGCAAAATAACAAAAAATATTCATGAATAACCATCACATCATGCTTCTCACACGTCATTGTGTATCACAATATGCATCCTACAAACTGTCACTTGGTTCACTGGAAGATTAGATAACCATGAATTAGAATCAGGATCCAGACACTTGATAAAACTCTAGCCAAGCAAAATTTAAGAATTCTATTAATTTAACACGTTCAATGTATTACTTAGGAAAATACACCACATTTCAAGTACTACTTTAACAAATATGAGATAAACGATCCCGTTTCAATAATATTGGAAACAAAACAATTCAAGCACCTGTCATTTAATACATCCTCACAACTTTCTTGAAGACCTGGGTTAGAATAGGTCTTCATCAACCAATGCTAAGAGGCGACTCACAGGATTGGGTGGTCAAGCTTGGCATGTCATCGTAACCTAATTGTGTGGATTGATGCTCATTATATCAATAACAGGACTGTCTGGTCCAGATTCAATTGTTTACTGACGACCATCATTAGCTGGAATATTGCTGAATGCCTCGTAAAACAACAAACAAACAAACAAAACTCATTGATGCCACAGTTGCTGAGGCTACATCACGCAAGCTCACAACTGGATTTCTATTGGTTCCTGATATGCCACACAATACAATGATACTTCCTAAACAGTCCCATATATCACAGTGGTAGTGTGTATGTTGGTGTATATACTGGCATTGTCGCACTGTTTACCATAACTCATATATCAGTTTATTACCCAAAGGGTTAGAAATAACACAAGTTCATAAAAATGGTATCTGCACAAGTGCAAATATCATTTCACGAGCACTAGTGTTTTGTTTACGTTACCCTGACATCATTATTGACACCATTCAAATCATATTGTGTAAGGTCGGAATGACGTCACACTAAACACGACGCCATAGCTGAAGATTGTTGACGTCACTTGACAATTGAGGTTTTCTTTTACAGTGGTCATGATAATTGCATTTTTCAAAAGGGGAGCTCAAAAAGAATAAGTTATAATGTGTAATAAAGAAATTAATACACTTCCATGTGTGTCATACTGATTTTACAAAACCATTAGGAATTCATGTATTACCCTCACACTTGCTCGGGAAATACAATAATTCTGACACTTGTTTTGTAAAATCATGCTCATATAACAATCTATAATATACAGCTACGTTTGATTAATGTCCAATAGCAAATCTTCATCATGTTTGCGACTAGTGTGCCAGGTGACTTGGGTCAATGGCCCTTGAAAACAACAAGTAACCCTTGATTTATTGACAATATGGTTCTGATGCACTAAATAGTTTATCAATGTCCTACTCATAAGTACTAATATCAATCCGAAGCCCTGTGTGACAGAGAAGTGTGTCAGAGATGTTGCATAAACAGCAACACATAAATTAAGAACAGTCAATGCATCACCACTACAATATGCTTTCAGAGTCTCTTGTCATATGAAATATAATCATCCAAAAGCATAAAAACTCTCGCAGCTTAGGAATAAGACAATCATCAGACAATGAACATGCTGCAGTCAGTTCCTGATATCCCCTGCTAGCGTGTGCCAGTGCCTCCCACCAGCCTCTTGTGCACTGTATGCAGGCCTGTCATGCTGACCTCCAGCTTGTCCACAGCCTCGGAGGTCATTCCACTACAGTAGGATACATCAAGATGACGCAGACGCTGACAGTTGGTCTGGACATAGTACAGAGTGTGATTGGTCAGTCTGTCGCAGCTAGACACGTCCAGGTGGGCCAATCGGGGACATTTACTTGTCAGAGCCTCTACAGCTGCATCAGTGATTTTGATGCATTGGTTCAGGTGGACATCCTCCAGGCTTGGATTGTTACGGGCGATGGCGAAAATACTCTCATTGGTCATCCCATGTACCATGCCAAGTGATAAGCTTCTAAGTTCCTTGAATTTTATTGCTTCTTTAAGACCAAAATCTGTGAATTTGGAACACGATGAGAGGTCCAAGGTTCGGAGACCAGACAGGTTGCTGAGGCTGTAGAGATCTCCCCCATTCTTCACCATGGCCTCTAGATCTCCGACTGACATCTTCTTATCCTTCCCACCACTCCCAGATGGTTTCTTGAAAATGTTGGACCCTTGTTCTGAATGTCTGCGAGTGCAGCGGCATTGTCCATTATGGCCATCAAGAACATGGGTCTCATATTTTGAGTCGTCCAGTTCATCAAGTCCCAGCAGTCCTTTGTCTGATAACTCCTTACACCAAGCAAGACGTAAGAATCGTAGATACTTCAGCCTCTTGGCGATTGCGTGGACACTGATGTCGGTGATGTTGAACAGAGAGCCAAGGTCAAGGTGAACCAAACTGGGCACAGCTTTAGTGAGTTCGACAACAAAGTAGTCAGTCAGGGTAGAGCAGCAGCTGAGGTTGAGATGGGTGAGTTTACTCTGTATCCCACTACACAGCCCCTGAATCATTCCCTTGCTGAACAGCTCGTAACACTCTGACAGCTCCAGACTTTCCAGGAGGGGCATGTACTTGAACAGTTTAACAGAATTGTCTGTGATCTGCCTGCATTTGTTGGCCTTCAGTGATCTCAGCTGGGTCAGGTTGGTTGCTATGGCAGCGATGCCACTATCAGTGATTTCAGTGCAAATGCTGATGTCAAGCTTCTGTAGACTCTTCTGTTGGCGACAAAACTGACCAAGGCCAGAGTCGGTGATCTCCCTACAACCAACAAGGATAAGTTCCTCTAAAGCAATGTTTTGACATCTGGCTAACTCGGAGAGGTGGCAATTGGCGATGGTGGTCCGGCTTAGGTTCAGTGATTTGAGTTTCGGCCCTTGTCTGTCAACAAAATCCAGGATTGTGTGAAATGTGAGAACAGCAGAGTTGGTCCCGACCTTAATTCCTGGAGGGTAGTAGGTTCCACTGTTGAAAGTTATCTGAGCATGAGCCAGAGACAGTTCCTCAACATTTTGACACACTGATAGAATTCTATTAAAGCTTACATCAGACAGAAATCTAATTGATGCCAAGCTCAACTTTTTGACATGCTGCAGAGACTCTTTGAGACCCGAAACATCTGACTTGCGGTCCAGGAGATTGCCTGACATAAACAAAGAATTGCAGCTAGTCAGGTCGAGAACTGTCAGATTCTTGCACAGCGCAAGAAGCTTCACGAATGTTCCTTCGGTTATGTTGCAGCCCTTGAGAGACAGGCTCAGCAGGCATTCACTGAGGTATTCAAAGGACTTCACCATCTCATTTATAGAAGCGGTAGAGTTGTCCACGTGGTTCACAACAAGGTGGGTGAGTTTTCTCCTTATTAGGCCATTAGTTACATCACTGGCTAGGGATTTGACCACCACGTCTCTCTGTAGAGCTGGATCCATGGATGCCTCGTACCATGCTGTGTTGACCAGAGCTGCCTCCTTGCGGTCAGACACACTGAGGAAGCTCAGCATGTGGGAGACTACCTGCAGAGAGAAGCAACAGGTTAGTGTATAATGACGTCTTAAGAAAACACCTACTCAGAGTTACATAGGAAGATGACAGGAATATTAAAAATGTTACCCATTAATAGGATACAAGCCTGAGTCAGTTTGTCTTATGTTAAGACAAAACTTTTGAATTCCTAAATCTAGCCAATATATAAATATATATATGTCACAAACTTTTGAATTCCTACATCTAGCCAATATATATATATATATATCACAAATTTTGAATTCCCACATCTAGCCAATATATATATATATGGCACAAACTTTTGAAATCCCACATCTAGCCAATAGATATCACAAACTTTTGAATTCCCACATCTAGCCAATATATATATATGTCACAAACTTTTGAATTCCCACATCTAGCCAATATATATATATGTCACAAACTTTTAAATTCCCACATCTAGCCAATATATATTATATGTCACAAACTTTTGAATTCCCATATCTAGCCAATATATATATGTCACAAACTTTTGAATTCCCATATCTAGCCAATATATATGTCACAAACTTTTGAATTCCCACATCTAGCCAATATATATATGTCACAAACTTTTGAATTCCCATATCTAGCCAATATCATGAATATATATGTCACAAACTTTTGATTTCCTACATCTAGCCAATATATATATATATATATATATATATATATATCACAAATTTTGAATTCCCACATCTAGCCAATATATATATATGTCACAAACTTTTGAAATCCCACATCTAGCCAATAGATATCACAAACTTTTGAATTCCAACATCTAGCCAATATATATATGTCACAAACTTTTGAATTACCATATCTAGCCAATATATATGTCACAAACTTTTGAATTCCCACATCTACCGGTAGCCAATATATATATATATATCACAAACTTTTGAATTCCTACATCTAGCCAGTATATATACAGTAAACTACGTTTGTAACGAACATGCTTATAACAAACTGACGGATATATATAACAAACTTATTTTAAGTCCTGGCCATTTGCTGTATATATATGCTGTATATATGTTTATAGCGAACTACGGTTATAACGAACGAAAATTGGTGGTCCCTTTGAGTTCGTTATAACCGTAGTTTACTGTTTGTCGCAAACTTTTAAGTCCAAAGATATGCAGCATAAAGATTACATCCAAAAAACCCGCAAGTATTGCTTCTGTTTAATGATAAATATTTTCAGAAGTTTTCCATAACACAAATAATATTACATTGACAAATCTAATTCTCTTATTCTGATTTTAAACCAAACGTCATAGATTCCACTAAACAATGAATCATAATATCTCAAAGTGTGAGACAACAGCCTGGCCACTTAATTCGTTGAAGTTTGTTGAAAATATATAAGTGCAAAAGATATTCTGCGACGTGGTCTTATATTGAAGTTGCAAAACTTATTGAACGCCCATCGGATCAATTAATATTTTGTAAACAAAACCCCCTACAAAGGACAATGACTCTCTGTAGCCCAGCTTGGGAGTCATAATGAACCTCAGTTTTAAGAGTCTAGGGCAAACTCTGCGCATATAAATAAGAAAAACAATTCTCAAGAACATGAAAAGAAGAAGAGTCTCACGTTGGTAGATTGAAAATTGTTTTCATGCTTAATCATTAAGCAAAAAGTATGGTCTGAGAGAGCTTAGTAAAGTTCACTAGGCCAGAAGAACAACTACTAGACACAGGCTTCAGCCCAGCGGCAGAGTTGCAGTATGGGATGGTCAGCTTTGCTGACTGTGACAGGTCCAACGCCCCAGATTCAAAACTGACGAGTCATCATTGTGGTCATTGGCCATATGGGCTGTGTTGTAGTTTGTCGGAGATGTTTGTGTATGAGTCAGTGACATGAGTTACACAAATTAACCCCTGGATAATACACTAACGTGTACACATACCACATCATTATTATATGATTACAAAATGCTGGGATTAAATTAGACTTATTTATTTACTTCCTCAGTAGAAAGGCTTGATTTGACCAAAGTGATAGATCTGAACATGATTTTAACAAACGTGGATAAAACATATTTACTTTTATCATGTTTACCTATGGTTATAACAAACTATTTAAAAATACCAACAGTTTTACTTTATATTACACTACTCAACATTTGCTAAGGACCACAACGAACAACTAAGGATACAACGAACTGTTAAAAAATCCCCGATTTATCTCCCATTCATTATCATATAAAATTTACGTACATAACCAACTCCCTACAGCGAACTATCGTATATAGCGATGTAACACATTCTGCAAGGGGAATTAATGGCTATTGTGAATTGGTTTTTCACCTCAAAGACAAGGAAATTGACGTCTCCAGTACCTGTGGTACGTAAGGCTGCTTAAACTCTTTCTACTGAAAAATCTAGTGCTGCAATATTTGTTTATTAGATTGCCAAGCTCATGTTACTATTTACAAAAATATCCAATTGTTTAATCAGTGTTAATACTACTGAGACTGTGAATGAAACGTAGCACAACATTAATACGAAGAGTAGGGGAATCTGTTCTGTTTGTTGTTTAACGATGCACTCAGCAATATTCCAGCTCTATCATGCTCTATGACGGAAGTCTGTAAAGAATCAAGTCTGGACCAGACAACCTAGTGACTGATATCATGAGCATCGATCCATGCAACTGGGATACAATGACATGCATCAATCAAGTCATCAATGAGCAGATCCAGAAGGGAGGGTTCAGACCTCCCCTTTTGAAAACCAAATGTAGTATGTTGTAGACAATGAGTTGCTGAAGACCTAATTTTCATGGCTAATGGAAGAATCTAAAATGGTGGACAATGTTTTGGGAGTGACATACTACAGATTTAATGACAGTTTTTGTAACAGTCCCAGTTTGAGTTGTTAGATTACCATCTTTAACTGTAGACATCTAAACACAATAAACTTATTTATCACACATATCAAAACATGTCGGTAGCAGGATCACTCTGGGTACATGAAAGTCACGTGACATGACACAAGTTAACCTCAGCTCTATCGTACAGCTGTCTTCTATCAATTTTGAATTTGGTTTAATTCTTTTACGTTTTTATATTAAAAAATTTGGGTAAGATAAATCTGTTGTAGAAGGATCACTCTGGGTACATGGAGTCCCTTGTTAGTTTTATACCACTGGTCTCCGTCTCAGGACACATAAAACCCTATGTATCCCTCGTGATGCAGCTGCAACTTATAATATTCCCATGATCACATGTACAAATACTATAATCATAATAATAAATAACAAATATAGTTTTCACCAGACTTACATATTAATTTAGAAAAAGTTACACTCTAAACTATTTGTTTCGCATACCTTTGACATGATAAAAAGTTGGTAGAGACTGCCGTGGACCTGTGGGCTACTGTTAGGGTCTCTCAGTGATCACTGTCACATGTAGATAAGCCAAGGTGGATATTTTTAGAGACACGAGTGATAATATCAACACTGTTCTATCAAGAAATGAAATAGTTCTGTAACTAGGCCAGAGAAGATACCATCATTGAAATGCGTCTTATGATTCTTTATGAGTTCATAATGATTTTGCAAGAATGTAATGATATTTTTCCGAAAGAGATGTGTAGACACAGGAGGGAAAGAAAAGAAGAATAAAAAGAAGTATTTTGAAGTGTTCAACTTCAAGTGAAACAATCTCAAATTCTTAACAAAATGCAAATTTCCATTATCATCACTGTATTTCACTGGAAGTTGGTCAAACTTTCATTTTTCTTTTTGAACGTTCTTCAGATAATCAAATGAAGAAATTTCACAACAAAAAAACCCGTCTCATTTTGAATTACAAGTTCCATATTAAAAAAGCAGACTGTCGCATGTTTCAAACTGAAAGTTACCAAAACAAGCAAATAACTAAATTATCAACATTATTTCCAGGATCCTGTTTCTTTGTATGAACGTTCTATAAAAAACAAACCTCGATCTGTGTTTGCTTTTTCAAGAGCAGTGAACGACAGATTTCCTACATGACATTTTTAAACTACTTTTACACAAGTAACTTGACACAATGCAAGAAGAAATCAAAATGTACAAAAATCGATGTGATTTTGGTTCTTTTTTGTCCACCAGTCTTTGTGCAAGTTTATCACCATTACAAGTATTTTGGCAATAGGATCAAGAAACACTCAATCTGATTGTTGGGCATGTTGGGTAGGGAATTAGCCAATGGCTCTAAGACTTTCATATTCATAATGGTAATGAATTGAATTTTGGGTAGCCTACCTTTCTTGATGTACAAAAACATCAGGGTGAATACCGGTAGTATATTTTTCCAGCAAGAATGCAAGTTGTGTTGTTTATTTACTCAATTTGGTATAAACTCGACCAGTGGGTAGTGGGTCTGGCCTAAGTTTTCTTTAAAACATAACCTTGTCCTCTACTGATAAATATACAAACACTAAACAAGCTAAATATGATTTGACTTCTCTAACTACTAGTGTTACCATGACTACTGGATATCCATCACTTGTTTATGACATAGATATGATAAAAACTTGATTTTCACCATGTTTTTGCACAACTTCAGTGTAGAACTATGATTCCGTTTTCTTCTTAATTATCAAAAATGTTTAAATCATCATAATGCTGAACAGCCTCAGCTGAAATTTTGAGTTGATGTTTGTTACTATATATGCATAAGCGGGTTCAACTTTGCTCAAAGCATAAAAAGTGCAACTTCAATATGGCAGCCAGGTAATGATTAAGCCACCTTTGATTAAAAAAACCCTTAAAACATCTTCTTGCACTGTAAGATCATCATCATGACATCATGATTATCTCCTAAGAAACCACTGGACCAATGAAGATGAAACTTCACCATTAGTTCCCATGCAATGTTTCCACTAAGGGGCTGACCAATTGGCGCAATTTTAGTGAAAAAATAAATTGTACCCCCAAATCCTTGAAAAAAATAATTATAGTATGCTTCGTTGTGTTGGAAAAATAAAAGAAATTGTCTGCCACAAAAATTACATTGTTGCAAAAAATATATTGGCTGACAAAAAGTGAGCAGGACTTACTAATATCCCTGACTTCGACTCCAACATATTTTCTCAGAAAATCAACTTATTGCAATCAAACTTTGCACTGCACCTCCCCCATTGGTATAGAAACTGTACCCACAATTGGAAAAGAATCCATGAATTAAATTTTTCAGTTAAGTTATAGGTTGCACAAATATTTCAGTAATAAAATTCTAAGTAAACAAATGAAAAATAGCTGTATTTTTTCAGAAAACCCAAATATTGAAAACAAACTTTGCACTGCACCTCTCCTGTTGGTATAGAATCCGTACCCCCAATTGGAAATGAATCCATGAAGTAGTTTTAAAGTCATAGGTTGCACAAATGCGGAAGTAATAAATTCTAAGTTCAAAACATGATAAAAATTCAGAAAATATACATATCAAAATTAAACTTTGTTAGTGCACCTCTTCTATGAACTGCCCCCTAAAATTGAAAAGAATCCATGCCGTAGTTTTCTAGTTATAGGTGGCACAAACGATTCATTTAAAAAAAAAAAAAAATAAGTAGGAAAATGAAAAATAACTGTATTTTTGCAGCAAATCCAAACATTGAAATCAAACTTTGCACTGTACCTTTCCTGTTAGAATAGAAAGTGTTCACCATGGCTGAAAAAAATATATCCATTAGTTTTTTAGTCCTTTTAGGTTGGGGGTATAAATATATCTGGTTTTGCAGCTGTAGCTGAAATAATATCTGGTCTCAATACAAAACACCCTGTTGTTTCAGCACTGTTTTCAGTTGTTCAGGGCACTGTGGCATCTACACCCAAAAAGGAGTACCACTGCAGGAATATCTGTGTTTAGTGGGGGTCTAATTGTGTTAAAAAAACCTTCCAAAAACGAGGTGATAAAGACATGAAGCTTAAATGTTTTCGAAAGCTGACACAGAGAAGTATCATATCTATCATGTCTATGTTAAAGAAATTACTTTAAATGTAATTGACCTCTCCCTACCGCAAAGTGATTACCTTACAAGTTACCAAGGCCCTATTATAATCTAGATCACACTTCCATTCACCCTGTGGGGATAGCTATGTCGCCAGCAACCTATCCCGTTCGTAAGAGGCAACCAAACGGATTGAAACGTCAGGCTCGATGACTTGGCTGATTTTGTGCCATCTTACCCTGAGGGGTAATTGCTGGTCATAAGAAGGGACTAAATTCAGAACCCCTGGAGATTCGGGGTTAGAAATGGTCCTGAACATCATATGCTGGTCATAAGAGATGACTTAATAGATCGGGTGGTCGGACTCTGTGACTTGGTTGATGGCGTGTCAGTGTGCCCCAACTCTGTGGACTGTCGCTTATATCAATCACAGGATTCTGTCTGGTCTAGACTCGATTATTTACCGGCCACCATAATATATAGCTTGAGTACTGCTGTTTGTGTCGTTAAAGTGCCTTTAGCATGTTCAGCAAACACATACAGCACATACTTCATCACCTTTCTCCATCACCTGTCTCATGCAATTCAAAATGCTTGATGGCCTTTGTTGCTTATAATCTAGACGATTATGACTGGACATATCTTCAGTTAGATGTTTATTACACAACTGTTCATCAGGCTATATCCTGTTCAAACCATGTGACAAATGAGATGATTTGAAAAATACAAGCATTTGATCTTTTGCAAAGGAAAAGATACGGTGTCAAAATGGTATCTAATTATCTATGATCTAGCTAGAGTGTTGCACAGGAACTCGTTATTGGTCAGTAAAAAAAAACCAAAACTCCCCTGCAAAATTTTTTAAGGGGGTATTTGTTCTTATTTACTGACCAATAACGCCTTCCTGTGGAGTGTTGTCATTCACATCACAAGTTGTCATGTCATTCTCGAAATCAAGGTTACAGACATAATACACACTAGCACCGTTAACTACTCACCTCTGTCGGTAGTTTTGATGCCATATTTTATGCAACGTTGATGAAAGACGCCGTCTACTGGTTATATCCGTGTTGCGTAAACGACCGTGACCCCAAATGACATCACTACGTGAGGCAGCTGACTTGGTGCGGCCATTTTGTTTACAAGAAGTGTCATGTGATTTACCGTTGCATAAGCAAAGATAAATTTGTATAGAAACAGTAAAACTTAATATGATTCTGCGTCAAAGTAAAAAATAATGTTAAATCAGCAATATCATATCATTATTCTCATATGTAGAAAAGTATAATAAAACTTTTGAGGTCAAAGATCATCTTGGACAAAATGGCGTCCTCCATAGCCATACCGAGACGGGTGCCTCTACTCTTAGTAGCAGAAAATGTATTACTACCAGGTTCCTCGATGCGAATTCCAGTCAGAAGCATCAGGAAGTACGTTTCTTTGAAATGCACACGTTGTCTTCGTTTGTTTTCAACGGCATGTTTCATGATCACGTTCACAACTGTGTCAGTACGTTTGCTGTTAATGTTATTGTCACGTGACAGGTGCCTGTCAGCTGGGTCCAAATACCTTGTCATTATGTAAAGAAAAGCGAAACCCTAATGAATCCACATGTATCCATTTTAATATTTTAATAGAGACGTTTAGCAAACACTCACGTCTATATTTATTGTATTTAATAAGGCTTCAGATAAATGAAATAAACAACTTATTATCATGATTATAGACCCTAAATTAAGTTATCTTGATCCAGAAACATCGAGATAGTAAACTGAAGCCCGAGGCTCTGGTCTATGGACTAGATCTAGGTGTCTGTTGTTGTTTTTATGATAAACAATAAGAATTAATATTTAATATAATTGTACTTCTTGCAAGTCAGTTCAAATAATTTGGAGCCATTTATTAAATGCATTCGCTGAGTGTGCTCAAAGACGTATATATAAATATATATTTGGTGTGATGCATTTTTCATCTATCAAAATGAATATTACTTTTGAACATAATGTTGTGACTGTTGTGATATTATGTGGGATTAAGGGGATGGACAGTCATGATTTTCACTGAACCTTCTTTCAAAAGATGTATAAGCACCAACATGAACTATGTGCTTCAACTTTCAAATTAGAGTCTTAATTTTGGCTCCTGAACATTTTTCTATTCTGCACCAAAGTAATGGAACTTCATTCAAACTTGAAAACCCAATTCTTCAGGAAAGTGTGCTACACAAATCTTATGTTTGTTTGCTGTTTAACACCGCACTCAGCAATATTCCAGCTATATGAAGACAGTCTGTAAATAGTCGAGTCTGGACCAGACAACCCAGTGACTGACATCATGAGCATCAATCTATGCAATTGGGATACAATGTCATGCATCAACCAAGTCAGCGCACCTGACCACCCAATCCCTTTAGTCTCCACTTACAACATGCAGTTGCTTCTTATGACAAGCGTGGGTTGCTGAAGACCTATTCTATTCCTGATTTTCACAGGTCTAAATGTTATGTAGTGCTATGAGCAACTATACTGACTAGATGGATGTTAACACATAACATGTGGACTATTATTATTTTTTTAAAGATCTAATTTAAAAAATATATAATACTATATGTCAGAGGATATTGGAAGTTGAATGTAACCATGTGCTGAATACTCATGAACATTAGGAAAATATATACATGCTTTTTTACCAAGGTTAATAGTTTAGTCACGGTTGTACTTTATTTTAGTATGACTATGGTGAAGAGCCGTCTCCTTGGACGAAATACACTAAGCAGTACTGTCATTGGCGTCATTCCTAAGGATCCATCTAAGGATGATGAGGTAACTTGGCATCACTTATTTAATCATCATCGGTAGGAAATAATCTTTTTCTTTTTGCGTTTTGAATAATTTTGTTAAATACATGTATAAAGTAGAGGACAGGGTTTAGAAATTTGTTTTGAGTCATGTGACATGGTGAATATTTATAAAAAAAAGATGCCTCTCTCCAACAAATGCTCCAAAGTAGATATTATCCATTTATTTATGATTATTAGGAACAGTGTTAGTGAAATCGATTGATATGAAAGGATATGACTAAATTTTCTCACTGTGTAAAGTTTGGTACAATACATCTGTATTCAGTCTTCAGCATGTTTAGGATAAAACTTGATTGTAAACCTACAATTCATTTTTTCTATTGTTTTGTTGGCAATAATAATGAAGATGATATGAAATTTCATAAATTAGGGGTCATTGTGAGATTCATGAAGTAAAGAACAAACATTTTTAGTCTGATGTAAGAAATATTTCCAGTGATGTGTTGATCATGGTCACTCTGATGATGTGGTTGTTGTATGCCTTTCATTTTAATATATGAATATAATAACCATCCTTATGTTATTAATCAAACTGACACTTTTCAATTTTCTCTGAATTAAATTTGTAGGATGATGAGTTAACAGCACTCCATTCAATAGGCACAGCTGCTGTTGTTGTTCAGATAACTGGTACCAACTGGCCAAGACCAGCATACACATTACTTGTTACTGGATTGTGCCGGTTTAAGGTGGAATCAATACTTCAGGAAACACCCTATCCTATTGCCATGGTTACACAGTTGGACAAACTTTCTGACAATGACCGAGGTAAGTTTCAATAGTGACACCAACATGGTCTAAGGTTTGGGTCTTAGAAGTTGGAATTATTTGTTTAATAGGAAGTTTGTGAGACAACAGCTGACAAGTGACATATATTTACAACTTATACACTTCTGTCCTCTGGGATTTATCTAAACCTGCACAGAGGCCAAAATTTGGTGCTAAATCTGCAACAAATGTCAGTGAAAATTACCAAATGGTAATACATCATTTCCCAATTCATGTTAATATCATTATAACTAAAAAAAGTGGCTTGGTCAAAGTGACTTCTATTTCACTAATAACAGGACAATTAAATAGGAAGAGCCTTTGATGCAATGTTTCAATGCAATGTTTCAATACAATATTTCAATGCAATGTTGAAATACCTCTGAAACTTAAGAAAATAAGAAATACCAATTTTGAACGATATAACAGTTTGTTCCCATTTTGCCTGCCAAGGGAAGATTGGATTCCTAGATAAATCCATGGTCCTGAAAATGTTTTCAAACCATGGATCAACTGAGACTTGGCAAAATCCTCTCAATGAATGCAAGAGCTGTACACTAAAAGTTCAACATTCTAGGCAGATTCACATTTGACCCAGCTAAATGCTCATTTGGGTGTTTCACAAATATGCCAACTCGATCATATGTGTATTATGTCTAATTTTTTTTATTGAAGACGATATGGATGAAAATCAAGAGCTCACTGCATTAGCGGAGAATTTCCGTGACCAGGCTGCCAAACTTGTAGAGATGCTCGATATCTCAATCCCAGTTGTTGCCAAGTTGAAGGTAACCATAGTAACATTCGTGTTCAGAAGAGTTTAACAAATTTGTAGATGCTGAATAATGATTCCTCTTGGATTTAGTATCACAAACTTTGCTCTTCACATTCCCTGTGGTGGTGCCAGAATCCTATTTGCCTACTGAAGGATTCACTGTTACATGGATATATTGTATGTCTCTTTCTATTTGTGTAGCAGTCATAACTCTTTACTTGATTTTAATCCTTGGCAGAAAATGCTTGAAAATCTGCCGAGTCAGCATCTTCCGGACGTGTGTGCAGCCATTGTGAAAGCTTCCTACACGGAGAAGATTCAGGTGCTGGATGCCGTGGACCTGACGGACAGGTTCAAGAAGGCTCTTCCCCTGCTGATGAGGCAGATTGAGGTACTTCTAGAGGCAGCATAGAGGATTCAATACATAGAGCTAGAGGGGCGGTCGGGTAGCCTAGTGGTTAAAGCGCTCGCTCGTCACGCTGAAGACCCGGGTTCGATTCCCGAAAGGGGTACAACGTGTGAAGCCCATTTATGGTGTCCCCCGCTGTGATATTGCTGGAATATTGCCAAAAGCGGCGTAAAACCATATCACTCAGTCACTCACATAGAGCTAGTACATGAGAGTCTTTCAGATACCAGTGTTCTTACAAGGAATGATACAAGCACACCTGTGTATTTGTAAGAGTGAATATTATCCTACCCTATTTTTTATCCCATGGATAAAATTCTCTAGTGTCAGGATGATTCTCCCTAGTGAATTTGAACTGATACCAGTGTGGCACTAAGGTAGGATACTATACTCTAGAGTAAAACTTCCCCCGGGATGATATTTAGGTAGGATATAATCCTTGCTTACATATTAACTGTCTGTTCCAAATGTTTTTGAATCTGCTAGCATGGACTTGTCATATGACATCCATACTTTGAAACTAAAGCTAGTCCGCTCGCCTAAGACTTCTAACTTGTACTGAGGCACCCGAAGATGGTAGTCCCCATGGATTAGTAGCGTTTGAAGGCTATAACTCTTAACCAGTTCTCAATGTTTCAATTTTGCTATGGATTGGAACTGAATTAAACTGACAGAAAATGTAAACATAGTAACCATTGTTGTCGTGGTCAATCAGGACCAGCTACAAACTCTGAGAACTACGGAAATTAAGGTTTACAAGTCTAAAAAAACAACAAATTTTTATGGCTGTACATTATTTCTAGTGTTAATCTATGGAGTTAATTTGCAAAGGTTACTAGATTAAAAGAAATTGTACTAGTCCCTGGCTTTGGACTAGTGGCTAAAGTTGCAGGATGTATAAATCTCTATTTATCTACTACTAGGGTCTAAAGCTTCTTCAGCGGGCGCGGAAGGATGGCAAGGTGGAAATTGTGACGCGGAAGGAAGGGTCAAGGCCAACCAACATGCGGAGTCTGTTCCGGAAGCTCAGCACAGACTTGGAGGAGGAGGATGGAGACAACGAGTCGGATGACCTGGACCTGGAGCAGAAGATAAAGTATGCTCTGTGACCAGCTTGTTGTTGTTGTAGATCACTGCCATGATAGAGGGGTAGACTGTGTCCCCAGAAGATAAAGTACACTCAGTGACCAGCTTGTTGTAGTGGTAGATCACTGCCATGATAGAGGGGTAGACTGTGTCCCCAGAAGATAAAGTACACTCAGTGACCAGCTTGTTGTAGTGGTAGATCACTGCCATGATAGAGGGGTAGACTGTGTCCCCAGAAGATAAAGTACACTCAGTGACCAGCTTGTTGTAGTGGTAGATCACTGCCATGATAGAGGGGTAGACTGTGTCCCCAGAAGATAAAGTACACTCAGTGACCAGCTTGTTGTAGTGGTAGATCACTGCCATGATAGAGGGGTAGACTGTGACCCCAGAAGATAAAGTACACTCAGTCATCAGGCTGTTGTAGTGGTAGATCACTGCCAGTGGGTGGAATGTGTCCCCAGCATCCAATTACAAGTCATAAGAGGGGATAAATTGGGAACTTGTGGGAATTCTGGTTAGAATTGTTAAATCTTTGCCCCGGTCGGTCTATGCAAATGTTTGACAAAAAATGGTATTGTGTAGGCCATGCTGTATGCTGTCCATGATGAAACTGATACCTTGCCTTCATGATATGCTAGTGTGTTAAAGTCAATAATTCATGTATTTTATTTAAATCATACCACGGATAGCCTAGCTTTACTGCCAGTTTATTCAACCTTGATAGAAGATCCTGGTTGGAATTGGTCTTCAGCAACCCATGCTTGTCCTAAGAGGACTAACGGGATCGGGTGGTCAGGCTTGCAGACTTGTCATCATATGCCAGCTGCATAGATCGATGCTCATGATGTCAATCACTGGATTGTCTGGTCCAGACTTAATTTTTTACAGACTGCTGTCATATAGCTGTAATATTGGTGAATGCAGCGTTAAACAAGAAACAAACTGTCAATAATCCTAATACATGTGAATAGCAAACATGGTGTCATCAGACAACTCTTTAGCTAGGCAGTTTGAAACTAGAGGATTCTCAGATTTTTCTGAGACTACTGCAGCTACATGTTTCTGTTATGGCAGAGCGGCCAACATGCCCGAGCAGGCGCACAAGGCGTCGATGAAGGAACTGAAGAGGCTGAAGAAGATGCCGCAGCACATGCCGGAACATGCAATGATCAGGTAACTCGCCAGGATCACTGTTGCATTCCATTTTTCAACCGATCCTTGAACAATATGATCTGATCAAGTACTAGGGAGATTATTTTTAATGGTTTCGGGCAGTGGGGTAGCCTTGTGGGTAAAGTGTTTGCTCATCTGGCTGAAGACCTGGGTTCGAATACCAGCATGGGTACAGTGTGTGAAGCCTGTTCTGCTGTCCCCTGCCCTGATATTGCTGGAATATTGCTTAAAGCGAAAACTTACCTTTTCAGAGTTGCAAGTGAGCAATTCGGCTGCGTAATGACATGTGACTGAGTGTTGTGTGTTGCAGGAACTACCTAGAGTTGATGGTGGAGCTACCGTGGTCCCGGCAGAGCAAGGACGCTCTGGACATCTTGCAGGCCAGGTGAGTCATGTGACATGTGGTGTAGGCAGTGGTAACAGTTACAGTGACGCCAGTCCCAACCCTCTTTGTATGGAAAACACACCTTTGGGATGATGACAATTGGGAACAATTGGGACCCACCAGGAGAAAAGGGACCCTATGGGTGCTAGGATACAATTGTGCTGCAACGTCATAAAGACGTTTGATGTCAACTTACTTCAGTGAAGATCGATATGTGTGATGACTTATTTCTCTGTTATCGATATGAATTGAAGCCTGTGAATTGTATTTTTGTGTTCTGATGATGCTGTAGTTTTATAATATAATGAAAAGTCAAAATGTGACTTTTCACCCATAAGGTCCCTTATCTCATGGTTGGTCCCAATTTATGATTAATGGGACATTACTGTGTACCTGTATCATCTTCAGTGGCAGAGATTAGTGACGTGATTTGATTGTGACATCATGGTGACCGATGACATCACAATGACCTGCAAAGCATTGTGATGCAATTTCATTGTAAAGATACCTCGTAGGAGATATTGATTGATATCACCCAAGCAATATCTCCTATGAAAGCCAGTTTTCTATGATAAATAAAGGTCATATACCAAAACAGAAGTGGACTCCTAGACTTTAACTGTATAGAGTGTAATAGTTCCATCAGACTTCTACCACTGATGACATGTCCTCACAGGAAGGACCTGGATGAGGACCACTATGGCCTGGACAAGTTGAAGAAACGTGTCCTGGAATACCTGGCAGTCCGCCAGCTCAAGAACTCCCTCAAAGGTCCCATCCTTTGTTTCGTTGGTCCCCCAGGGGTGGGGAAGACCAGTGTGGGACGGTCAATAGCCAGCACACTGGGGAGAGAATTTCATAGGTAACTCAACCAGGACCTACATAGTTGCTTGTTGTTAGTTTGTTGTTGGTTTGTGGTTTTACGCCTCACTCAGCAATATTCCAGCTATATGACGGCGGTCTGTAAATAATGGACTCTGGACCAGACAATCCATTGATTTATATCATGAGCATCTATCCACGCAATTGGGATCGATAAAATGTTTCAACCAAGTCATGAGCCTGACCACCTCATTCCATTAGTCGCCTTTTACGACAAGCATAGTCGCCTTTTATGGCAAGCGTGGGTTGCTGAAGACCTATTCTAACCCAGATCTTCACGGGTCAGGACCTACATAGAGTACGGTTTACATAGCCTGAGAGATTGTTGGACTGCATCAAGTCTTATATCCTTTTCCTCGTTAGTAATTACATTTATCATGCATTGATAATGTCTTTGTGTTTTTCTTTAGTATTGTAGGACTAACTGGATTACTTTTCATGTGTTTATGTTATGTTTACTGAAGAAAGTTTTGTATTTGTAAATGTTTTTTAACCAATCAGATTTTGTATAGGCTATGTGATACACGAACTAAACAGGCTTTTTCTGATAGTTTTGTGAATTCTGTTTGTCCACTAGGATAGCACTTGGGGGAGTGTGTGACCAGTCGGACATCCGGGGGCATCGGCGGACCTACATCGGCTCCATGCCTGGTCGCATCATTCAGGGGCTGAAGCTGGTCAATACCCACAACCCTGTCTTCCTGCTGGACGAGATTGATAAACTGGTATGTGCAGGCATTATAATTCTTTCTCAATGTGTAATAAAGTCAGCTGTGACAAAGCGTATCGCCCTATTGAAGTATAAAGTGCTGATAAGAGGGAAGAGTACTTTGAAGACTGGAAAAAAAATTATATTACACTGAGTATCTCAGGAAAATGAAAGATTACAGTAAGGCTTAATGAATGAGTTTGTCTTCACAGAGACATATTTTAAATGCTTTTATGGATAAAGAAATATAGAGCTTAAATGTTTGTGCAAATTAAACTTGCATAAATAACTAGTAATATTGCTTTCTTCCTGTAAGGATTCAGGGTCAAATAGATCACCATTAAAGTACCCTGATGGGGGTGGAATATCTGATGGGGATGGATAACTCTGATGGGGGTGGATAACTCTGATGGGGGTGGATAACTCTGATGGGGGTGGATAACTCTGATGGGGGTGGAGTATCTGATGGGGATGGATAACTCTGATGGGGGTGGATAACTCTGATGGGGGTGGATAACTCTGATGGGGGTGGATAACTCTGATGGGGGTGGAGTATCTGATGGGGGTGGAATATCTGATGGGGATGGATAACTCTGATGGGGGTGGATAACTCTGATGGGGGTGGAGTATCTGATGGGGGTGGAGTATCTGATGGGGGTGGATAACTCTGATGGGGGTGGATAACTCTGATGGGGGTTGATAACACTGATGGGGGTGGAGTATCTGATGGGGGTGGATAACTCTGATGGGGGTGGAGTATCTGATGGGGGTGGATAACTCTGATGGGGGTGGATAACTCTGATGGGGGTGGAGTATCTGATGGGGGTGGATAACTCTGATGGGGGTGGATAACTCTGATGGGGGTGGAGTATCTGATGGGGGTGGATAACTCTGATTGGGGTGGATAACTCTGATGGGGATGGATAACTCTGATGGGGGTGGATAACTCTGATGGGGGTGGAGTATCTGATGGGGGTGGATAACTCTGATGGGGTGGAGTATCTGATGGGGATGGATAACTCTGATGGGGGTGGATAACTCTGATGGGGATGGATAACTCTGATGGGGGTGGATAACTCTGATGGGGATGGAGTATCTGATGGGGGTGGATAACTCTGATGGGGGTGGATAACTCTGATGGGGGTGGATAACTCTGATGGGGATGGATAACTCTGATGGGGGTGGATAACTCTGATGGGGATGGAGTATCTGATGGGGGTGGATAACTCTGATGGGGATGGATAACTCTGATGGGGGTGGATAACTCTGATGGGGGTGGAGTATCTGATGGGGGTGGAGTATCTGATGGGGGTGGAGTATCTGATGGGGATGGATAACTCTGATGGGGGTGGATAACTCTGATGGGGGTGGATAACTCTGATGGGGATGGATAACTCTGATGGGGTTGGATAACTCTGATGGGGGTGGATAACTCTGATGGGGGTGGATAACTCTGATGGGGGTGGATAACTCTGATTGGGGTGGATAACTCTGATGGGGGTGGAGTATCTGATGGGGATGGATAACTCTGATTGGGGTGGATAACTCTGATGGGGATGGATAACTCTGATGGGGGTGGATAACTCTGATGGGGGTGGAGTATCTGATGGGGGTGGAATATCTGATGGGGATGGATAACTCTGATGGGGGTGGATAACTCTGATGGGGGTGGAGTATCTGATGGGGGTGGAGTATCTGATGGGGGTGGATAACTCTGATGGGGGTGGAGTATCTGATGGGGGTGGATAACTCTGATGGGGATGGATAACTCTGATGGGGATGGATAACTCTGATGGGGGTGGAGTATCTGATGGGGATGGATAACTCTGATGGGGGTGGATAACTCTGATGGGGATGGATAACTCTGATGGGGGTGGAGTATCTGATGGGGATGGATAACTCTGATGGGGATGGATAACTCTGATGGGGGTGGATAACTCTGATGGGGGTGGATAACTCTGATGGGGGTGGAGTATCTGATGGGGGTGGAGTATCTGATGGGGATGGATAACTCTGATGGGGATGGATAACTCTGATGGGGGTGGATAACTCTGATGGGGGTGGATAACTCTGATGGGGGTGGATAACTCTGATGGGGGTGGAGTATCTGATGGGGATGGATAACTCTGATGGGGATGGATAACTCTGATGGGGGTGGATAACTCTGATGGGGATGGATAACTCTGATGGGGATGGATAACTCTGATGGGGGTGGAGTATCTGATGGGTCCGGAGTATCTGATGGGGGTGGCATATTGGATGGGGGTGGAGTACCCTGATAGGGGTTGAGTATCTGATGGAGATGGAGTACATGATGGGGTTGGAGTACTCTGATGGGGGTGGAGTATCTGATAGTGGTGGAGTATGTGATGGGGATGGGGTACTCTGATGGGGGTGGAGTATCTGATGGGGGTGGAGTATCTGATGGGGGTGGAGTACTTGATGGGGGTGGAGTATGTGATGGGGGTGGAGTATCTGATGGGGGTGGAGTATCTGATGGGGGTGGAGTATGTGATGGGGGTGGAGTATCTGATGGGGGTGGAGTACTTGATGGGGGTGGAGTACGTGATGGGGGTGTAGTACTGGATGGGGGTGGAGTACCCTGATGGGGGTGGAGTATGTGATGGGGGTGGAGTATCTGATGGGGGTGGAGTATGTGATGGGGATGGAGTACTTGATGGGGGTGGAGTATCTGATGGGGGTGGAGTATCTGATGGGGGTGAAGTATCTGATGGGGGTGGAGTATCTGATGGGGGTGAAGTACCCTGATGGGGGTGGAGTATGTGATGGGGGTGGAGTATCTGATGGGGGTGGAGTACCCTGATGGGGGTGGAGTACTTGATGGGGGTGGAGTATCTGATGGGGGTGGAGTACCCTGATGGGGGTGAAGTACCCTGATGGGGGTGAAGTACCCTGATGGGGGTGGAGTACCCTGATGGGGGTGGAGTACCCTGATGGGGGTGGAGTATCTGATGGGGGTGGAGTATCTGATGGGGATGGAGTAGAAGAAGTTTATTTCAGTATAAAGGCCACAGGCCCAAGTACAATATAGATACATGTATTATATACAAAGTGGTGATACAATATCAAGAGGTACTGAGTGCAGTTTAAGTACAAATTGTAATTATAAAATCTGATGGGGGTCGAACACCTTATTGGGAATGGATCATTGCCTGGCCCAGACTAGATTATATACAGGTCCCTGTGATGGAGCTGGAATATTGCTGATTGTGACTTAAAACAACCCCTCCTCACTCACTAACTCACCCACTGTTTGTGTTGCAGAGCAAGAGTCTCCATGGTGACCCTGCCGCTGCTCTGCTGGAAGTCCTGGACCCGGAACAGAACAACAACTTCGTGGATCAGTATCTTTGTACAATAAAAGGGAGATAACCGTTATATGCAGATGTCCTTGAGGATTTTATATGCAGAAATGGGCTAGCCAGAGGTTTCATATGTCAAAATTTCTGTGCATCAGATTCACAGTAACTGCCCAAACTCATGTTTATCGACATGCTCCGTCAGTATCAGACTCCGTCAAAAACTTGTCAAAATGACTCCTCTTGGATCCACAAACATATAACCTTGCTGCCTTTCAAGATTTGGTGTCGCCTTGTGATGTCCCATACCCACAAACTTATATAAAACCATAGTGATTTGTTTCATAATCATAGCACATTGTTCCTCAACAAGTTCAGCTATCTGAATGTTCCATTTGACCTATCCCAAGTGCTGTTCATCGCGACCGCCAACAACATGTCGACCATCCCGCCAGCCCTGCTGGACCGCATGGAGCTGATCCAGATCCCAGGCTACACCCAGGAGGAGAAGGTCAACATCGGCGTGCGCCATCTCATGCCCAAACAACTCAAGGAACATGGACTGAGCGTGGAGCAGATCCAGATCCCTGAGGATTCCATTAAAGTTCTGGGTGAGCATACTTGATGGGAAGTGTTTTGATGAGTGTGCTGGGTTTAACTTCGAAAAGTATTTGTGTTATGTCATCCCAGCTCATGTTGGCAAAAAACAGCCTCAGTCATAGATATATAAACCTTTAAAAAACTGGTATACTCCCCTGGGAGTTAAGAATGATAACTGGAATGCAAACAGATCCACTGGGAACAAATAAAACTGCATTTGAGCAGAAACTAGTACCTGGACACCTGCGGTATAATAATAATAATAACAACAACAACAACAATAGATGGATAAAAACAACAACAACAATAGATGGATACCAACAACAACAACAATAGATGGATACCAACAACAACAACAATAGATGGATACCAACAACAACAACAACAACAACAATAGATGGATACCAACAACAACAACAACAATAGATGGATACCAACAACAACAACAACAACAACAATAGATGGATACCAACAACAACAACAACAATAGATGGATACCAACAACAACAACAACAACAACAATAGATGGATACCAACAACAACAACAATAGATGGATACCAACAACAACAATAGATGGATACCAACAACAACAACAACAACAATAGATGGATACCAACAACAACAACAACAATAGATGGATACCAACAACAACAACAACAATAGATGGATACCAACAACAACAACAACAACAATAGATGGATACCAACAACAACAACAATAGATGGATACCAACAACAACAACAATAGATGGATACCAACAACAACACCAACAATAGATGGATACCAACAACAACAACAACAACAACAGATGGATACCAGTTTGTTTTTTAGCCCCCACCCAAACAAAGTTTCGCAGGGGCATATAGAAATGGTCTCTGTCACATTTCGTTTCAAAGCAGTACTCAGAAACCATACAACATTTCTTATGCTTGAGAGACAACCAAATGGATGGGTTGGTCAGGATTGGTGACTTGATTGATTGTGTGACATTGTTCTCTGACAGTGTGTGACATTTCTCAAAATGCAGTGTTTATTAAAAACCAGCACAGTATTATACATCATTCAAGAATTGTTTAATGTTTTCAATGTTATGTCATTCAGTTGTATTTAGAGTTTTGATTTTTTTTGTAACATTGCTATCAAATGGACAGCTTTTAATTGTCTATTGAAAAGTACCTTGGACGGCATTGAAAGCGTTTTATAGACTAGGGGGAATCATTTGGTTTAGTCATCAATCTGAAGTCCGTTGTACTCACAAGCTTTATGACTGACCATTTTTTATATACTGGTAATAAGGTATGTGACATACTTTTTGTGATTTTATGCACATATTTCTAAAGGGCAGGGGAGGAAAATGTTTTTGCCTTGTTTGTTTTCAAAGCTAGACTCGGTATTACGTTAACTATGTGATGATATCCTGTATATAATCAAATCATGACAGACCAGTGATTGATGTCACTACTGGGGAGCTATTCTAAGCTGGGGAAGTGTTCCATGTTTGGGAACTATTCTATGTAAGAATCCCCACAAGGAACAGCAGAGTATAGTGCTGACAGGCTGGATCATGATTGTGGTGAATCTGAGATTCAAACCCATGACCAGGTGGGCCCTTACACAGCTAAGGGAAGCAACTCAAAGTGTTTTATGTAATTATGGTGAAGAAAATAAGTACTTGTGCAGTGTTGGGTGTATATTAGGAAGTGCTGTGTGTGAACGGTGATCTGACTTTTGATTTTGGTATTTTGAAGTTATGTCCTTTAATAATTATTGATTAAACATTGATTAACATGATTAACTTCAAGAACACTTAAGCATGCTGATTGACCCTTTCTTGAACTCAGCATGTTGATTTAGGATGAAATAATTTGGAATATGTAGTCTTAAATGTAAAACATTTGAAAATGTTGAGATGTCATTGTCTGGCCCACACCCAGTTATTAAGAGGCTGACATAATGTTCATGAATATGGCATAAAACATCCAACAAAACTAATTACTGAAGTTTGAGGAGCTCGTATTGTTGTATGCTAATGCTTGTCTTGTCAGTGTCCAAGTACACCCGTGAGGCGGGAGTGCGTACCCTGGAGCGGAGAATTGCGGCCATATGCCGGGCCGTGGCGGTGCGGGTTGCGGAGGGCGTGTCCAGAGCTCGGCGTGAGAAGTTGGAGGCCACCCAGGGGGACAAGAAGAATATTCCCTCCGAGATTCTGTCGGAGAAGGACTCCCACGAGGCCTCCACACTCGCCCACCCTCCCGAAATGCCGATAGTCATTGATGAAGCTGCCATTGAGGACATCCTAGGGGTATGTGGCTGCAACTGGAATATATGCTTTAGGGGACGTTCACACAGAAACATGTAAAGACAACAATTCCTCAGCAGAATGTAATTTGAAATTGAAATTTTGAATTTGAAAATGATTAAAACCTTCAGAAAATCTATAGGGTCCATATTTTGTCCAATTCATCGAAAAGAAGAGTTTAAAGTTGTCACAATATGATGAATAAGAAAGGACTTGATCACAGCAACATTTGTTACGAGTAAATATGTTTATATTACTTATCAACATGATCAGTAAGAGTAATATACCTCGTGTAATTGTGTACATCCATCAGACAGCGGAAAGCAAACATAACATATTGCACGTTACATAAATGACGTTTATGTACTGACAAAAGAAACGTGAATACCATACATGTTGGTTAAGTAATGGAGAAACCATGAAAGTTGGAATGGTTTGTCCAACTTATAAACCTCTATCCATTAATCTATGTAATTTTTGGAGCTTATATTTACGCGGTATACGGGTCTCAAATAAGCGCGGTATAACGAGACACGCTTTATAACAGTTCTTACCGCGGGCCGCTGCGCGGACTGCACATGCAGAAGAGGGCTGTACGTGCAGAAAGAACAGCGTGCGTCATACCTCATGGCATTGTGTCATTGACTGTTCACAAGAGAGGATGTCTGACGATGACGATATTTTCCTTACTCAAAGTAAGTTAATTGATGAAAATTCTGCAGAAAAGGATGAGGATGACTTTTGTTTCCGTTTTGGTGACCCTTTGTCAGATGATGAAGTTGCTAAAAATTGCTCCCCAGGTTTTACAATTGCAATTGTAAAACCTGGGGAGCAATTGTAAAACCTGCTGAGTGGTCTTACTACAAAAGAAAGGTCGTCTGGGAGATGGTTACAACACCATGATAGGTTTATAATACATGAAGAATTACACATTCAAGAGACACACATGTTCGATAGGGAAACGAAAATACTGGTAAGTTGTGTGACAAGATTCTTATACCCATGTGCATTTGCTGTGTACTTGGACATTAAGTAGTATTTTGTGAGCACCTTCTGTATGGTAAATTTATTGAATCCTAGTGTTTAGCCTAGAATTGATTGTTAACAGGCTGTGGTGACGTCAGTTAAATGCTGACAGTGGTATTAAACAACACTCTTTTGAAGCCTTGGCCCGTGAAGACGCCGGGGTAGAATAGGTCTTCAGCAACCCATACTTGCCGTAAAAGGTGACTATGCTTGTCGTAAAAGGCGACTAACCGGATCGGGTGGTCAGGCTCGCTGACTTGGTTGATGCATGTCATCGATCCCAATTGCGTGGATCGATGCTCATGATATTAATCACTGGATTGTCTGGTCCAGACTCGATTATTTACAGACCGCCGTCATATAGCTGGGACATTGCTGAGTGCGGCGCTAAAAAACAAACCATGATATTAATCACTGGGTTGTCTGGTCCAGACACAGGATTATTTACAGACCGCCGTCATATAGCTGGGACATTGCTGAGTGCGGCGCTAAAAAACAAACCAACCATCAACTTTTGAAGCCTTGTGTGAACTATTTAGATTTCACTGTGAAACAGGAAAGATGTATTGTTGACTCCTTGTATGTTGCAGCCTCCAATGTATGAGAGGGAGATGTCGGAGCGCCTGGGCCAGCCGGGTGTAGCTGTGGGGCTGGCCTGGACCGCCATGGGGGGAGAGATCATGTTTGTGGAGGCTACCCGCATGGAGGGAGAAGGGAAGATAACTCTGACAGGACAACTGGGAGATGTGATGAAGGAGTCTGCCAACCTGGCTCTCAATTGGGTCAGGGCCAATGCCAAGAGGGTAAGTTTTTTTGTTTGTTTTTTGTTTAATGCCACATTCAGCTATATTCCAGCTATATGATGGCTTTCTGTAAATAATTGAGTCAGGACCAGACAATCCAGTGATTGACATCATGAGCATCGATCTACACAATTGGGATACGATGACGTGCAAGTTAGCGAGCCTGACCACCCGATCCCGTAAGTCGCCTCTTACGACAAGCATAGTCGCCTTTTACGGCAAGCATGGGTTGCTTAAGACCTATTCTACCCGAGATCTTCACAGGTTACGAGGGTAAGTAGTCTATCAGCTCCTGCAGCTAAGTAAGCCATCAGCTCCTGCTTGGTGATCATGCAGCATGTATCTGTGTCCAGGTGACCTGGTTGAGTGTAGAGTTGCCTCCCTCTGCCATGCCAGGATCTGCAGATAAAGGATTGGTTCTCAGTGCAATGACCCTGCTTGTGAGTTTCACCAGAGTGGAAGGCATCTACAATTTATGCCAATTTGGACTTGTCTCCCACATTTAGCTGACATTATTATTTTAGACAAATTTGCGTTTTTAAAAGATCAAATCTTTTTTCCAGCTGAACATGAAGTCTGACCTTCTGGACAACACTGACCTTCACATTCATTTCCCTGCTGGGGCTGTTGGAAAAGATGGACCATCTGCTGGTGTTACCATAGCAACTGTCTTGGTGTCACTCTTCAGTGAGCGATGTGTTCGCTCTGACACAGCCATGACAGGGGAGATCACTCTCAGAGGACTTGTTTTGCCAGTAGGTTTTGTAGATTTTAGACATTAAACAATACTGTTGAACTGTTTACCACCTTGTTTCTAATAAATTACTCTAACAAAATGCATAATTCCTCATTCTCCTTCATGTAGCTCATCTTTAAAATATAATGATTAATGGAAATCTTAATGAAAAGTTCTTAGAGATCGTCCTAAAATTTTTTAAACTTTTCTTTTGGTTTTATGAGGAGGGCATATTAAAGATTGCTCACAACTTATAACAAGCTGTTTTGATTCCTTAGTAAAGCTAAACAGTTCACCAAAACCTTATGTCTTACTACCAGGTTGGCGGTATAAAGGAGAAAGTTTTGTCAGCACATAGGGCAGGAATTAGACGCGTGATCATGCCCCGCAGGAACGAGAAGGACTTGCAGGATATCCCTTCTAACATTCTGGTAGGTCACACAACAGTGGCCGATGGCAGGGACAAGGGGGATTTGCAGGATATCCCCACATACAATCTTGTACATGCCAACTAGGACAATAATCTGATTGTTCATCATACAGGACATCTGAATAAGAAGTGCCTGACGTTGAGGGGAATAAAGCAGGGTTTAATTTCGAAGGCTGTTTGATGTATCTGACCCAAAGAGTGGAATCTCATTCCTTACAAACCCAAGATACATACGTAGTTTAATAGCTTGTGACCTTGTGGTCAGAAGTAGTTTGGCCAACACCAGATGCCAGGCCATCATGTCTTTCTTTAAAACTCAGTGTATTGAACTGACAATCATTGTCATAAAATCATGTGACCGCCTCCATGGTCTAGTGTTGGAGCGCCGCCCGGAGAGTGACATACCAATAGACACTAAAAGATGGTACTTGTTACCCTGTCTGGCACTCGGCATTAAGGGGCTAAAACAAGGACTGGTCGGCTCGGAGTCAGTATACTGTGTCTGAGTGGGGTATTCATGTTAAACTGCGGCATGGTATCTCAGTGAGTTGGCACTATAAATCAGCATCAGTGCGGACTAGTACAAGCAATCACACACACACACATGTGCATGCACATCGCTATATAAGTGCAATAATCTTGGACGCGACATTAAACCCAATTTCACCTCTAGAAATCATGTTGAATATTATTGTCTATTTGTTTTTCCAGAAAGATCTATCTATTGTCTTGGCAAGTAAACTGGAAGATGTCCTTAATGCAGCCTTTGACAGCGGCTTCCCATCCCTCATGCCTTCCCCACAGGAAGTCAGCAAGCTGTAGCGACCTTGACCCTGCAGAATGACCTTGACCTTGCCTTGGCCAACCATGGATCTTTCTTTACCATCTGGTATTCACTTAACAGATTAAATTTGATGCTTTAATTTATGGAATGGATGATTCCTTCAGGTTTATGAAAATTGTATTGATATGAAGGTGAATATAAACGTTGCTCCTTGTCGCATCAGTATATTATCTGAATAATGCAGCCTGGTATCACGGAAATGCAGCCAATGAATATTGATGAACCTGGAGTGTGTGTTGCTGAGGTTTCTGATAGAAGTTGTCTTGGGTGGAGTGAGTGAATGTTGTTTAATGCCACAGTCTGTAATAATCCATCTGTATCAAGGTCTGTAAGTTATCATGTGTGGAGAAAGGGAGTGAGTGAGTGAGTTTGGTTTTACGCCGCTTTTAGCAATATTCCAGCAACATCATGGCGGGGGACACCAGAAATGGGCTTCACACATTGTACCCATGTCGGGAATCGAACCCGGGTCTTCGGCGTGACGAGTGAACGCTTTAACCACCAGGCTACCCGACCGCCCCTGGGGAAAGGGAGACCAGATCTATGTCAGACAGCATTATCAGCCAGGTTACAGATTGTCACCAGACACCCTTCATTTGGTAGACTTTGTTACTATTTGTTATCTTAAGAAGTTCTGTTGGAGATCTATTCTGCCCTGGAGTACCCTTGATTGGTTGGTTTGTTGTTTAACGCCGCACTCAGCAATATTCCAGCTCTATGACGGCGGTCTGTAAATAATTGAGTCTGGACCAGACAATCCAGTGATTTATATCATGAACATCGATCCATGCAATTGGGATCGATGACATGCATCAACCAAGTCAGCGAGGCTGACCACTCCATCCCGTTAGTCGCCTTTTACGACAAGCATAGTCACCTTATGGCAAGCATGGTTTGCTGAAGACCTATTCTACCCCGGATCTTCACGGGTCAGTTCCCATGAAGTCATTGGGATAGCCAATGCTAATGTCTGGGTGGAGTCAGTGTGGCTGGAGTCACAACTCTTGCTGTGAACAAGCTGATTTCAAGCATTGTAGGGGGCACTGTTGGCCTAGTGGTCTAAGGCGCTGCGATTCGCTGTGCAGAGTTGTGTCCCCTGGACACGCCAGAAACCTATGATTGTGGGTTCGAATCCCGGTTCACCCCGATTATGTTTCTAGGTTTGTCAGCACTATGCCCGTGCTCTTGCCGTGATATAACTGGAATACTGTTAAAAGCGGCGTTAAACCCAACTCACTCACTCAAGCATTGTACGAAGTGGTAAACGTCTGAGCCCTGCATCACTTCGGGCTTTCCTCCCACATTAAGCTGACACGCTGCGATATAACTGCAATACGGTAAAAAGCGGCGTTAAGCCCAACTCACTCACTCACTCATTCATTGTACTTGAATGAAGGGATAAATGCCCCTACAAAATGAATGGTTTAACTGATTTACATTGTATGTATTATATCTCTGGTGTGGTCCAACACAAATTTTAATGGATCCCTTTTTGCTGAAATGTTTTGAAGATTAAAAATTAATTTAATGTGTTAAATTAATAAACAGAAAGGAAATGTTATATTTTGTAAATTTCTATTGATGATTATTTACATAACAGTGCATTTATTGTGTAAGCATGTTGATTTCTTGTCTGATACTGGTTGGCATACCCACTATCATGCCTTTCTTATGTTGACTTTTTTAAGCATATGCAGATATTTTGAATGAGTGTATTTGTAGCTTATCAAGAAGATTTAAAGATACTATTTTGTGACTGTATGTTGTTGGGATATGAATCAATCATCACTATTTAATGGCATGAGCACAATTGGTGACTGTGTTGTAATTATGAAGTTCATGCCACATGTTACTAATTTCCTTGTTGGTAATAAAATGTTCAGGAATATAAAGATTTTTATGTTTACATTCTTTTTCGCGATTGTCTGTTCCAGATTCGATTATTTACAAACCGCTGTCATATACATGTAGTTGGAATATTGCTGAGTGTGGCGTTAAACAACAAATTTAAATCACAAATCTTACACACTTGCTAATAAGTTGATCATAGAAGGTACATTATTTTCTTCCTGAGACCATATATGGATAAATGATCTCTGATTATATCTGTTATCAAAGAAAAACTCATATACAAAACTATAGCCAAAAGTATATACATGTATATCCACAAACAAATGATTGATGATGATTTTGGTCATTTTACGAGCGCTTCCGGTAGTGTCGATTTCTCACAGGCATACCTTGAAACATTAGGATGATACTGATCGGTATATGGTCTCTGGGATGAAGTAGACTGTGTGTTTGATGCATGATGTGTTGATAAACAACTGATTTCATTAAACGTTTAAATTAAATCATTAAATCATCAGAACGTACTGTCCACAGCTCGGGCGTGTCCTGGACGTCCTGATTGCCATATTGTCAGAACAATGAAGCTTCTGAGTGAAGCCTGCCAGCACGAGCGGAGATTAGCAGATGAAAGGAGGTGAAATCTGAGCGGGGTTGCTCTTTTCAATTCCTACGAAAACAAGTGAATAATTACATGGAATGACATGATCTCAAGGTCACAATGGCTTCCTCATTTAGAGTTGTTAGTGTTAAAGCTGATCATCCCAGATGCGTTTAAAAGGAGCCAGGATGAATTTCTACATCATATCTGATATCTCCCTGAAGATGACCGTCGCTTCCAGAACACGTGGTCAAATCAAGTTGGGAAAGCTACGCAAGAGGTACGAGATGGCCGCCAAGCAAGTCCACGTTCTGACTGAATTGCTGAAGGCGACACAGACCCGGTACGACAAGGCAAGGGCGGATAACCGGCGGTCTTACCGCTACAACATCAGATTGCGCCAGACGGTGATAGCCGGGGTTAGAATGATGTACTACGACTATGCTGTTAAGCTGATGAGGCTGTTACCGAGGAGCATGCATACCAGAGACGTCCACCAGTAGGGGCAACTCTCTGGAGGTAGTCACGTGCAACCACTGAGTGGTCAAACGGCCCTTTTCAGGGCCAACCATATCTCCAAAAGAACACTTCGAAACATAACCATTGGTCGTATATTGTAGTCAAGTAAAAGCTCAAAACATCAGTTACACGGAACATAGGGATATAATCTGTATTATTACATTCAGCACATCGCCTATGTTGTAATTTGACAAAAGTGAGAGTATAGTTTTACGCTGTCTTTTCGAATATTCAAGCCATATCAAGGCGGGGGACACTAGAAATGGACGTCACACATTCGGCGTGACGAGCGAACGCTTTAACCACTAGGCTACTCCAACGCCCTTTTGACAACCGATACAATCATTTATCAATATATGGTGGTTTAAACATTATTTCCAAGAGGAATATCGATTGGTTAACAAGCTCATGGCTCATATGAATACCTTTCCATTGCAAATAATTGAAACTTGTCCTAATAAAAAAAAATATATGAAAAAGTGGAGCAGTTGATCTTCCCTTGGACGTCCACAAGAGCAAGTAAGGTTACTTCAGATATGTCGTTCATATTCATGAGCCTTCAAGTTGGTGCAACCAAGTCGTAGTCGGGAGTGCACTATCTGACCAGGGAGACTATACAAATACTATATAGACTCCCTGATCTGACAGAATCTTGAACGTGAATTTAAATCAACATAGCGTTGGTTTATCGTGTTTTTTTGTACTAGCCTTTTAATTGTCCCTATATTCACAGCGTCAACTAAGTTACCAGGCAGCTGACGCTATTGTTCTATGATCTCGGGCAAGAAAGATTTTGCATAAAATTCCCGATGACATCTGGGTGTCTGAATAGTGTCATTGCGTTTTATGACGAAAGTACGTAACGTTGAAACTCCTTCGGGAATAAGGTCTGATAAATAATTCGGAGATAAGTTATTAATCATTTTGTGGAACAGCAATGTTAAATTATTGTCTACTTTGAGCTAGTGACTTTACGTTAGTCTCCCTATACATCAATATGTGGCCTGATGACCCCATATATACTTAATGCGTCTAAATGTAAAAAAGTTTGTTTTTCTTTGTACAGTTATCCAGTATATACATATGTGCATGAATTAAGCACCACTTACTTTTGGGATATGTACTACATTAATAAATGACTGGTATGCCATAATGGTTTTGGACCTAGATCTATTTCTCTGAATAAATACTCTCTGATGTTTGTTTTCAAGGTAGCTGCTTAACCACAGTAATATATTTATCGATACCACATGATTTCAATTTAAACAATATACCTTTATGACATACTTTATTAAAAACCTTGCTAACATAGCAAGCAGCTCTAACTTCGTTGTCGCTATCCAAAGCATTAGCAATAAAATCATACAGATGTGTTATCTGATAAAGGGTACTGTCTCCCGGCATGGATACATATGGTAAATTAGTCAAAATATTATTTGCTCTGAAGAAACTGAACACGTACGTGAGAACACACTTCTTGTTGAAGACTTTTGCCAAACTAGTAAGAGCAATTGGTCGGTAGTTTGAACATTCATTAACGCCACCCTGTTTATACATACATATTACAAAAGCTTCGTTCCATACAAGTGGGAAAACTGACTTATTTAGAGACAGGTTATTAAGTAAGCGGGTCTGATAAAGAGATTGCAGTCAATTTAAATTATACATCGCCAATTCAATCAGGTCTTGTAGCTTTAATAGCATCAACTGACATCTAATTAATTTGATATCACAAGAGTAACATTTTTATGGGTAACATATTGGGGTAGCTCTTTGTTTGGATGTAGTAGAAGTGTAACTGTACTGTACAATAGTAATTGATTCAACTTCATTATAAAATATACCATTGTAATAAATTTCTCCTTTTAGCTTTTTTAAATGCTGGCGATTTCTATGCCGGATAAGAACGAATAAGTCTAGGAAAGTTGCCGGGAGGTAATCCATGATCCACCAATTTAGCTAATTTTTTTATTAACTTATATCATACCAGCTTGCTAAGATTCACCTCTCTACAATATCATTTGCAATACCACTAAATTTTGAAGAAACAAACTTTTTGACCCGGTGTATATTAGAATGGCATCTTTAATATTTTCAATTTCAGCAAAGTAATATATTTTTCTTTCGTATGATTAGGTGAGGGTGGTGGGGTATTATCGGTGGGATCTTCATATATACGGAGGCAGTGGTCACTACAAATGGGATCCAGCACACCTGATTTCGGCGTTAAACCAAACTCACTGTGTATATCATCGGCGATCATATCATGGAAGTACATAAGGACTCAACTACGTGTGCAGTCTCCCGTGATGTGTGTGCCCAATTCGCTGTGATAGAACGTGTTACATCTGTCAAAGTGTTCTCTGGTGTAATATGGTTGGCCCTGAAAAGGGCCGTTTGACGCACAGTGGTGGCGCATGAGAGTAGTATCACCAGTCTGTATGTCGCCCTGTGTTGCTGGATATCTCCACTATGTCCCAGGCAATCTTCTCAGCATAGCTGAAATACATGTCCCGGACACCCTCGATCACGGCCAGACGCAACCGGAGGTGGTATCGGTAACTTCGGCGGTTCACTGCCATTGCTCTGTCGTACCGGATCTGCGCTTCGCCGAGGCGTTCATTCAAAAGATGGATTTGATTGACGGCCCACTGGAACCTTTTCCGTATCTTCTTCAGCTTGGTCTGGCGACGTGTCCTGGATGCGATGGTCATTTTGACTTCTGTTCAATGGAATTGACGTCAATGATATGGTGAACTGTTTTCGGCCGCTTTTAAACTGATAGGCCATGTTGTTTTT